CACTATGTGGAATTCGACGAGGAGTGTAGTCATAGTTCCAGTGTTCGAATTTTTGGTGGCTATTAGTTTGATCATCTCGCTCTTAATCTTCATAGAGAGTGTCTACATAAACCTCGTAATACTCTACGTCAAGTTGTTTAACCGCAAACCGGAGAAAGTCTACAAATGGGAGGCAATCCAGGAAGATATGGAGCTCGCTCATCAAAACTACCCAATGGTCCTTGTTCAAATCCCGATGTACAACGAACGAGAGGTCCAATTTAATTTCAATATCTCGAATAATATATATGAGTATTAGTAAACCATTTACTTATAGGAGAACCATTAAGGGTGAAAAATTAAGATAAAAACAAAAAAATCATTGTCAAAATGTTGTCTGCGCTATTTCAGTAGACTATCAGAATTTATTATTTTATTTTTGTGGTGAATAAGAGGACCTTGGTCGAATCCCATATATCTCGTTTAAACTTGGGACCAGAGCATTTTATGTGATCTCATTTTAAATGTAACTCGATAATGTGACCTATAAGCTTTGTGTTTTGTGCTTTTCCAAGTTAACTAGAGTCTTTTCGAAGTTAGAATCGTCAATCGTGCCTATATTAATAGATTTATAAGGAAAAAGTTTAGTTGTTGGCATTTGAAAAAAAATATGCCCTTGATATAAATTAATAAATGTATTTAAATATATATATATATAGTGTCTTCAAATGTTTATATTTTAAATTAGGCCTTAGGCCAATGTATCAAAGGCTAAAGCATGACTGTGTTCATGTTTCTAGGTAAACTAACGACACTTTGTAAATTAGTAGAATCCACACTATTCCGGTCCACAACTAATTTCACTTGTTTCAAGATTTTCTCAACGAGATGAAAAGCAAAAGATTACTATATATTCTGCTAATTAGTGAATTTATATGTTTTTTTTTGGTAAGCAGTGAATTTATATGTTATTGCACCATGTTTCAAATTTCTTATCAAATTTCTTATAAAAATCATATCATTAATTTATTTTTAATTTTTTTTTTAATTTTGGACAGCAATCATATCACTAATTATGTACCAAAATATGTTTGTCGTTACTATTTAGATCCAGCATGAACCACACAAAATAAAAATTAAAAAACTCACACGTATTTACGCCATCATCATGTTTCTTCTCTACTGTTTTCCAGTCTTTTTCTGCAAATAACACTGACTTCACTTGTTGCCCTCTTTATCTTTTCAAAATACATCCAAACTAGATACTGACCTTATATGTCAACTTGCGTTCGCCTTTTTTTTTTTTTTTTTTTTTTTTTTGCAACAATACTTTAATTAAAATCTAGTATTGCTATTTTTTGTGGACCGGAATAGTACGTGACAAAAGTAGTTTTTGAATCTGCAGGTCTTTGAATTATCTATAGGTGCTGCATGCAGACTAACATGGCCATTGGACCGCCTAATCGTTCAAGTTTTAGATGATTCCACGGATCCAGCCATCATGGTATGTTCTCAACTTCATCTAAAGATAAATAAATAAATCACTATTTGATGCCAATAAGTCGCATCATTACTATTCTCTTAATTACATTTGCATCTCTTGCTAGTTATAATTACCTAATGCACTCAAATATATGACAATATATACGAACAACTTATATTTTAAAACATCGAACCTTACTAATTAATAACATTTTTGTTGAATATTATTGAGTCGATTGTATACATACATATTAAACATTACAGAAAACTAATTAAAATTCAGGAAATGGTGAGCATGGAATGTGCAAAATGGGCATCAAAAGGCATAAACATAAAGTATGAGAGGCGAGACAACAGAAATGGCTACAAAGCGGGAGCTCTTAAACACGGCATGAAGCACAAGTATGTCGCACAATGCGATTATCTGGCCATCTTCGATGCTGATTTCCAGCCTGAGCCCGATTACCTCCAACGTGCTATCCCTTTTCTTATCCACAACCCTGAGCTCGCTCTAGTCCAAGCCCGATGGAGATTTGGTATGTACATATATAACAACATCAACGAACTCATATGTAGTTCAAACGTGTCTAGTTTCGGAAATTTGATAATGGAAAAAATTGGTACATAATCAATTATACACATATAGAATATGGTAGTCTCAAGTCTGGTTGTTGAAGAATTCATGTTAGGATTTGAAGATCACTAAGGTTCGAGTCATCCCACTGTGATTTTTAATTATGATGGTCAAATTTTATAAACTAGAAAAACAATGAGTGTGTTACGTTTTACATATATATTTTGAAGACTAGTTAACTTTCGGACGGGATTAAAAAAAAAAAAACATGAAATTAAGAAAAAAAAACTTAATGTGAATGTGGTTTGTGAGATATATGATTTTGGCATGCAGTGAACGCGAACACATGCTTGTTGACGAGAATGCAAGAGATGTCTCTCAACTACCATTTCATGGCAGAGCAACAATCTGGATCCACAAGACATGCATTCTTTGGCTTTAACGGTAAAAAATGTTATAAATGTAGAAGTTACTGTGGTAAATAAAAATTACATTATAATGAGATTTATATATGCAGGAACGGCGGGAGTATGGAGACTAGCGGCGATGGAAGAAGCCGGAGGATGGAAAGACCGGACAACCGTAGAGGACATGGACTTGGCCGTTCGTGTTGGTCTTCTCAATTGGAAATTTGTCTTTATCAATGACCTCGAGGTAATGTATTTCCTTTCTATTAACTTATTCTCCAAAATGTAAATGCAAATGCTGATCACAAACAAAATGCATGTGCATGAATGTACATATATCTATATATTTGTGTCCATTTGCACGTCTCTATCTAATCGTTGCAAAACAAAAATAATAATTGTGGCTGTAGGTGAAAAGCGAGCTACCAAGCAAATTTAAGGCCTTTAGATTCCAGCAACATCGGTGGTCTTGTGGTCCAGCCAATCTCTTCCGGAAAATGACGATGGAAATCATTCACAATAAGGTCTTTTTACCACTTACTTTATTCCATCTTCAGTCTCAAATTGCGCACGTGCCAACTACCTTTTTGTTGGCTCATCATTAGCGACAACTTTAAAGGCGACAAGTTTCTATCCACTGGAAATCCAACAAATTAAGATAGAAACTTAAAAATGAATGGTCACCTCACTATCAGTGGGGGCACGTTTCTTACTTCTTAGTTTTAGCTCCAAGTTGAGTTTATTCAGTTTTGTATAGTTTGAGTGATGATTATCTAATAGTGTTTGGCTGGTATTAGGTAAGTGTAAGGTTGCACACGGCATGCGATAAACTAACAAAAGAGTTCATACACTTTAGGGTTTAAAATAATTTTTTAAAACCTATTTGACATATAATTAAGGATAATGTGATCTATAATATGTTTTGAGTATTTCCACTAGATAATATGAAAATTAAGAGATGAAAAATGGAGTTGCTTTATCCATTGCTCATCCGAACTTTTGTTTCCATGTTGTTTTCCTATCTAGCTAAACATATAATTTATCAAATAAACTTCTGTTTCCATCATATAAATGTGATCCATTATCTTTTTAGGTTTTATATATTTATCATATGAAATAATAGTCAATCCATTTAGCAGTATTAGTTTAAACTTTAAAGTACACTCTATACAATAGCATGTTAAATTTCATCTATTTTTTTTTTTTACAAATTTCATTTCGCCATTTACCAAATAAATAACTCATTCATGATAAACTTCTAAAAAAACTCATATCCATTATAGATGATAAACATTGAGATTTACTTTTGTTTCGGCATTAAAATAAGAGCGGTACGTATGATTTATAATAACCTTAAGCTAACCAAAAAACTTATGATAAACAGCGAGTGAAGATTTGGAAGAAGTTTTATGTGATCTACAGCTTCTTTTTCCTAAGGAAGATCGTAGTCCACCTTTTCACTTTCTTCTTCTACTGTGTCATTCTTCCTACGAGTGTCTTCTTTCCCGAAGTCAAAATTCCGATTTGGTCAACTTTATACGTTCCTTCTATTATCACCCTCTTAAATGCCATTGCCACTCTAAGGTTAGTACTACTTCCTGTACAAGTACAACCAACACATTAATATAGATTCAATACATTACTTTAGTTACAATCTTATTCTTACCTATGAACTATCGGTATATATTTATATGCGTAGATCATTCTACCTCGTGGTCTTTTGGGTCGTCTTCGAAAATGTAATGGCTATGCACCGGACCAAGGGAACTTTCATCGGCTTATTTGAAGGAGGAAGAGTCAATGAATGGGTTGTCACTGAGAAATTAGGAGATGCTCTTAAGACTGAGCTACTTCCCGAGTTGAGGAAGCCTCGCAATGGATTTCTCGACAGGTAAACTAATCAAAATCAAATGAAAGTATAGATATTGGTTTGTACTTTTTGTACTATCTAAATACAACTTGGTGTCGATAAAGAAACATATTTGTGGATACTAATGAGTGAGAGAATTTGTTTTGTTTGCAGAGTAAACGCAAAGGAGATGATGATGGGGATATACTTATTGTGTTGTGCATGCTACGACCTTGCTTTTGGGAATGCATTTTTGTATCTATATCTCTTCTTACAAGCCGCTGCTTTTCTCGTCTCCGGTGTTGGTTTTGTTGGAACTTAACATGTCTCATCAAAATAATCAACTAATCAAATTGAATATATGTATAAATACTCTCTTGTTGATGAAAATGTGAATTAACTTGTTTAGTATGATGTATGTTATATTATAGATAACATAAGCTAGTTACGGACCATATTTGAAGTTTGGCACCAGAAATGATCTATCAGGCAGTTAAAAAAAAAGCTGTTAGAAACACCAGAAATATTGTATCCAAAAGTAATACTTAACCACAAAGCATAACACTTTCCTCAGTTTATTATTAATTCTACACTAAGAGAGAAACCCTCTTACTGGTGGTTCTTGCGGTTCCAACAAAATCTATGAAGAACGATGCAAACCTCTGTACAAAAGTAAATGACCAGAAGCAGTCCAAAACAAGAGAGACGATCAATCATCCTCCTTACAAGTAGCCTTGTTATGTCCTACTCCTCCACACTTTGTACAGCACACGGATCGTCCTCTTTTCCTGTCTTTGATCCTCTTGTCCACTCCCTGTACCCGAGAAAACAGAGGAGGAAGTACTTGTTCATCCTCTTCCTTGCTGCTACCTTCACTCTCCGCGGAAGCCAAGTCAATCACAACTGGTCCCAGAGGTTCTGAATAAGTCGAACGATAACTTTCAACCGTGAAGAAACCTGAACAGTACTCATATAGATTCCTGCCTTTTGTGTTGAGCACAGCGATCGCGTGCTGGCAAGGAAGTCCCGTTGGCTTCCACCCGTAACAGCTGCAGGTTTGGTTACTGATGTCCACGAGCTGAACAGACCCGTCGTGAACCTCGAACAGAGTGTCCGAGCAAACGAAAACTTTAAGCACGCTCGCTTTCTTGCATTCCTCTACAAGACTTTCCTCCTTAGATGGCACAAGTTGGCTAAACCACTCCTTCGACTTGGCCTGGCTACTGTTAACCAGCTCCACAATTCTACTCACAAACGCTGCAAGCTTCTGGACGATTGAAGTCTCCTGAATTTCGTCAATCCACTTGGAGTAGATCTCTCCCACATCTGACGTTATATGGCTGTAAGGTTCACCTTCGAACAATGCACTGGCCCAACACTTTGATTCAATCTGCATCACCCAATCATACGCTCTAGGAGACACTCGCTTAATATGCTCCGTGTAAACCTTAAACCCATCAAGCCGGTCAGCACGTGCTGCAGCCAGTAAATAGTACGACAAGGACGGCTTCCCGTCTCCAAGAAACGGACCTCTCAGGCTTCTCATGAAATCCTCCATCAAGTAATGTATGGAGTAGCCATGACGTGCATTCTCGAAAATCTCCAGCACAGGACTCACCAGTCCTTTCTCTCGGTCAGAGACAAAGGTAAGGGGTCGTAAACTAGGCAAAGAGACCTTCAACTGTTCAAGAAACCAACGCCAAGTTTCATCAGTCTCCACATCCACAAGGGCTAATGCCACAGGAAGCACGCCGTCATCTCCATCCAAGGCAGAGGCTGTTAACAAAACCTCATGGTACCTAGACTTAAACGGAATGGCATCAAGGAAAAGAAGCGGCCTGCAACCAGTTTGAAAGCCATGTATACAAGATTGGAAAGAAAGAAAAAGCCGCTGAAATCTTCGGTCCTCACCAACAACAAGATCAACCATACTCCCAGGGTTTGCCTCAACTATCTTGTTCACAAAGAGAGGCAGATGCTTATACGCCTCTTTGAACGATGTATGAAGTCCTCCTTTGGCTTCATCAATGCCTCTTCTTATAGTGCAATAGCTGAGCTCAATACCAAAATCTTGGAAAATCGAGTCGGCAATGTTCTTGGTCTTCTGGTTTGGGTTCTCCTGCAACCTCTCCTTGATGATACTCACCACCCAGTTCTTTTTTGGATGAGCAGATTTCCAAGACTCGCCTGCGCATGTATGCCTTCTGTTGAACTTCTTTATCCTAAACACACTGTCAGATGGTACCCACGATGCATATATCTTCCAAGGACAACCTCCAACTAAACAAACACCACATGCACGGTTCGATTCATTCTTCCTTAATCTGTATCCAAAACGACAAGCAACCGCATATTTCTGCAGCGCATCACGAAACTCAACCACACTCTCAAACCCCTGACCCACACCGGTGATGCAGCGTTTCCACGAGGCTACCAAGCTCTCTACAGAACCATCGTTAGCATCAGAGATAGAGTAATTCATAGCGTGTTCAGAGTCAAGATCCTCGGTTTCAGGGTAATAGGTATCAGTATCCTGCTCATAGTCCTTGTCATCATCTTCTTCTTCATCATCATCATCAACATTGTTCTCATCAACATCGTCAGCATCATCTTCGTCACTTAAGAGAAATCCATCATCATCATCAGTTTCTACTACAGGCTTTCGAGTTTCCCCCTTGTTTCTTAAGGATCTTCTCAATGTATCACTGCCATTTTCATCCTGGAGCAAACTGCTGGGTTCTTCCATCACACGTCTTCGTTTACTAGCACTTACAGGGGAGCTTGTAGTCACACCACACACAACATTCATAGACGTCGTAGGGGAGCTTTTGGTACCTAAGATTGATTGTTTGGAGCTTTTGGGAGTCAGTTTAGAGTTACAGGAAACAAGGCTCTTCTTCCCATTCCTCTTTGGTCTTTTTGGGGTTGATTTGGCTGATAGTGCTGAAGCGGTGGATAACGTTACCGGAATGTCAATAAGGTCACTGGATTCAGAGGTGATTCTGGGGGCAGCGTTTCGAGTTCTCAAATTAGCATCAACGAGGCTGTTTTCTTCAGGAGTTTCTGTGGCAACTTGGATAGGTACATTGGCTACATTACCGTATGCCACCGGCGTAGTGTCAGTTCCGACTGCTATACTATTTGACCTGCAATGAAACACAGAAACAGATTATATTGCTACATACACTTAAGATTTTTTTATCTTCAGAACAGAATGTCTAAATATCAAATTAGAGGGATAATATTATAACATAGCAGAGGTTAACTCTGAAATGTTGCAAAACTAACACATCATTAGTTATCTACTACATACATTAGATTAGAGTCAAAAGAGAAAGCTGCCACATAGATATACCGAGAACAATTGCTTGCATGAAGCAAGGTTTAAAATAAGAGGTCATACCTGTTACCAGGAGACATGAGTGCTTCAGACCGGAAGCCTTCTTGTCCTGTGATGAACACTTCAGCACTGACTGAGCTCAGATGAAAATCAAACATCCTCTTCATGTCTTTCTCTTGCTTCATGGTGATAAGGGTGCTTCTGTTTCCAGGGAGAAAATACTTGAGGGACAGAGAGTTATAGTCCAAGTTGAAAAGTTTTGCCATTTGCAGCTTAAAATCATCAAAAGAGGTCTCATGATTAATAGCTGCTGGCTCTGCTTCTCCTCCACTATATGTCATTATCCCATCATCATCTGTCACAAACTTGCCTCCAGATAGACAAATCAATATAAGCTTACCTTTCCCCATACTCACAAAATCCTGAAGAAGACGGAAAAAAAAATAATAATACATCAGATAAACAATCAAACTGTATTGTCTCAAGTCATATGACTTAAACACCACAAAAAAATCACAGCAAAATCAAATCCACAAAAAATGTACTGCAACACATTCTGAATTAATCCAAATTGATACGGTGTTTGGACTGCGTTTTAGCTCTAATTTCAAGCTAATGATTGAAAGATTTCACCTCAATCTCTTCTCAAAAAGAGTCTCTTCTCAATCTCTTTCACAAAAGGGACAAAGTTTTAGTAAAAGAGATCAAGATTATAAAGTTTCAGTCTTTTGAATAAGAGTAGTATATAATAGATAACCAGAAAACGACGAACTAACATTTTGGTAATTGATTCTTATAAAATTCAGAAATTAAAGCTTCAAAGACAAACTCATGCAACGAACATAACATAATCAAACTCGAGTACCAAACTAAAATGATAGTAATTCTTAGAAATTCAGAAACTTACTACCAACTCAAACAAACAGTCACCAATTCACAGCAGAGAAGCAATTTCATGAAACTAACGCAAAAAAAGCCATCAAACCAAGCACCAAATCGAACGAATCTTCTTCAGTTTAAGAAATCGCAAAAGAAGCTTCAATAACAAAAAAAAATACGATTTGGAGAAATTGTAACCTTGAATTTGCTTCAGTACTCGATTCACTGTGATTTAGTCTCGATTTGGGGTTGAAAAGTGGCAATTGGGATTTCTCGTGAGAAAAATTAAAAACCACCAATTGGGTTGTCGGAAAGCTGAGTCGAGAGAAAAGAGTTTGTGGGTTACCGGATTGACCCAATTATGCGGCGAATTTGGGAAAACCACTCCGATTAGCAACGGACACAACACCGTGCTGAAAATTCTCGGCCGCGTAATCGGCGACTCGACTCGGCGGTGGGGAAGTTGAGAATATTGGGGAAGAAACGAGAGAATGGAACAAATTAGGGTTGGGTCTGTACGGGAATAAAATAAAGAAAAGGTCCACTACCTCGAAGAAAATAGTTTCGAGGGCTTGTTTAGGAAATCTTGTACATGCTACACAGCCTACACTAATTATACGTTTTTTTTTTAAATTAATTGATCATAAATCAATATATATTTTTTTAAATGATTTTTTATGATAGAATCAAAATTTTAAAGTTTAGAAAATACTATGAGTACAATACTTAATGTGTTTATGATAAAGTTGGAACTAATATACTATGATATTTTTTAATGCAATTAGATACTATTTTCGTCTTTATAACTCTTTACTTTAAAATACACATGATAAGAGATGAAATTTTGAAAATCTTATGCAATAAATAAATCATTTTATTTCTTCAACGAGATTTTTAATTTAAGAAGAAAAAAAACAACATTTAGAATCATATTTTAGTGTATAATCAATCTTAATTATATTTTTAAGGTTTTTCCCCGAATATAAAGCCTACCTGAAAAGTGACAAGTCAAAAATCCCAAGGCAATACGTAACTAGTGTGTGTGGCTTGTCAAATTGCATCCAGTCACAGCATCTCCGGCGTGTCGCCGGTTCCGTTTATTTTCACCGGTTCTTGGTCTCCGACGCCATGTCTCTCTCGTCGGAATCAACCGTTCCTACGCTGAGCACCGTCACTATATCTTACTCAGAGCTCAAGGTAAATAAATTGACCCAAAAAATTGTCTGATGAAATCATTTAGCATCTCTGCGATTGGTTTTGTCTTCTAAACTCTTCCTTCTCTTTCAATTCGAGTGGTTTTAGGATTGCAACGTAGATTTGTCTGCGAGGATTGAACAAGGATTTGGACCTAATGGACTTGGAATCCTCTCTGTGAAAGATGTATGAATCACAAAGCTTTATTGTCTATTCTCGTCAAAGTTATGTAATTTGGCACCTAACTGTGTTGATTAGGAGTTAAAGATTTCAAATTTTGATTCTTTTTGTAGGTTCCAGGGTACTCTGCTTTACGTCAGAACTTACTTTGTCTTGCTCCTAGGTAAATGTGTTTTCTTGCATCATTGATTGATTTCAATTGAAAGATTAGATTTTTAAAATTGTTTCCTTTGCAATAGGTTAGCTTCTCTTCCTGATGAGGTGAAGAGAGAGCTTGAAGATGCTCATAGTAGGTGAATAATACCATCTTTCAAATTATTTTTTATAAATCTGTTACTTCTGTTTCAAATTATTTTTCAATTTCCTCTCTTTTTGTTTGTGTTTCTTCTTAAGGTACAATTTTGGTTGGAGTCATGGCAAGGAGAAACTAGAATCCGGGAAGCTTGGTGAGCTTATGTAGACTGTTTTATTGCTTCTGGAGAAGAATCTTTGGCTCGGTTACTTAGCTATTTGATAACTGCAGGAACTTATTGAAGTATACTGTGATCTTGGTCCTTGTATACTTTGTGACAAGTTTTATCATTTCTCTGGCTTGCTCTAATGAAAGTACTCTGAAAGAAAGTTTGGATATTGACTTGTGCAGACATGTTGAAAGGCTCTTATTATGCTAATCCTCTACAAGATGTACCTACGAGTAATTCAGCTGAAATCCAGCGGTAAAAAACACTGATACCTATGGTTTCTGTTTACAAAATGTTTGGCATATGCGGCTTTCTTGAAATGTTTTGAAATGGTTGTCATGTAGGTATCCATGGTATTGTGGATCAAACATATGGCCAAATAATTCCTTGCCGGAACTTGAAGGAGGTAACTAGGTGAAACTTGCTCTACTTTTGGTGAAAAATGACTTTTTGGTGTCTCAACTCTGAGAATGAATTGCTAGTGTCAACAATTTATGGAATCTGCTTGCGTTTGTTGCAATCTGATAACTGAGTGTTACGCTCATACATGACAGCTTTCAAAGCTCTTGGTAAACTGATGTTCGACGTAGGCCTGATGGTAGCGTACCACTGTGATCAGTATGGTAAGTGTCTCGTTGAAATTATTGAAATCTATCTCCGAACATCCTTCAATAGATGTCCTCAAGACATTGAAGCTTTGGTGGAATTAAGCATAAAGAAGCATAAGCTTCTCACTATTATAAATGAAAACTCATTAGTTTCCTAGTATTGGTGGGTGGAGATAATCTCTTTTACTGATTTTATGTGTGTTTGTGCATTACTGATGAAGTGTATCAACATGAATCTGGTTTCATTTTTTAACCTCTTTAAATTGGACACTAGATTTTGTCATGATACAAGAAATTCTCCTGTTTACATTATTGTTTATTAATCTGAAGCTCTTTACAATCCATGATTTGCAGTCTCAAAGGGTATAGAGCAGCATGAAATGCAAAACCTCGAAAAGATACTAGTTGGCTCTCGGTGCCACAAAGGACGCCTGCTTTATTATTTTCCTGCACAAGATAGGTAAAAAACTTAGATTTCAACCCCTTCACAAGCTTTTACTCTGCTGATATATGCCTCTTTAGAAGAAATTTTTTCATTTGGGCGATAAAAAGGTACTCAATTGTCGGAAATATGTTATCTATTCTTCCATTTTGCAGCACTACGCAGAACAACGAGTCCATCTCATCTTGGTGTGGATGGCATACAGACCATGGTTCACTCACAGGTCTCACTCGTGCTATATTCTCAAGAGACTCAGTGGAAGTGCCTTGCCCGGATCCTGCTTCTGGCTTATACATAGAAACACGGTCGGGTCAGATTGTTAAGGTACAGTTACTGGTCCTTTCTCATGAGTGTGGCTATACTTTCTCCAGCATGTATCATTGATATGCTATGATTAATGTTCTTAAGAGTTGATTACTCTTGCATTTGAATAGGTTGTGTTTGGAGAAGATGAAATAGCATACCAAATAGGCGAGACAACAGCGATTCTTTCAAAGGGTTATCTTTGTGCCACACCTCATTGTGTACGGGTAATAATCAATCACCTTTTTGCAAATGGTTACTAAAATTGTATTAAGTTCAAATTCTCTACAACAAAACGAATCAGAAGTTCTTTGTTTTTGTGTTACAGGCGCCACAAGGAGAGGAAGCTCATGGTCTAGAGCGATCGACATTTGCATTGTTCATGCAACCTGACTGGTATTATTCTCAACTATGATGACTTTTGATCCTTTACACCATTTTGCCACCATAATCATTTACACTTATATTTCTCAACTAATTAAACAACCCATTATGAAAAAGCTGGATTAAGATAGAGAAAAGTAGAGGAAACTAATTGATATTTATTTATTTATTTGTGATGTATCAGGGATCAGAAGCTTACATTCCCAAAGGAAGTTACAATTCATGGAGATATAGCTCTCTCTAATGGTGTCTTGACGTTTGGAGAATACACAGAGAAACTACTCAACATATACTACGATACAAAACCATAGAAGTAGAACCTTTTTTTTTTTTAAGTTGCTGTGTAAATGACGATTTTATTGGTGTAAGATAAGGAAAGGAATATAAAAACAAATCTCACCAAAATAGTACGTTAGGTTGTTGGAATTGGAAGTGGAATTTGATTTGATATTTGGTTTTAGTTTGAACCATTTGGAAATTTACACTTTTACAGAAACTGAAATAATGGGTTTGGATTCTGTTACACTTTCACGCAATTGCTCGGCTCTTTACTTCTGCAGATCTTGGTCTAAATATTAATTTGGGACGGTTAAAGGCGTATAATATCCGGTTTGGTTAGTCAAACCATAAGTGTAGTCAAAATGGTCCATGAGGAGGTCGCTCTCGAATCCTCGTGGGCGAATGGATAACGTAGGGGCCGACCTGAGAACAAAAAAGGGAGTGACACATTCAGACAACAGTTATGACGTGGTACTTTGTTCGTTTTGAAAGAGGCCCACTGTAATAACGACCGGAATTTTGCAAGTGGCCAATACTTACACGGCTACACGCTTTTAACTTTTTAACTTTTTCACTTTTCGTATAATTTTATATGGAAAGTACGTTTTTATCCATTACAATTACTTTCGTAATAAACTTTTTAATTCAAATCTAGCTCTTGTTAACTATTTCTTCATGAATCAACCATACGTCAAACAACATGAACAATTGCATATGTGTAAATTAGCTCTAGATTCATTTTAAGCTATTCTCTTTAAGTAGATTTTGATACATTTTTTTTTCCTTTTCCCAGATTAAAACAAGCGAAATATCTTCTTGTGATACAGTTAAGTGTCTGGATTCTGGAAGATGTAATGCATGCACTAATGAAGAAAAAGTCACTGAAATTGATGGAGCAAAAATCAATTGAATAAGACAATTTGTATACGTCGGTCAAAGCTCGTTAAAGACAAGTTCGTATAACGTTTTGATTCTAGAACATTTATTACAGAGATTGGATCCACTCTATGATAGAGTGAGTCTCTATCTTCTTTACTTTCTTCATTACATTCTTCATTTTGATGTTTTGAACTGTTTCTATTATTCTATCTAAATATAATTCTAGAAAAATTAGTTTATTTCAATAACATGTACTTCCAATCAAATCAAAATCAAATTGATAAATCCAACTACCTCTTGCTTTTAACCAAATTCTTTATAGAAAACGATTAGTGTACTTTCTATCAACTTGTGACTCGACCGAAGAATTATTTTTTTTATAGAAAGAAATTCATTTCAATATTCTATAAACGGTCATGTATAGAATCCAAGATTTAATTTTAAAACTACATTCGACCTACGAGATTATAATATGTTAATAGCAGAAATAGGAAAATCCTCTAATATAAAACAACAAAATCATTGGAAATTTTGTGTAAGATAGAAGGGCAATAACGTAATGAAATGGACAAACTAAACAAATAAAACGTGGATAATGATAAAGAAATGGATGAGAATATGAGATTCGCGGAAAGAGGAAGAAAGAATCTAGAAAACAAAAGCGTGGCTGGGACCACGTAGCAGCCGCGTTCGACTTCACACACCCACTTTATCATTATTCTCTATTTATACTCTCACCATCACCATTTTCATTTCCATTACCAATCCCAATTCTTGCTTCTTCACATAATTAAAAAAACAAGAAAACATTTTCAGTCTTTCTCTGTAGAAGCTTGTCTGTATATGTCCAATCCTTCTCCTCCGACCAAACCAAACCGGAAAACAAGCTTCGGAGACCGGTGCTTACTAATGGCTAAGCAGCAACGTACCCGTCTCTACATCCTAAGACGATGCGTCTCCATGCTTCTCTGCTGGCACGATCACTCTATTTCGGATTAGAATCTCTTGCTCGATTTCGATTTCGATTCGGATTCAGAATTCTGACTTGAACCGGATCGAACCAGAAGTAGAATTTTAGAGAAAGCAGAATGTTCTGTTGTTTAGGTTTTAGAGTTGTACTTTTGGTTTTGTAGATTGCTTTGTCATCTGGGAATCTTTGTGATGATATTTCGTTCGTTAGGCCTCTGTACATACTGTGAATAACATATGAGATTATATTACTCAAAGCCCATTTTTATATGTCATCAAGCTTTAGTTTTTTTTTTGGGTGCAAATGTGAGTCATCAAGCTTTAGTTACTAGCTACTCGGAAATTTATAAGTATATTGTTATATTGAAAGAAGCAGAAGGATCCGAATCACTGTACCACAAATCAAGCAATATGTATCACACACAAGATAGAATCATTTGTGCTCAAATCCCAATTTTATGTCATCATGCTTAGCAAGTGTATGATACTCAATAGTCCATTTTGTAGTCAGTTAACGTCGCCAGATGTATGTATCAAGTCACACTAATCGAATCATTATGGTCAAGACTCTAGCCTCTAGTGTATGATACTCAATAGTCCATTTAAAGATTTTTTTTGGTAGTTGGAAGGAGATCAAAATCTCCCTCGCTATATTATTAAAACAAACTTAACCAATTCTTACAAGATGGGCTAGTGTAAAGCCATTTGCATCCTTCATAACCAGCTCCGAAATCTTAGAGGGGACAGAAGGGAAAGAGTGAAAACCTAACGGTAAGGAGAAAGCGTGGTTTGCTAGACCATCTGCTACACAATTCGCCTCTCTGTAAACATGCACAATTTGGACTAACTAGTCCTTTGTGAGGAAGTCGTAGCACAAACGTACTATGAAAGACAAAGGGTGAGAATCACTAATCCCTGAAAAGAAACCAAATCCATCTCCATTACCAGTCTTTGAACTCTATGCTTCCAAGCCATATAAAGATCGTAATACACATCCCACAGTTCCGCTAAAGGTGCTGAGCAAACTCTGATATTGATAGCAAAACTGCATTGCCAAGTCCCATTTTCGTCGCGTAATACCCACCGGCTGTTGCCATCCCAGAATCCCGCGTGAAGCTCCGTGTTCACCTTGGACCATCCACTCATAGGTGCGTTCCACCCTATTAAGCGCTCTAGCCTTCATTAATCCCATTTTTGAGCAGTCAAAGAAAACGTGAGGAATAAAACTGTGCAACCAATACTTGAGGAATAATGTGTCAAGGATATGATAGTATCAATCATATATCTGTTTATGTAAAGTCAATATCCTCTCATTTATGTTGATTGTAATACCCTAGCTAGACTCATGTATATAAACTCATGTAATCCCTTCAGTATCAATATACAAGTTATACAAACATCTTACATGGTATCAAGAGCCGCCGATCAAACACACCTCTAAATTTTTTCTTTTTCGGCCTCTCTTCCCCTTTCTTTTCCTCTTACACTATGAGTTCTGGAAACTCATCCCCTGTAGTTGTCACTGACAACATCCAAACCAACAATCAAACTATCCTTACCATCAACATGACGAATGTCTCCAAACTCACAACCACCAACTACCTTATGTGGAGCCTCCAAACTCACGCCTTGCTTGATGGTTACGATCTGGCAAGTCATCTTGACGGATCTGCTGTTGTTCCTGCAGAAACAATCACCACAGGTGATCAAGTCACTGTCAATCCGGAGTTTACTCTCTGGAAACGCCAAGACAAACTCATCTACAGTGCCCTTATTGGCGCTATCTCCCCATCGCTCCAGCCGCTGGTCTCTCGTGCCACCACGTCCTCTGATGTATGGAAGACGTTAGCCTATACGTATGCAAAACCAAGTAGAGGACATATCAAACAACTGAAGCTGCAGCTGAAGAACTGGAAGAAAGACAACAAGACTATTGATGTTTACCTTCAAGGTGTCACCACTCGTCTTGACCAACTTGCCATCCTTGGGAAAGCCATGGATCATGAAGACCAGATAGATCTGATTCTAGAAGGTCTCCCGGAGGACTACAAGCCCATTGTTGATCAGGTGGAAGGAAGGGACGCTCCACCATCGATCACTGAGCTTCACGAGCGTCTGCTCAACCATGAGGTGAAACTCATCTCTGCTGGTGATTCTCCCTCCCCCTATGCTTCGATCACTGCCAATGCTGTACAACACAGAAACAACAACAATGGTGGTTATCGCAACCAATATCAACAGCGACCACGATCCAACAACAATGGTCAGTGATCACAATCCTCCAACAACCAATCGTGGCAATCCCCTGCACAACACAACTCGGAGTCAAGAGGACCAAGGCCATACCTTGGAAAGTGTCAGATTTGTGGAGCCCAAGGTCACACTGCCAAACGCTGCCCCAAACTCCCAATGTTCCAGGCAACAATCAACCAGCAACCACCTCCGTCTACACAGTGGAATCCAAGAGCTAATCTCGCTGTTGGCTCTCCATCTCCTGCAAACAACTGGTACTTAGACAGTGGAGCCACCCATCATATCACGTCAGACCTCAACAATCTTGCCCTTCATCAGCCATATCATGGAGGTGATGATGTCACCATTGCTGATGGTTCCACAGTCCCCGTCACTCACACCGGTTCAATCTTTCTTCCCACTACTAAACACAATTTACTTTTGCAAAAAGTTCTATATGTGCCTAACATACACAAGAACCTCATCTCTGTGTATCGTCTATGCAATGCTAATCGTGTTTCTGTGGAATTTTTCCCGGCATCCTTTCACGTGAAGGATCTGAGTACGGGGTCCCATTGCTTTGCGGCAGAACTAAGGATGACCTCTATGAGTGGCCAATGACAGCGTCTCATGTCCAAGCTCTGTTTGCTGCGCCTAATTCCAGAGCTACTCTATCATCATGGCACTCTCGTCTAGGCCACCCATCTTCCACTATCTTAAACACTATCCTCTCTCGTTGTTCTTTACCTGTTGCATCTCCTTCTCAAAAACTTTTGTCTTGCAACGATTGTTTAATCAATAAAAGTCACAAACTACCATTTTCTCATTCCACAATCACTTCTACAAAACCCCTCAAATACCTATTCTCAGATGTTTGGAGCTCTCCAATCCTCTCTACTGATCATTACAAATACTATCTTGTCATTATTGACCATTTTACCCGTTATACATGGCTGTATCCACTCAAAAAGAAGTCCCAAGTCAAAGAAACCATCATCGCCTACAAGAATCTGGATGAAAATCACTTCAAGACGAAGATTGGTACCTTTTACTCTGATAATGGTGGAGAATTTGTAGCTTTGCGGAGCTTCTTCTCATCTGTTGGTATCTCTCATCTCACGTCTCCACCACATACACCTGAGCACAATGGAATCGCTGAACGGAAGCACAGACACGTTGTTGAGACTGGTCTCACACTCTTGTCAAAAGCATCGGTTCCGAAAACTTATTGGCCCTTTGCGTTCACGGTGGCTGTGTACCTCATCAATCACATGCCCACACCAGTCATCTCCATGGAAAAACCGTATCAGAAACTCTTTGGGAAGTCTCCCAATTACGAGAAACTACGAGTTTTTGGATGCTCCTGTTTTCCCTGGCTCCGGCCATATAATCGTCACAAACTCGACGATCGTTCCCTTCACTGTGTCTTCCTCGGATACTCTGCCACTCAGAGTGCATACCTCTGTTATCACCTACCGACCGATCGTTTATACGTCTCTCGGCACGTCCAATTCGATGAAACATCTTTTCCGTTTGCCCAACCGAGTTTCCGCCGCCTGGAAGAAGATGGAATCAATCCCTCAGCCGCTGTCACTTGGCCTCCTCACTCGAGTCTTCCGATTCCGCCGTCGCAAACCCCCGACTCAGGTCCTCACCAGAACTCGCCGTCGCCTCATCCCAATACGCCACTTCCGTCTCCGGTCACTCAGGTATCGCCTCTTCTCTCACACTCCAATTCTGTCTCTCCCTCCTCTGAGCCCACTGCTCCAAATGAAAATGGGCCGCAACCCACGGCCCAGCACTCTTCTCCTTCATCCTTTTCAGCCCACTCAAATGAGCCTCATTCTCCACACCTTTCTCAACCAAATTTGGCCCAAACCACCTCGAATCTGCCGTCTTCGTCGACTTCGCTGTCTTCGTCGACTTCACCGTCCTCGTCGACTCCGTCGTCGTCGTCGTCGATTCCGTCGACTCCAAATTCGCCTTCTTCTCCACTATTGTCTCCTTCTCCTTCACCGCAACCTCAGTCCCCGTCTCCTTCCCCTGAACCTCACGTTCAAATCCTTCCTCAAAACCACCACAATATGGCTACCCGTGCCAAATCCGGCATCACGAAACCAAATACCAAATACCTCCTTGCCGTTTTCACCTCCTCTACCTTTGAACCACGTACTGTGACTCAAGCGTTACAAGATGAACGATGGAGGAACGCCTGTACCTCTGAGATTAATACGCAGATTGGAAATCACAGTTGGGACTTGGTTCCACTGCCAGAATATGATGTCACGGTGGTTGGTTGCCGATGGATTTTCACCATCAAGCAGAATCCGGATCAGTCGGTCAATCGCTACAAAGCTCGTCTTGTGGCCAAGGGCTACGATCAACAACTTGGTCGCGACTACGCTGAGACTTTTAGTCATGTGATCAAGTCCACCACGATGCGCATTGTTCTAGGAGTTGCAGTTGATTACGACTGGCTTGTGCGTCAACTTGATGTTAACAACGCGTTTCTTCAGGGGACGTTCACTGATGAAGTTTACATGGCTCAGCCACCAGGGTTCGTTGACAAGGACAGACCCAACCATGTGTGTCGCTTACGGAAAGCGATCTACGGACTCAAACAAGCGCCGCGTGCCTGGTACATTGAGCTCCGTACATTCCTTGTCTCAGTTGGTTTTCTCAACTCTGTTTCTGACACTTCGTTGTTCATTCTGAAGAAAGGCACATCGATTGTCTATCTTTTAGTCTATGTGGATGATATATTGGTCACTGGAAATGATAATTCACTGATTAAGCAAACGTTGGATTCACTGGGTACTCGGTTCTCTGTCAAGGATCATGAGGCGCTTCATTACTTGCTTGGTATTGAGACAAAACGGAATAGCTCTGGTCTGCACTTGTGTCAGCGGAAATATATCTTGGAGCTACTGGAACGCACTAACATGCTTGGCGCTAAACCAGTGACGACTCCCATGGCGACCTCACCAAAGCTTTCTCTTCACTCTGGGACTCGTCTCCCTGATCCTAAACCATACAGAACAGCAGTTGGCAGTCTACAATATCTAGCCTTTACTAGACCAGATATCTCCTTTGTGGTAAACAAACTCTCTCAGTTTATGCATGCTCCAACTACTGATCATTGGTCTGATGTGAAGCGAGTTCTTCGCTACTTGGCTGGCACTTTGGACCACGGTATTCTCTTTCGTCATGGTAACACTCTTACACTTCATGTGTATTCTGATGCTGATTGGGGTGGTGATTCTGATAACTATGCTTCTACTAATGGATATGTTGTTTATCTTGGTCATCATCCTGTTTTTTGGTCTTCAAAGATCTTACTAATGGATACAAACATCTTACATAATGTTTCTCATTGCAAATAGTTCAGGAATTAATCGAGTTAATTCCCATAGATCAAGTGTATGATATTCAATAGTCCATTTTGTAGTCACTTAAACCGTATTCTATTCAATATCATAGCCAGGCCCGGCCCTAATATCACGAATCATTTGATCTCTTTTATCGTACTTGAACATTTTCTCCATTACCGTTGATGATAAAGATCCCAAATAACAATTTTAATTTTTAAATAAAATAAAAAAATATTATTTCAAAATTTGAATCTCGTAACGGACAAAAGCTTCCTCAATTACTTCTTCATCCTTCATTTTCTTCTTCCTTCTTTACCATCTCCATCTCCACTGAAATCTTAAACCCACAAAGCTCACCCAAAAAATGGCGTCCCTCGCGCCAGGAATCCTCCTCAAACTCCTCCAATGCATGAACTCCGGCACACGCCCCACCGGAGACCACAGATCCGCAACCCTACAAGTCACCGGAATCGTACCAGCCCTCGCCGGCTCCGATCTATGGCCCAATCAAGGCTTCTACGTCCAGATCTCCGACTCCTTAAACTCCACCTACGTCTCCCTCTCCGAGCGCGACACAGATCTCATCCTCACTAACCGTCTCCAGCTCGGCCAGTTTATCTACCTCGAACGCCTCGAATTTGCAACCCCGGTCCCACGCGCCGCCGGAATCCGCCCCGTCGCCGGCCGTCACGCCTTCGTCGGAACCCCGGAGCCGCTAATCGCACGCGTGTCTCCTGGATCTAAACGCGATTTCGTCATCCAGCCGGTTTCCGATTCCGAGTACTCGCTTGACCCAATCGCCGTTTACTTAAACAACAGACGCTTCAACGACGACGAAAACGACGATACGACGGTGGTTCCGAAACCCAACGGGAGACAACCGCTTGCTCCGGTGAATCAAAACGAAGAGAATCGTAGCCAAAACCGCAATCAGAAACCTAAGCAAACACCACAGAGATTCTCCTCACCAGCATCGTCTAAACAGCGGTCAGTCTCATCGGGGAAAAAGAGCATTTCCGGTGCCGGGGAGAGAGATCCATCACCGGCGGTTTCCGGGAAAGGAAGGAGATCTGCGTCTCCGGTTCCGTCGAAATGCGTGGTGCCGAGTCTCGCGGCGGCGCGTGAGGAGAATAGGAAAGTTGCTAAAGAGCCGGCGATTGTTGTGCCGTCAAGGTATAGGCAGCCATCACCTAACGGAAGGAAAGTGAATCCATCTCCTAGTGGGAGAAGAATGTCGATCTCGCCGGGAAGAAGGCTTTCGAGTGGTTTGAAAATGTCTCCGATGGTTGGAGATTCTTCCGGAAAGAAGAAGATGGCGGCGATTGCAGCCGGAATTTCGAAAGTCTCCGAAGCTTTGGTTGGATCTTCGGCTAAGAATTGTAACCGGAAAAATTGGGATGAACAAGCTAATACCGATGGCAATGCTCAAACTGATCTGAAGGAGAAGGTCATTTTTAAGAATAAACACGATCTTCAGGGAATTTTGAGAACTCAGGTAAAACAAAATACTCAATTTTTACAATTTCAGTCTAATTTGATGAATTTCATCACTTATAACCTTTAAATGCCAAATTAGGCTGCTATGTCGAGACGTCTTAGTGATGCAAATAGAAGAAAGAGTGATTCTTCTTCGGTATGTGAAGAGAAAGCTTCATCAGAAAGTAGTTTAGTAGAAGAAGTCTCAGGCTTTGAAGGACTTGGTATCACTTATCATGAACGGAAATGGACTGATGGGAGTGTTCCATTAGATAATATCTCAGAGGAGCTTGCAAAGCTTGTAAAGGTAAAACGAGACGAATGTTTCTTGTTTGAGATAAGATTGAGAGTTTGAGTGTATCCTCTCAATGCGATTGTATATTTGATTTTTTTTTCCAGGAAGCTATGCAAAGAAGAAACTTTGCTGCTAAAGCTGCCGCTCGAGCGTTGGAAGAAGCTAATGCCAATGAGTGCATCGTAAGATGTTTAAGGTAAGTTAACAAAGTTGGAGACTTTTTGGGGAACAATCTTTTCTTTATAGTCTATTGACTTCTTTTGGTGAATATTTTTTTTCAGTAAATTCTCTGAACTTTCTTCGTTCTCTAAAGTTGGGAATCCGTTGCGAATCATCAACCAGTTCTTGACAATCTATGAAGATGTCATCAAATATAGTCACATAGCAAACTCTATAGCTTCAGACAACAGTTTTAGTTCGTCTTCTGATCAACAAGACTCAATCTCTCTTTGGGTTGAAGCTGCATTAGCTACTAACCTCGACGTCGTCTCGCTAGTGAAAAGCCAAGAATCGCCATCGTCGTCTGCGAAGAAATCAATGCCTACTCGCCTCTCTACAAAGACAGGTTTGTTCTTCTTCAACTGTAACAAATTTTACATTTTACAGAGTAAAATGCAGAATTGTGAAGTTTTTTTGTAATGTTGGTGGTTTGTTTCAGACAATATTGTTGGGATGTGGACAGACGTAGGCGGCTTGAAAGAAACGGCTAAATTCGCGGTGAAGCTGCAATCGGAAATGCAAACGTGGTTCATTGGGTTTGTGGAAGAGTCGTTGGAGAACAAAAACGCAGCGGCGGTGAGGCCTTTAGATGGTAGTTCCATAGCTGCTGTTCTGTCACAGCTGAAACAAGTCAACGAGTGGTTGGACCGGGTCGTGTCGGAGCAAGATAACCAGATCACAGACAAGATCGAGCGGCTGAAACGCAAGATCTATGGATTCGTGATTCACCACGTCGGTTCCACTTATGACAAAACCTCTTCTTCTTCTTGATTTCATCTGTTTGCTGCTTTTGTCCTAAATGTTGTCACGTTTCAATACAGAGTCTTTTAAGATATATCTACAAGTGTTCGAACATAATTTAAGTAAAAAGAAGCTGTTCATTTATTTAAGTTTTTTTACTACTTACAGCTTTCTTCAACAACAAGAAGGCTAAAGATTTGTTTATTCATAGTAGACACACTTTGAGCTGAGAATCAGATCTTTAACTCTTCTACTTCTGAGCTTAATGGTTTAAAGAGAGCTTCCACTTCGTTTTCGTCTACCTCTTCGACGCTTGCCGGATTCCATTTTGGATTCTGCAGAAATATCAACTCATAATGTCTGATCACTGGTCACAATAGATGACAGCAAAACCACTGGAGAATGATGAAACAAACCTGATCTTTGTCGATCAAAACAGCTCGAACGCCTTCAGCGAAATCACCGCGTAAAGCAGATCTTAGTGCGATGCGATATTCAGTTTTCATCACGCCATTAAGCTTCACCAACAAGGACATTAACATGTGAGGTTGATACTCGTCTTAGCGGAGGAAAAAACATAATGAAAAATTCAAGAGTTGAAAACTCACAGTTGCTAAATCGTTCTCAGCTTTACCCTTGGCACATGCAACATTAGAGAAGTACTTTTGTGTTAGGTAAAGAGAAAACGGTGCTCCTTTTTCCAGACCTTTTAGTGCTTCATTAGCCCATTCTACAACTGTAATCAAACATTGTCCATGGAAGCGATTTTAATTTCATTTAGAAGCTTAAAGTATAACTTGTAACAGTTTGAACACGAATAGTAAGGCTCTATGAACGTTACAACACCAATGATAAATCATACCTGAAGGCTCAGTGCTTTGCTGGTATTTTTTGAGCTCTTCTATTGTTTCCTTAACAGACTTATTTGAGCTAAAGGCTGACTCTATTTGAGGCAAACGCGATTTGAGGTGAGCCGCTGATTCAGGATTGCCGCTGTATTTTGATAACGTTGCTTCGATATCTTGATCAGGATTCTCAGAACTGCATCACCAACATGTATAAAATCTTACGAGACAAAATAGAGTTTTGCATATTAGACTGGTAAAAAGAAGTGTTATAGAGAGTCCATGAACATAAGAATAAAACAGAAATGAGAGAAAAGTTCCGATTTGACAGAAAGATAAGGAAGGAGATCAGGGCGTACAGGTTAGCCGACAAAATGGCTTCCTTTAATAAAGCTAGCTTTTCAGATGGTACGTAATGTGTCCCAAGACCAACGAACAGTGCATCTGATGGCGTGGAGATTCGTTTTCCAGTTAAACCAAGATAAGCACCTGCAGACATAAATGGCAGAAAAGTTGTTACCTATCGTTGGTCTTCAGTAATATTTCATTTCAGCTTCCAAAAACAACGAACAGGCTTTTTAAAACTGTGTCCAGTGTAAGGATTTGCATATGAACATACCAACAGATCCTCCTCCAGGGCTATGAGCTGCTATATATGAGAACCCGACATCTGGGAACAAGCCGATTCCGTTTTCTGGCATGGCAAGAAGTGTTCTCTGGAAATGGAAAAGAATAATGAAAAAGAGTTGATTATCGACACAAAAAGTGCAGGACCAGTCTTTATTTGGTTATACCTCTGTTATCACACGGTAGCGACCATGTCCAGAAAGACCAAGGCCAAATCCCATGGTTATACCATCCATCAATGAGATATATGGCTTTTTGTATCCAGCAATTGCGCATATCAGAGTATATTCTGCTGAAAATACCTAAAGAAGGAAAATATCAAAGTCAAGGACATCTACAGTTTTGCAGGCTAACATCAAAGTCAAGAAAATTCTAACAATCTGGAGGTGAATACTCGAGGGAGAGCAAAACAACGGAAATATAAAGCAACAAATTCATGAGAGGTCTTAAAAAGACCATATTAAGATACCAGAGACATGCATGCCAATCGAATTAGTACACTAAATACTTATAATTGATTATGTTTAGTAGAGATGACTAAAGTGCTCTTCAACAACGAGCTTGTTCTGCAATATAAGGTACTGAAATGAGTAATCAGTATTGTTTTTCTAAAGTATATTCCGAAGTGAACATTGGATATAGGACATTTCTCGTTACTACCAGTTTCTTTTCTAGTCTTTTTGCTTCACATCACTGACGTCAGTTAAACTAGGACTATAGTTTTTTTTTCACTTTCTAGCTTAAAGAAGGCTCCTACGATGCAAAAGTGACCTCATTCGAACCACAACAAAAGGCAGAAATATCAAATAACTAAGAATTCTTTTGACTGAACTGCATAATTCTAGCATCTTATATGTTTTAAAATGGATATGAGGAAGGCAATAATCATGAATCATCTTTCTGCAGTTGATAAAGCATGAGTTATATCTAGAAACCTTTTGCACAAGAGGTGTGTTTTTGTCCTTTTGGATCTCAGCAGCAACTCCTTTAATATCCATCCCTACACCATTCATAATCATGGTCACTTCAAAAAACTTCCAAGACGATACAAACGATACAAACAAGAAACTAGCTACCACTTAGTAAGAAACAAAAAAATTTGCATTTATACCTGCACAAAAAGCCCGAGGTGTGCTTCCTTCAACGATAACACATTTGACTCTTGGATCAGATTCCCATTCATCAAGAAAGCTTTTATACTTTAAATCCATTTCTGTATATATATCATAAAATGCATGTTAATATAGCTGATGTAAGAACTTGATTTTCTCGAACAAAAACACAAAAGCCACAATTTCATATGAAGAGAAGAAGAACAGAGTTTTCTGCAACTTTAGATAGGAATTCGAATTCAATTACTAAATTGATATCAGCAAAAATTTATCAAAACCCGAAGAAGTTACCTAGATTCATGGCGTTGAGAGCTTTGGTTCGATCGAGAGTGATGAGAGCGACACCATTTGGATAAACATTTCCTTTGACGAATTCTTCGGCGCCAGCTCCGGCCATCGCTGAGAAGTTCCGACGATCGGTGATTGAGAATCTGAGGATGTGATGAGAAGAAGACAAGATTGATGAGTGTTTGGGGCAAAAGAAGCGATGAGCAGAAGAAGAAGCTACAGCCAAAGTTTTGATCATCGTCTGTGTTCACTCACTCAGTAAAATTGAGGATCCAGTTATCAGTGACGGTGATCTCACTTAGCGGCTTCTACTTGTTTCGGCCCATTCGTTTCGAGCCCATTTCAATCTCAAATGATATAAATAATCAGATGACCTTTTTTTTAACTAAGGAATTTTCATAATTCTTTGGTATGGTTTAAGACAAAACTTAAAACAAAAATTAATTTAATTATTATTTAAAAAATTCATATATAATTTTTTTTTTTTACATATTTAAGAGATTATGATTGCATTTTGATAGCACTATTGTTATTATTATTTTCGTTATTGAAAGCACTATTATTTTTATAGAAAACTAATGAATTATATTATTTTTTTATCTAGAATCGTTTTTATTTACTTATTTTTCTTAGTCTAGAATCTTTTTTCTTTACTCCTCATTTAATTATTTTAAATATTTTAGTCAAGAATTAGAAGAAAAAAAGTTTGCTAAACTTTTTGTTTACTAAAAAATCTATTATTTTATTTATTATCAAAAGCCCTCTAATTTTATAATATTTTCTTTTAAATTAAAGAAAATTATTTTAAATTTGTTTACCTAATCTTAGAATCATTTTAATTAGTTTAATCCAAAAGTTTGGAAAAAACAATTGTAGACAAAAAAAATGTCATCTTTTTAATTACCAAAATCATTAACTTTTATCGACCAAGTCATGTTAATCACATTATTAGTCAGATAGAAACTTACGATGTACATTTATTATGATCGTGAAACAGAAGGAATAAAGGTAAGTAGTGAGTACATAACCGAGAGATGAGTGCAAGTAAAGTTTTTACCGGTCGTCGATATTCCAACTTGTGAGTTGTGTGACCTTAAAGATCATACCAGTTTCGTTGTTCCGCGACTTATTGGGACTTCACTTCGTCTAGCTGCTGATATATTGAAGAACGGTCACTCTCCCTTTAGCAATGCATTTGCTACACCTGGCTGTGGTTTCACCAACTTCTCTGATTTTCCCACTGAACTCGTCGACCCCGTTCTTGATTTCTTGCATCACAAGTCTTGTAGCCTCCTCCCGTTTTCTCCCCAGTGCAAAACCCACATTCTCATGAATCGACTCTATCATGATCCTCAATTTATCAACTTGTTTGTTTATCGTCTCCATCGCTTTAATGTTGATATCCGTGGAGCTCTCCAACGACAAAACCAAACCTCTCTGTCTCTTAATAGCTTCCTCGTACTCCTTCCACAACTTGTTAAACCATTTCCCGACATAACCGATCGGAGGCGCCAACGCAGCCACCACTGCAGCCACAACCGGTGGTGCGCCAGTTGCTGCTGCAACCACTGACAAGACCAGAACAGATGCAAATGCAGTCGCGAAAACCACATTTGACAATATCCTCAATGCCTTGGACTTCTTCTGCTTCTTACCAAGCTTTTTCCTCATCTTACCTAACACCTCCAGATACGAAACTTGATCTTCGTACAGATCCACCAATGGCTTAAAGCAATCCCTACCAAAAGGGTCTCCCATTGCCTTGAACTTGTTCAGCTCCTCCAACGTTTTAGCATACCTCGTCTTCTTTCCAAGTCTCGCGCCATGTGCTTTTAACGACTCTTTCTCAAACTGCTCCACTGCATACCGAATGATCAGCTGGCCTTTACATGCACTTGTTACGCATTTCGCCACGGAATTGCATAAATCTAAGGTCTTGGCCGTACTTTTGAAGTAGAGATCAACCAAATTGCTTAGATCTTTGTTCTTCGACAAATCATCTTTGCTTTGTATAAGGACACTTAGCACATCTTCATTCGTCTTAAGAACAAATGTCAACGCATTTACGAATTTGTCTAAGGACAAATACTCATTCTCAGCCGTCCCAGCACCGAGCAAACTTATGACTTCGTTGGTTCGCTTCTGAAGGGACGAATCAAAGACTTTGAGGTCGGCGTCTTCTTCACACGCTTGAGCGTAGGAATTCATGTCGGCTGAGAACGTGGAAAACATGTCCGTTCGGACCGTCTTAGTAAGTGAACTGTATCCTCCCTTTTTGCAACATAGCATCGACAAGAATCCACAGCCCCCCATTGACCAACAAATTTAACCTAGATATTACTTGAGCCACACGAAAGAAGACAAAAAAAATCTAGTAAATATAGTTTAGAAAAAAAATTTGCAATTGAAAAGCAAGATGGAATTCAAGGGAAAGAGAAAATTACCACAGCTTGGAATAGACGATTGTGGCGAGACAGTTCTTCAAGTACAGGATTGATGAGCTTATTGCTGTCTTTGACCAATATTTATATAGCCGCTTGTCTCTGGCCTCTCATAACGGGATACGTCGTCATATGACTCGGTCTTTTGTTAATTGTAACTCTGTAGAACAAGTTATCATAAGAAGGAGTATATATCTATTATATAAGTTGGTTTAGATTTAATTGTTGCACATTTGTTTTAACCACGAACTCTCGTTAATTGTAGCTCTGTGCAACAAGTTATCATAAGAAGTGTATATATTATGTAAGTTGGTTTATTAATTGTTGCACTACCAAATGTATATGAGATAAAGTCTACAGAAATAGTCAGTTTAATCATCAATTTCATTAAAAGTCTACCACAAAATCTTTGATTCAACCGAGGGGGCACACAACAGTTTCATAAATTAACAACAACAAAAATTTGAAAAGAAATAGTCAACTTCATACTTACTTGGTAGTTTCTCACCAACTGGATATTTGTTTTGAGCCCATCTAACCCAGACGACAATATGATCAGCCTTTTAGATATGTTGTTGAGTATGAAAAAGTCAGAATTTGAATCCAAAATGTCAGCTTATATGAAGGCAAAAACTGCTGGAGCTGATGTGTTTAGGAGGTATGAGTTTGAAAAGGGAAAGCTGAAAAAGTTTTCATCTTTGGATCACAGTATCTAATCGAATAAAAAAAAATTAGATACCTATATTCAAAGAAATAAGCATAAACCATGTTAAACGAGATTGCAATAAAGCACAACATTTGTGTTACTGTTTATCTCGTTGTTCTATCTAAATGTAATCTATACTAAGCTGAGCCAGCAACTGATTCGCATAAGGCAAGAACTCTGTGATATCATTGGTCAAAATCATGTAGAGGCTCGGTAAAAGACTTGTTTCAAATGCAGGTAAGAGAGAAACATCGCGTTCGCATCCACGTCGAACAAGTACAGCCACAGACTCAATGAGGTAGTGGTTAAAAATGGGGTTTCTAGAATTTCTGCAAACTTCACTGAGATATCTGCCAAACCCTTGATGCAAGGCCTAGAAACCTCACCACTGATTTCAGCAACACCAAGAACCACCATCATACACCTCATAAGATAATGATTCTCCTCGGATTCTGGAGACTTGAGTGCAGCAAACAGGTACGTCATCAACTGCACCAAAAAGGGACTTATGTCACCAGCGACATACCTACAGTTCCCACCTTCTTCCTTCACTAGCAAAAGCTTCTCAATGCAGAGAGCAGCGTATGAGTGCACCACGTTTGACTCTGCTCCAAGGAAACAGACCAGCTCCGGGAACAGCTGAATCGTAAACGGCTTTGGCATATGACTAGCAAACATCGCTAAGAACTTCAAGCACGCTGCCATTAGCATTGGGAAACTGTCGACGTCTAGGCTTTGCAACTCGGAAAGAGTAACGTTTGCCAAGAATCTCTCAACATCAATTAATGATAGCATATTACAAATTCTTAAGTTATTTGAAATGGATTTGAAGTTCTTAAGTTATTTTTGTTAATTAATGATACTAGCATATTACAAATTTCAAGATATATTAATTATGATTATTTGAATACTTGAGTTATTATTTCAAGAAAATGTAAAACCTTAACAACCACTCCTGTTGCCCACGTCCACGATTCTCTTAAAAGGGAAAACACAAGATCATATCTCAAAAGTTTGCAGAAACCATGTGGAAAAAAAAAAGAAGAATGAAATATGTCACAAACCAATTTCGTTGTTCCGCAACTCACTTTGGCCTATTTTGTCTGGATGATGATGTACTGAAGAACGATCACTCTCCCGGTCGCAATGCATTGGCTACACCTGGCTGTGTTTTCACCAACTTCTTTGATTTTCACACTGAACTCGTCAACCACTTTCTTTATTTCTTGCATCGCGAGTCTTGTAGCCTCCTCCTCTTCTTCTCTGTCCAGTACAAAATCCACATTTAGGTGAATCGAATCTAACACGATTCTCAAACTATCAACTTGGATTCTTATTGTCTCCATCGCTTTAATATTGACTTGCATGCTGCTCTCCAACGACAAAACCAAACCTATCTGTCTCTTCGCAGCTTTGTCATACTCTTTCTCAAACTACTTCACTGCAAACCGAATAATCAGCTGGCCTATTTCAGCCCTTTTGACGGATTTGTCCACGGAATTGCATAAATCTAAGGTCTTGGCAGTCAGGGGCGGATGTACGTGAGGAGGTAGGGGGTCAGCTGACCCCTACTACTTTGATAAATAAAAAAAATTACATGTATTTGTATTGTGTTTAATGGCTTATTTAGTTTAAATGTTATCATTTGACCCCCTTGTCCCAAGTTCAACTCTTCTCTCCATACATTTATTTTAATATATGATCCTGGTATAATATAATCCTAGCTCCGCCCTGTTGGCAGTACTTTTGAAGTAGACATCAACCAAAGCGCTTAGATCTTTATTCTTCGACACATCATCTTTGCTCTCTATAATGATTCTTACCACATTTTCGTTCATCTTAAGAAGAAAATTCCACGCAACTAAGAGTTTGTCTAAGGACAAAAACTGATTCTCATCCGTCACCGCACCGAGTACGCTTATGACTTCGTTGGTTCCCTCGTGAAGGGACTCATCAAAGGATTTGAGGTCGGCGTCTTTTTCACACGCCTTAGCGTAAGCATTCATGTCGCCTGAGAACGTGGAATACATACCTTTTACCTTCTACTGAGAACGTGAAGTTAAAACTGAGAGTGGAAGTAAATAAGAATGAATAAAAATTGAAGGAGATAATATTATTGGATGGGTTCACTTTGGAGACTCAACACCTTCATTTTAGCGGGGTCAGCAATACTTTTTTTTCTTTAACATTTTTATTCTAAACAATCAACAACTTCCAATTAAAATAAAATTTATGTATCTGGAAATGTAAGGATTGATAATGTATTGTGTATATGAGTTATCCTTAAAAATGTACTGAGATGAAATTAACTTATGATATGCTTGCTAAGACTTTGAAATTCCGCAAGTTTAAAGAATGTGACAGAAATTACAAATCAATGCCTTCATATAATGAGTGAGATCCTAGAGAAAAGAGTTGTGCCATGTTGAAATTATTTAGTAACATCACTACATATTTGTCAGGAGTGAAATATCCTACTGCTAAAGCTTATTTTCTGCAAATGTGGAAAGTCCAGTGTGTTTTGAAGGAATATGCGACTGTGATTTTGAAGTGGAAGACATGGTGAGACCAATGCAGTCTAAGTTTGCAAAGTATTGGGATGAGTACAATATGATATTGACCTGCAAATTGGATTTGATCTTGACCAATTGGTGTACATTTTGGTTTTCACCTGAGTTCTTGGTTTTTTTAATTTATAAAATCAGATATATATTCCTTACTTTTACTTGTTAATTGAAAAACTGATTAACGATTTCCAGATAACAAAGATGAATCAGCATGACATGTCACATGTCTCGTTAAATCGGAACTCAAAACGACATTATTAACAAAAATCAAATTGTAAACAGCCAATTTAATTCGTTGCAAAAAAAACAGCCAGTTTAATTAATGTTTATTGAGACTTTTTTGTAATTAAAAACGATGTTGTTTTACGCCTAATCGAAAATCAAATCAAATTTGGTTTTCCATGGTTTAATGTTGTTTTCGGGTTTAGATCAATGAAATCAAATAAATTTGGATTGACAAACCAACCCAGGACAAAGTGACATTGTTTCGAGCAACCTTCTTCTACATTATGGATTTGTAATTTGTCGTTATAGTTAAATTTGATTCATGTAGATTCAAAGTATGCTTAGTAGTTAAATTTAATTATTCAGAACATTAGATTCGAATATATCATTTGTTTTTTACTCGAATATATTAGATTCTGTAAGTTTTGCATTTTGTTTTTTTTCATATAGTTTTAAAATTTAGTTGTTATTTACGTAAAATCTTATATAGACTCATAGTGAATAGTTTCATATGTTTTTTGTTCTTTTATACAATAATTTATCGACTGGAGTTGAGTTCTTCTAATTTTCCTTATACTAACAATCATTATAGATTGATTATTATCCTACAGACTCATAGATAATAATAATTGCAATCCTTTTTAAAAGGAAATGAAATGAGCTAATTAGCCAGTAAGCCCATTTAAAGCTACCATGGAAACGAAGAGGTCCGATAAATAATCAAGCCCATCAAAACGAACAACATTACACATAATTTTGATTTAGATTTTTTTTTTTTTTTTTACGAAAACGACGTCGTTTTGGTGTAAGACGAAAAAAAAAGATAACGCGCAAAACGACGTCGTTTTGGTGTAAGACGAAAAAAAAAGCAAAACGACGTCGTTTTGGTGTTAGGCGAAAAAAAAAAAAAAAAGTGCCACGTGTCAAAGACTTGAGAGTGTCCAAGCTTATGTAGATTCCTCCATCAAACTCAAAGACGACAAGACCACCGTCGTCAACACCGCGCCGTCATCAAGATTCCAAGTCTAACGCCGTCAACTATTTCCGTCCATTTCTGTCTCAAATCTCAAACTGTACCCTCTATCCCTCACGCGCTCTCTGTAACGCAGACCATTCTTAGCTGTACAATAATCCTCTCTCTCTCTAGAAACAGTCATCTCTATCATCTACGTGAATTCAACAAGGAGAGACAATAGAAGAAGAAGAAGAACATCTCCTGGATCGTCGTTGAAGCGTCGTCATCATCTTCAAAACTGAAAAAGTAGAAACGGTGCCCAGATTCGTCTCAGGTTCGTGCACTTGTTTCTCTTCTAAATCTCCCACGATTTCTGCTGTTTCCGCATCGACTTTGTCTTCATTTTTTCCTAGATCTATATGGTTTTAGGCGTGATTCGATTTTGTTTCAACTGAAGTAGAAATTGGTGTCAAATCTCATGTTTCTGCTAAGATCGAGCGAATAAAATCTGTAATCCCAATGTTTTCGGAGCTCGATTTCGACATTATTGCTGATTCAGAGTAGCGTGGACTGAAAACTGATCCTGAGCTCCATTTCAGCCAAATTTGCTTATTATCAGACTTGATTTTTGCAAACAATTATAAGTTGATTGATGAATGATGATCAATTTGAGTTTTCTCAGTAACCTAAGAAGATGGCTGGTCGAGTGAAAGAAGACGAGAAAAACGAGCGGATTATTAGGAGTCTTCTCAAGCTTCCTGATAACAAGAGGTGTATAAACTGTAACAGCCTTGTAAGTTTTTTTTAGCTCTTCTTTATTATGAATGATATACTATCTTCATCATCATCCAAAGAAGCCAAGAAGATTGAGAAAACTGAACTTTTTATGGTTTTTAGGGACCACAATATGTTTGCACTACTTTCTGGACTTTTGTTTGTACTAATTGCAGTGGAATACAGTAAGTTCTTGATTCCATACTTTTTTTTTAATCTCCTCTTCTTGTGTATAGTGTGTTCATGCAAAGTTTTGATTGATGTAATTTCTCAGCCGTGAGTTTACTCACCGAGTCAAATCGATATCAATGGCGAAATTTACCTCACAAGAAGTCTCTGCTCTAAAAGAAGGTGGAAATCAGGTAAAGAACCCAATCTTTCTCCTTCTTCTTTCTTGGCATTTGTGATTCTGTAGTATCTTTCATTTGGTTTTGATTCGATCAAGATCTTTACTTTTTTTCGTTGTCCCGTAACAGCATGCTAAGGACATTTATTTTAAAGGACTGGACCAACAGAGGCAGTCAGTGCCTGACGGCAGGTATCATATATCTCTGCTCTTGTTGTAGAGATCATATATGGATGTCGTACATTGGCTCATTGTTCGTTTTATCTGTCAGTAATGTAGAGCGGTTAAGGGACTTCATCAGACATGTTTATGTAAATAAAAGGTACACGAATGAGAAGAATGACGACAAGCCTCCAAGAGGACCGACGGTGAGAAGCATATCTTCTTTTATCATTTTTCCTTTAGATATTTGTTCATTTCTACAGCTATGCTTGTTGCATACAATTTAATTCTCACTGATTCGAGCCAATTTCCCTGTATCATGATCCCTTGCAGGGAGATAGTGAGACACGAAGTTCTAGTGGGTCTCGCAGTCCACCATACGATGAGGCATATGACCGTCGTTACAGTGACAGATCAAGTCCTGGTGGGAGAAGTCCAGGTGGGAGAAGTCCAGGGTTTGAGCCAAGTAACAAAAAAAGCCCTTCTCGTCCTGAGATCTTGAATGATTGGCGCAGAGAGGATAGATTTGGGGGTAAGAAAAAACCAGAAGAAGGATCCCAATCACCTGAGCAAGTAAAAGACTTGGGTTCAGCTAGCCCTCCTGTACTTCGACCTGTTAGGGAAATTTTGGGTGACAGTGTTATTCCTCTTCGTGTGATAGAGCCTCCAAAACCCCAAGTCAGCCGAAACAGCGATGCTTCAGCAATTCCAAAGGTTTGACTTCATCATTAAGTTCTTATAGATTGTAAAGTTAATGTTGATATTTCTTGTGGTGGAAAGATAATGTTGCTATTTTCTGTTTGTCTAATTTTAGCCATCAGCATCATTGGGTAGTTTAATGTCCACAAATGAGAATCCACCAGAAGTGAAACTGGAGACTGCTTTAAGCTTGATTGATTTTGATGCTGATCCCGAACCTCCTGCTCCATCTGTTCCAGTACAAGCTGCACCACAATTGACCACACCTCATTTTGCTGCACCGCCAGCAAGTGCAGCTAATGATAACTGGGCATCTTTCGATGCTTTGCCTAGTGCCCCTAGTTTAAACGTATCTCAATCACCGCCTAGCGGAAACACAGTGGATTCACTTCTCTCTCAGTTAACAGCGCCTTCTTCCGTGCCAGTTCAGAATTCTACACTATCTACTGGACCTGTGCATCTTGGTCATTCCACGTCACAAATCTTTGCACCACCTCCAAACGGACAGGTGGGCACTTCATTGCATAGTCTCTCAAAGAGTTGCATCAAAATTCTGCTTCGGAAATGTTATGTGGTTATAATTCTCGGATTTATGTACCAGCCATGGAACACGGCACTTGCATCTAATGTACCAAGGTCAGTGAGCGCTCCGTCATTGCAACCTCATCAAGGAGTCCCTTCTAGTGGTGGTCTGCCGTCTTCTGAAGTTAAACCGTCCGGAAGAACAGAACTACCTGCGGTATCGATTTATTTTAGCCTTTTTGGTCCGTCGTATTTTGATATATTACCATGTCCGGGATTGTAGAATGACATGCTAAACTGTCTGCAGGATTTATTCACTGTAACCTACCCGCCATACCATGCAGCAGCGGTGCCTGGGTGGCAAGCTGGTCCACCTCATGGTATGCACTATGGCATGCAGCAGTATAATAACACTATGGTACAGTGATAAATTTCTGAATCCATAATGAATATAAGCATCAGTGACATCGCATCCTGCTAATTTCTCGTGATTAATCTATCTATTTCTTGCAACAGCCTTTCCAGAATGTTCCACCTCCACAGCAAGCTAAGTCGATGAACCCTTTTGACTTCGGCAGTGAGCCGCCATCTCAGACACAACCAGTATGTTATCTTCTAACTCGTTTGACTTATGAAGCGTAGAATTTTTGTGTGAAAGTACAAACATGTTTTGGAAATAAGAGAGAGATTTGCTTCTTTGCGTTTCAGCATTGTTTTGATTTGAGTACTTGATATTACGAAAACTTAGCGTATGAGTTAATTGGTTAAACCCTTTCCTATACTCGATCGGCTCTGCATGCAACTTGTCTTATTGGTGACTTACGTGTTAAGTGATGTGAAAAACTGAAAACGCTGCAGGAAACTCAGTTCCCTTCCATGGCGTCTCTGCAAGGTGCATTACCTCCTTCAGGCATGATGCCTTCACAAGGACTACACAATCATTTCGGTATGCCCTCTCAAGTCTCAAGCCATCCATCTGCAATGCCACCAAGTAAAAGCATATGCCTATTCTTCATCTATTCAGTTTTCGTGGTTATTATCTCTGCGCTATTGAATGGACTCGTTATGACATGTTATGATCAACTATTTGCTTCCCAAAATTTCAGGGTACATATCTCCTCAAATGCCAGGAACCATGCCACCTAGGTATGACCTTTTTGATTCAATCAATCTATTAGTAAGCTTCTTATCTTATCTATCTCGAATCGTCTCTGAAGTCAAAGCTGTCCGTTTCTGCAGCAATATAAACCCAATGGGCACTCCATATGACACTCAACAAACATATCAGAACTTCGGACAATTTGGTGCTGCGATTCCTTCAAACCAACCACCGGCTTCTTTTCCTTCAGGAGGAAACCCGTTCGGGTAAAAAAAGAGCGAAAACATTAGCTTGGAATCTGTTATGCTCGAGTAATGATGATTATTGCGCTCTTGGAAAGTTTGGGGTTCTAAGGTGTAGTATAAGTTTATCAAATTGAATCCAAACGTGGTGAACAAAGGAAGGTACGAGTCATGAACTTGAGAAGAGTTTGGGGGTGTATTGACGGTGTTAGATATATTTTTTTTAAAAAGCATTATTTTTAAATAGGTTTGATTATTATTATTCTTTGGTTTTCTATATTTCATTCTCACTTTTTGATGTTGTTTTTTTACTGTAATACACTTGATGGGTGGTTCCTTTAGAAAAATCTGGAGGGTCCTCTTTTGTGTTGTATGATTTTGTAAAAGAGCCTTTTACACATTGATCGTATTGTCATTGTCATGAACTGTATTGGTTGTTTAAGGACTGAGGCATCATCATTTAGTTTAGTTAAAAATAGAGTTGCGTATTTTGTCGACAATTGTAATAAACCATAACATATTGTGGACACGTTTTGATGAACAAGTACCAAAACTATTTTTTTTGTGAAAGTGGTAGATCCATGAGTAAAATTATTATAGTGGTTAAATTAACCCCATTAGGGTCACAGTAAACTACTAATCTATAGTCTAAATCTATATTTGTATCCACCTTTCTCTGATCCTAGTCAATCTAGGCGTCCAAAATATTTGATTTTCACACTAATCCCCAATCTTAACCCTCTAATTCTATTTTTCACAACCAAGTTGAAAATGTTGATGAAAACGTCTTTTCTACAATTTAGAGAGACGATGACAAAAAACTCTCATGTTGTTTGTCTGCTCTTCAATACCATTGGAGCCACCAGCATCCAAACTGCCACAAAAAAAAAAAAAAAAAAAAAAAAAAAAACTATTTATTCAAAATTTCAAACATCACAATCTGTCTCAATTCATATAAAAAAACATGTTTTTTTAACTTACTGTAAACGCAAACCGCGAGCCATTCGTTTATTATCCTTACCCAAGTACTTGTCCATCCAACATCAATTGTCCACCTAATACCACAAAAAAAAAAAAACACGATCTTAGTAATTTTTATTTTGGGTATATGATTAGTGTTGTTGTTGTTCACCAAGAAAGTTACTTTTTCATGGAATGATGACTGTTCCAGCCAATAAGTAACATTCCAAAGTACATTGCTCCAGTAGCAAACACAAAATGGAAGAATCCATATCCATACGGAATCTCTTCTTCTTCTTGATTCTCATCTTTCCTAAACTGTAAAGCCTCTCGCTGTTTAGTCTTTTTTTTTTTGTATTTTGTATTTTGAAAGTTTTGTGGCAAAATTTGCAACTCTTGTAGTATAACAACAACAAACCTGGAAACATTGAGAATCTACTCCTGTTGAGAATGTCGCCATTACCATTGTAAGCAGTGCAACCACAAAGCTCTGCACAAGACATGTATAATAACCCGTTTAGTACTTTCTTTACAATCTCACAAAAATCATCAAAAAATTCTTGGAAAGGTTTGAGATTCTATTACTATGATGGTAAGCCAATCCGTTTTGCTAGTACTTTCGGCTTTTCTGTTGCAAGTTTCTCCCACTGGCTCACTGCAAAACAACCAACCACTTCTTCATCATTGTATATAAAAAAAAATACTACACTCGAATTCCTCTATATTGGACTGATCATGGTATTAAAGATTAGATGAAATGAAACATGCCTTCGAATGGCGCACCAGCAGATAAACACAACATAAAGCCCCATAAGTGCTGGAGTCAAGAATCCAGCATTCACCTATTGAGAATGCAAGAAAGTTTTCAAAAATCCACGTAGACATATGAAAGAAAGAATACGATTTGAGAGAACCTTGAAACCCGAAGTGACTTACTTTGGGATGGAGAGAGATACTTGTCATGAGTTGTATGAGGAACAAAGTCCATGTGATGAAAAATATGTTGAGAAGGCATGATGGATCAGGCACATACCATATGTACATCAAAATCACCCCTAAAATGCATACGGTGTAGGCAGTAGTCGCTAGTAGCATCACATGAACATGGCTACAATAAAATAAAGCTTCATTAGAAAGAATTTTTTTTTGGTATGTATCTCAGTTATATAATGAACATTCTCATGTGATTCTCACCATCTTTCTGCATCTTTTTGGGATTGGAAACATTCATTTAGCCATGTAATGAAACTAATGACACTAATTAGCTGAATTAAGAGAAAGACCCTATAAAGACAAGGTAGTGAAGAAATTGAGCTTCCGAGTTAAAACCATTAGAGATTTTGACATAAGATTAGAGACTATACCCTGCACCAAAATGGGCAATCTCCCCTGAAAAACAAAGTAAATAAAAAGTTATTTTACTCGTCAATGCTTAGCGAAAAACGATTTAAACAAAAAAGGTAAATCGAGGACGAATATTTAGTCTTATATACCATAGAGCTGAATAATGGAAGAAGGCAACAAGAAAGGGAAGATGATTAAGCCAGGCCACATGAGAAGCTTAGCAAACCACCATCCTGAATGCCACTTATCTCTCCATGAATGCGTTTTTGATGTTCCAGCGGTTGAAAGAAACATAATGAAATAGAACAGCTAGTAAAAAAAGTTAAGGCATCTTAACATTTTTACCAAAAAAGAAAAAAGATAAGGCAAAATATATTTCTGAAGCATGAAACATAGTTTTATGTGAATGATCTAAAAAAAGGATACAAAACATCCCAAGCTAACACGCAAAACGCCTTCAGTCCCCAAACAGTTTACCCCGTCTTTACAATTCTTGAAATCTGCAAGAAAGAATTTATAAAACAGAATCAATATTCATCTGACAAAGTTATTGAAAAATAATCACTCCAGTTAACTTTTTAAGAACATACTTTTCATTTCTGTCAAGGCACCGTGACCATAATCACGGACAGCCCAAGCCAGAAGATTTGCCAATAGGAACATTAGACCGTACACATATCTAGCCATCCATGGATTGTAGCCATTACGAAACTGGCTAAACCACGAACCGTTCTTGATTGTTTCATAGCCATTGTGGTCAATGCTTGTACCGGTCTCCATAAGTTCTTAAACTTAGCAGGTTCTCTCTTCTTCATGACATTGGAAGTTCATAAATCCTTGGAAAATAATACTTAAGAGTCTTAGACTGTATAAGACTTGACTAAAGACACTTCAGAAGCGATATAAAAAGAAACCTAAAATAAGAAGCCATGAATTTTTTTAAACATGTATAGATTCAAGACAAACTTATGTATTAGCTATTTCTCAAATCACACTGAATTCGTTTCTCAGACAGAAAGTATATGGTTTGTTCTTTATTTGTTCAGTACAGCATAACAGAGAAACGTGGAGTGCAAGTCACATTGTCCTAACAAGAACATGCTTTCAATATCGCACAAACGTCCACTTAATGAAGAGATCGCAAATTTGAAACATAATCAAAAGGCAAACGTACCAAACTTAAATTATCGAAAAAGTCAAAGATTTGGCGATAATTAATATGAAATATGGTGAAGATTAGAGAATGACGAACCCGACTTAAACTCAAGAACTCTCTTTATTAAAATCTTAAGAAACATATACCTTCGGAGCTTTCTCTAAGCTTGGATAGTTGGATGAGTCTCGCAAACAAGATTATATCCATATTTATAATCCAACATGAACAAAGCACTTTAAGGAAAGAAAATAAGTAAACTAGAAATCTTACGTAGTATTGTGAAAAACTTAATTAAAAATCCTACTGAAAATGGAATACTAACTAATAAGTATATTCATATTATTCGTTATATTATATCTAAGGAGAAAAAGGAAGAATCTTTTTAAGTGAAACACCAATAGCCAATAAACTTTAAGCTTAAAAGTGAAGATAAAAAAGGAAACAAATCATGGAAAAATCCTTGATTTTTGGGAGGTGGATGTATACAATTTGCACATCAAACTGAAACGTGTACAGACACTATTGGCCTAAAGAATCTTTTTTTGCAAGTGAGCAAATTGTTAATGCTATGCAGCGACATCACAACCTCTTTTTCGCTTTTTTTTTTCCCTTACAAGAAAATCAGAAAAATGTTTCGCTTTATTTATTTTCTCTTGCAGAAAAAGCAAACTTGATTTTTAGAGCTTCACAGTTTCCACTTTGTGCAGACCCGCGTGGTTTAGTGGTTAACCCTCAATCAGTATAATTGAAGCAAAAAAATTAGGATATATTCAAGTTTTAAAACATCAAGTTTTCTGAAACAGAGAAGTATATTATAAAAAAAAGCGGAAATTAAAGGATCAGCTACATCTGATATGAAAATTCTTTTTTTTTACGACCAAAAAGACCTATATATTATATGATAAATATAATACAATAATATATCAAATGACTATGACATGTAATCTAATGGTTTGTTTAACTGTTTTAGTGTCGTCTTTGTGTACGATATATTCCAATTCAAATTTCTGTAAGATGTTGTAAAAAAGAGGAATAATATCAAATGACTAGGACATGTAATCTAATGGTTTGTTTAATTGTTTTAGTGTCGTCTTTGTCTACGATATATTCCGATTCAAATTTCTGTAAGATGTGGTAAAAAAAAGGAATACTATCAAACTTCTATTACATACTGATGGTGATAAAGTAGAAGTTAGTTAAATCATGTGTAAGAAAACTTAAAAAAAAAAACCCTAAAATCTTAATCTAATATAATTATTTGAACTACTAACTAGAATTTTCAACACAAATAAACTATTTTTTATTTTAGTTATTCGAATCCTAAGCTCATCACAAACATGCACTTTGGTTGTTCCGATCAATACAATTCTTTACAGCTTTCTTGTTAAAAATTACATACAATGAATTTGTTTATTTAAGGAAAGACCGAAAAATAAAAATCATAACTGAAGCAAAAAGAAGAGAAGAACAAGTACCTGAAAAATATGGCATAAAATACTAAAAAACGTACATGTCTTTTTAATCAACCCCAGAAATTAAGGATTTGATTATACTAAGTTACGTCTAATCTTTAGGAAAAGTTAGATAATTAACAGCAAGCAAAGAGGAAAAAAGAAAAGGAAAAGTGAGTATTGACTGGTCCCTCTCTGCCTTCAATCTTTTGAAAAATAACATTTTGGAATTAAAGATAACTAATCAGCATAAACAAACTGAGTGTTTAGATTCCCAGAAAACGAAGGAAAATAGTACAAAACAAAACTCGAATCCCTATTTTCAATTTCCAAGAAAATCTGGGAACTGCGAGATTCAAATTATGCACTTGAAAAAACAAGTAAACCACACATGCATGTTTTTAAACATGAAAAATACAGATAGAGAAATAGGATTGAAGAGAACCTGTTGTTATATTTCTGGTGCAAAAAGCTTCTTGAATCTATGAAGAGATCGGATCTAGAGATGTGGAGAGTGTTTCTTATGAAAGGTTTTACTTAGAAATGAGAAACCCAAAAAAGATATGAGAGAAATATGTAAAGAAGAGAATTAATGATTTCAGGTTTTGTTGTTTTTTGTCCGTCTGAGTTTCTTATATGTATGTTTTACTTAGGATCTCTTTTTTTTTCCTTCTTTTTTCTTTTCTTTCAATGTCATTTATGTTTCCTGATTCGTGAGCATATTCAATTACGAAGATCTTTTTTTATATATTTTTATAATAGTCTTATTATCTTTTCGATAATGGTTAAAAATTACTTTTACAATTTTATTGGCCTATATATTAGTACACCTATTAGTAATTCGTATGACTATCTTTTGCTTTTCTGCCGTTAGTTTACTGTACCCGACTCTCCGCTCGACGCTCAATGCTCTCGAAACTTTTTTTTTGTGCTCAATAAGTCATAATCTCTCTTGATAGTTAAATGAGACTCAAATGAATAGCCTTATTTCTATCAGTATCTTGGAATCTGACAAAGAAACAACATCTAAACACAAACATTTCTACTCTCCTTAATTTGTTTTATTTCTTTCTAGATGTACGTTTGATTAACTTTCAAAAGGTAGAGTGGGACAAAAATGCCAAAACCCTCCACGGCAGGCTTTGTATGTATGCAACCAAACCACAACATCTTTTTCACTCTATCGATCAGTTCATTATAAAAAAAAATGCATATATTTCAATTTAGACTGAATTAGCCGGTATAATATTGAGAAGAGGCAATTAAGAGAAAAATTACGATGATGAGCAAATGGGTAGCAAAATCATAACCTTTAACCACTCTCCCCATTATAACACTCTTCCACCTTCCGCCTTCCTCCCTTTTAAATACTTTTATATATGATTCTTTTACTCTATAACTCAACAAAAAAGGATCAACTATATTTAGCTTAACGAAGGTAAAACTATTGGAGATAATTCTATTTGAAATAGCAAATTTGAACATCAACAAAACATGCTGAGATAATCGCACGACAGTCTCATGTTCATATATAAGCATCGGACCAAGATAAATATACCCGTTGATAAACAAAATACGTCCATACAATGCTAAGAACATGCATCTTCTACCTTTAAAATTGAACCATGCATTAGCGTCTACGTAACACTAACACCTTGTCAAGATTCTTCTAATTCGAACAGACCAGTGACATTTCCGACGGATCATGATACTATCAACATTCCGTTGAAAGTACATCAGAAATTTCCAACAAACTCAATTCCGTCGGAAGTTTTTTTCAGAATTCCCCTTGTTTTATTGTGGTGACACGGTTGCTCGAAACTTTTAGTCACCTATCTCTGATTATCGTTGTTTCCCCAACTTCTTATACCATACAAAATCTTTTCTCCTCTATACAACAGAAACACGTCGGTAAGTAGTGAAGCATATACTTGTAAAACTGTGGTAATCAATACAATTTTGTATATTTTTTTTGTCTTGTATACTATTTTTGACCTTTTTCAAATTTAATAGCAACGCACAAAAACCTCATAGCTCAAGTTTACCTTCTTCGTCGATGGGACCATTTACCAAAGATGAAAGATTTGACGTTAGATGCAGACAGCAGTAACAAGGTGCGATAGATAGTTGTGACAATTTATTTGATTTTATTCTGCGGTGTTATTACGCAACATAAATAGAGTGATATATATCAAGGGAATGTGGTTCTCCTTCTTTGCTTCTGGCTAGTGAGTAGTGGCTCACGCCATTTGTTCTCCATATATGGTCCATCTTTTTATATTTTATATGTCAACTCTAGGTCTGGATTGTTTCAGAGACGAACGATAATTTTTGTGTCAGTATATTTTTAGAACATCTCTAAATATTTTTCTCATTATGAATTTTTCTTTTATTATCAAACTTAATTAAATAGTTTGTTTTGTCATAAATATTCCATTTGCGTGCAGAGCGTTTTGGTATATTATATTGGTTTTTGATTAAATATATAGTTTTTGTACTATTATATTGATTTATTTATTTATTTATGACTCATAAATAAAATTATCTTTCTTTCAAGTTTCATCATGTATAAATTTAAATTATATATAAGATCATATTATTGTATACTCTCTGAAATTCATTATAATAATTTTCATTGATAGTAATTAGTTATACTTAATATATTAGTGTTAAAAATAGTGTTTTTAATTTAAAACAATAATTCTGTTATTTAAAATAAGTTTTTAATAAATATCAATAATTATTCTGTGATATAAATAACTATAGCTAATTTATATATAATTGATTATATTTATGATGTAATTTGGTATTTTGAAATAATTAGTAAAATATTTTATAATTTAAGTTAAAATCTTAACATAAGTTTTAAAAATAAATAAATTATACTAAAATCAGTAAAAATTAGAAATATTATTATTAATGATAGACAAATTTAATAGTTTTCTCTGCTATTTGATTGTTGACCAAATTTAAGATAAAGATTATTCAATGCTATAAAAATGGGATAACAATAGCTTAAAAATGTAATAGTACTTTAACAAAACAAAACAAAAAGTATCCATCTAAAATTTATATAGTGGGACCTATTGAAAGTGGTGGTCGTAGAATCTCTGGTCTTGACATTAACATGATATGTCGATTAATAAAGGTGACTCTGTAAATATAACTTCTATCGTTGTGTGTCATGTCTTTAATACATTGCCAAGAGAATCCCGAAAGAGGATGATACAAACCCATTGATGACAATTTTGTCAATAGTTTGTATCGTAGTAAGTAGTACCAACCGAAGAAAACACCAATACACGTTGTATAAATCGAATATATATATGAACCTCCTTTCACCAATTCTAGTTAATCGTAACGGAGCGCAACACGCATATCTCGTCACAAGTAATAGCAATTCGCATTTACACCAATATAAAATTTATTTATCATGTGAACTTGATAATTATTTAACTGTGTGTGACATTGGATGAGCCGTCTTGTTAAAAAAAAAAAAAACTTTCGGAAACAAGATCGGAAAGTGCCTTGTTATGTTTGTGATTTGTCAAACAAAAGCGACTTGTTATTTGTTAATGACACGTTTAAAGCAAACCACTATACTAATTTATTAGATTGTACATGATTTGGCGTGTAAGCCTTATTTTGATAAAACAATTAGTCATTATTCGTTGACTTGTTACCATGCACAACACACGCATATATAGTATATATATACGTAATGTATAGCACTAGAAGGTTAATCAAATATTGTAAATCGATTTCTTGTTACTTTAAACAAGAAACAAAGATGGGTTTATCTTATGGCGGAGCCGTAGCAATCTTGGTCGGATTTGTACTCAATGATTTGATCAGAGCAATTACATGTACTCCTTTTCTTAGTCTCTCCCGTCTATTTGATCAGGCAAAAACGGTCGTCGGTACAACCAAGATTCCGATGAATGATATATTTCCGGCAATGAAGTTTGTGGAGGTGTCACGGCAAGATCCGCCGATAAGCTGCCAAATATGCCAAGAAAAGTTCGACGGCGATGACCAAGTCCGATGTTTGAGAAACTGCGTTCATGTTTTCCACCAGACGTGCCTTGACGTTTGGATTCAATATGATAAGATTACGTGTCCTTTGTGCAGGACACCGATCGTCCCTGATTTCTATTTTTTACGACTCTAAAGAGGTTGCTATTTTTTTTGTATCTGAATATTTAAAAATTCTTTGGTTGATATATATATATATATATATATATATATATATATATATATATAAATGTGTAATGTTTTCTCTGTTGACCGATGAGGTATTTGAAAATATTTATAACTATATAATACTTCTAGAGATTAATATTGAAATGTTCCATGGTATACATGTTTTGATGAAGATAAAAAATATGAAATGTTTGATTTTGGTAAATAGCAGAACTACATATTCCATGATTGTACGGTCTTCTTAGTTTGTATTTTAGTTTCATAGCATTTTCGTATATTGACGAGTTACGGTGGTTTATCCCAGTAGATAGATGTATCCGTTCAAATCTAATAACTCGGACAATGAACTACACTACTATAGATAGTTAACTGTTATTTTTTTCACAAAACGAAACAATGAACTATGTTAATTCTGACATCATATTGTTAGCTAAGTTTTATTTTTCTCCCAGTTTGGCCAGGTCCCACTCATGTTCCTAAATCCTAACCCATTATTTCCGCGTAGATTCGTGACTTTGACATCTTTCTTTTGTGCATCAAAACGGAGCATTCCGTGTCGCACTCTTCTTTCCGAGTGATTGTATTACTATTTCTCTAGTGGATTTCGACGAGTCAGTGTCATTTGCAGCTATTCTCAATTGTTTCCAACTTTACATTTAGACAAAAATAACTTGGAGCCGAAGATGTCAAAATGGACTAATGAGCTTGACATCTCTGCTCGGAGCCAAATCATAAGTTAACACTATAAATTTATAAGCATTGTTTACTTTACGCGTTAATTCGGAAATGGAGCTTTGTGAAAGAAAAGAAGGACGTTGAATAATGATTAATGAACAAACAAAAAAATTGTATAAACTAAACTCTTCTCGTAGATAAAATACAAACTCTAAAGCCAATAATGCTACAAAACTATGGTATCCAAATGAAAGAAAAATCCAAATTAAAGAGACAAAAAATAAAATGAATAGAAAAATACAAATGAGAAAAGAGGGAGCAGAAGATGTTGCTCCGTTTTTATCGCCATCCTCTCTATACAAACAACTTTTTTCCTTATCCTGCATTTATTTTTTTATTTTATTTTTTCACCAAATAAATCTTCTAAAGTAAAAGAATCTTCGATTGCGCGTGTGTAAGAATCAACTAACGATGTCGTATCGTGTATCTGTTTAGGGTTCTTGCCACGTCATCGTTTCACATTTGGGTTTCTTGAAAGAATCAATAGAACGGCGGTGGTGGAGGCGAAGCATATGATACTCCGAAGACCGGTGGTAAAGGTCCTTCATATTCAGGAGATGGCGGTGGGGGGCTGTTGTAAACCATCGGCGGTGGGGGGCTCTTGTAGATAACCGGCGGTGGTGGGCTATGGTGAACCACCGGTGCTGGTGGAGGCGATTCTTTACATGGAGCTGAGGGTGGCGGCGGCGGCGGAGAGCTGTAATGAACCGGTGGTGGAGGCGATGAATTGTAATAGACTTGCGGTGGTGGCGGAGAGCTGTAATGGACTGGTGGAGGAGGTGGTGAGCTATAATGGGCGACCGGTGGAGGAGGTGGTGAGCTATAATGGACAACCGGTGGAGGAGGTGGTGAGTATTCTATGCACGGTGGAGGTGGTGGTTCGATACAAGGAGGTGGGGGATGAGGGGAATAGATCGGTGGGGGTGGTGGAGAGTATACACGAGGAGGTGGAGGTGGTGGAGACAAGTAGGGATATATTGGTGGTGGAGGTGAATGGGGTGGCGGCGGTGGTGAATGATGTGGTGGTGGTGGTGGTGGTGAATGATGTGGTGGTGAATAATGCGGTGGTGGTGGTGAGTTGTAGTAGTAAGGGACAGGAAATGGGGGAGAAAACAGAGGCGGTGGTGGCGGCGAGTGAGATGGTGGTGGTGGTGGTGGTGGACGGGTGCAGTAAACCGGAGCTGGTGGTGGTGGACGGGTGCAGTAAACCGGAGATGGTGGTGGAGAAGAGTAAACTGGCGGCGGCGGAGATGAGTATACAGGCGGAGGTGGGGACGGTGGTGGTGGAGGAGGAGAATATACTGGTGGAGGCGGAGATGGTGGTGGTGGAGGAGAATAAACCGGAGGAGGTGGTGATGACGGCGGAGGAGGAGGAGGTGGTGGAGGAGAAGAATAAACCGGAGGAGGTGGTGATGACGGCGGAGGAGGTGGGGGTGGTGGAGGTGGAGGTGGAGGAGAAGAATAAATCGGAGGAGGTGGTGATGACGGCGGAAGAGGTGGGGGTGGTGGTGGAGAATAAATAGGCGGTGGTGGTGGAGGAGAATAAACCGGAGGAGGTGGTGATGACGGCGGAGGAGGAGGAGGTGGTGGAGGAGAAGAATAAACCGGAGGAGGTGGTGATGACGGCGGAGGAGGTGGGGGTGGTGGAGGTGGAGGTGGAGGAGAAGAATAAATCGGAGGAGGTGGTGATGACGGCGGAGGAGGTGGGGGTGGTGGTGGAGAATAAATAGGCGGTGGTGGTGGAGAGTTAACCGGTGGAGGTGGAGAATAAACCGGAGGTGTAGAGAATATTGGCGAGGGTGGGGGTGGAGTTGGCAGAGAAGGTGGTGGTAACGGCGTTACAATCGGAGGACGAGGCGTAACAGAACGACCACAACCAAACGATCCACAATTTACCGGCGGACGAGACAAGAAAGCATTACATTGCCCAGGCGACCTCTGAGCAGGTCTTCCCGGCAAACAATTTCTTCGATCATCAAACTCCGGCAATCTAAGACACACAGGCGCTTCACCGGTGAAGAAATTGTAACTATACGTAAAGTTCTCAAGCTTCGGCAACTGGCAAATACTAGCCGGAATCTTCCCGGATAACTTATTATGCGCCACATTAAGCTGCTCCACCGAAACCATCTCTCCGACGCTCTCCGGCAACGGCCCCACGAGCTCATTAAAGCTGACGTCAAACACCGTCACGTTTTTTAAACGTCCGATATCCGCCGGTAAGCAAGAATTAAGCCCATTGTTTATGAAGATGATCTCGTTCAAGTTCTTCATTTCCACCATACTCGACGGGATGCAACCGTGGAACTGATTATCCGCGAGGACGATGACGGAAACCGGCGAATCTCCAAAATTCTTTGGTAATTCAAACCGGAACCGGTTATGGTTTATGAAAATCGCGTCAAGATCTTTACTGAAGAGCTCTTTCGGTACAGTTCCTTCAAACTCGTTAAACCGGAGATCTAAAAACTTCAACGACGGTAACTGGAGAACAACCGCCGGAAATTTCCCGGCGAACCGGTTGTTACTGAGATCGAGCTCGAACAAAAGCTTCAGCCGATTAAACCGGTGCGGTACCATACCACAAAACCGGTTAGAGTTTATATGAAACAAAGCGAGATCTGATAACAAACCAAGCTCTTCAGGTAAGTACCCGGCGATATCGGCGTGATTGAGATCGATTCCGGCGACGGTGCGGATCCTCCGGTTATCGAGCGCCGGAGAGCAGAATACGCCGGTGTAGTTACAGACATTGGATCCGATCCAATTCGCGGTGAAATTGTAAGGATCGGAGAGGATTGCTTGTTTCCAAGCCTGAAGAGCTATGTAAGCATTACGTAATCTAAGGTTTTCGAATACCAGAGAAGGATCGACGGTGACATTCACGCTGCGTTCGGCGAATTCTAGTAGCTGACGGCGTTGAATGTGACGCACTTCGTTGTCGGAGAGAACGCCATGAGAAGAGATCGAGAGAGAGTGGGAGAGATTGAGGAGGAAGAAGAAGAGGAGGAATTGAGTCGTCGTCTTCTTCATTTCACTGCACAAGACATCTGAGTGAGAGTGGCAATGAGGTGAGAATTCGAAGGAGAAGCGAGGGTAAAATGGGAAATGTTATGATATGGAGATATGAGGAAAAGAAGGAACTTCGTTTATGTGTTGTGGTGGAAGAAGAAGAGAGAGAGGAGAATATAAATGAAAGAGAGACAGCTCATTCACAGCTCAAGCCTAAACCCATTTGCTTTTCTCCAAGTTTTTATTTCAGTAATCATCAATTAATTATTGATTATCTCCCACATATATTCTCGTTTTCTAACTAATATTTGACCCATTTTTTATTCTTCTTACAAATGAGATTTTATATATTATTACAAAATGCATGTGATTAATAATTTTATATATTTATCACACAAATGAGGATGTGTTGATCAAGTTGATTCTAAGCTAAAAGATGTCTTCACCGAAAGGTCTCGTGGCCTCTTTTTGTTTACTTTTCATATTTCTCAATCATCTCCAGCACATATGATATTCCATTAATAGCTGGGGAGAAAAATGATACTCCATTGATAATTTAATATCTATACAAAAATTAATATTGAAAGTGTAAGAGATTGCCTAAATTTAATGTAGTATGTACAATTTATGAATTTGATAGATGATTTTCTTAAGAACATAGTTGTTACATGAGTATCAAGATATACAGTTTCATTCTATCACAAATACGTTCACGAATGCTAAATAATTTGAAGGACGATATAAATAATTTAGTATATAGTTTCACGATGGAAAATTAATAATGAAGAGTTTAAAGCATAATTGGACCACAACAGACGACTTTACTTGAAACACGATATATTTTCTGAATTCTGATAAACATTGCATTTATGATTTGTAAAAATAAACTATACTTTCTGAAGAACAAAACACGCTAACTCTGGTGTTGATTTTAGATATGAAATATTTTGATAGAAAATGAATGAACAGATAAATTAGTAGGCGCATGTATATAAATTAATAATAATGAAGACGCGCAAAGGAGAAGAAGAGGAAAGAAGAAAAGGATAATGCCAGCTTTTTCGCCTCTCTTTTGTTCTTTGATGTGGAAATTCCTTTTCAACAGATTCTACAGAAGCAAACAAAAGCAAAAGTCTTTAGAATAAGGACATCTAATACATTATATGAGATGCCATTATTCACAACTAATCATATGCTTATGTTAACAATAATTATTCTCGTAAGCAATAAAAAGATGGAAGTAGTTACGTAATAATTCAAAAATACAATAAATTTAAGAGACGTGGTTAAGGGGGCAAGTCGGTGTGTTCCTGCCGAGAAACGGCGTATTGGTTGACCGTGAAACCTATACTTACGTAATTTAATAAAATTTGACCGTTGCCGATGAAATTTGCTGATATCACGAGTTTATTTTTATTTTATTATTTCCCAAATCACGAGCTTATTTGGTAAACGCTGTTGAGTGTTAAAATTTAAACGCTGTTGAGTGTTAAAATTTGCTAAAACAGATGTTTGCAGTTGTCAGTAAGCAAATGTGGTTCTCTCTTGATATAAGTAAACAGATGTTTGCATTGATATGTTGCTAAACCCATCCTGTTACAACTGGTTGACATCACATGCATAAGCTAGCGTATAAAAAGTGTATTTACCAAAAATGGTGTAGAAATATTTTTCTTTTTTTTTGTATAAATATTTTCCTTAAGAATTAGACGTTTCATTTTAAATGTTACCATGGGTACATACTCCTAAAACAAAGGATTAAATCAAATTTATATAAGCACTTGAAATCATCATTGGTGTAGTTTTTGGTGATTGAGAAGACTAAGTTTATTTTAGAATGAAAGAGCAAGGCTTGGGGCCTTGGGGGAGTAGTAGTTATACCAGAGCATCGCAGAGGAGTGGTTTGATCCAAAGCAGTTATTGTCAACACTTTACTTGTCTACAGCGCACAAAGTCGAGTAAAACGTCGATACACTTGACCTTATCTTTTAGTAAACCACGTTACACTTGACCTGTCAACAGTTTGTGCACAAAGTCGAGTAAAACTTGATAGGGGTTTTGGAAAGATATCTTTATAAAAAATGGTTTTGGAAAGAATTTCAAGGATGTACTCTATTTTTTATCATTTTTTTTCCTTTTCTTACAAACTAAGCTTGCATCAAATAAAGAGAGTTTTTTCTCCAAAAGGAAAAAATACAAGAGGTCACAAGGAACCCAATAAACAAAAACATCAGACCACATATTTGTCTAGCACAAGATTAAAGTGAGAATACAACAGCAACTCAAGTAGAGATAAATGGATAGATGGGAGTATACAAGCTCAACCGAAATAGCAATCAGACCAACACAACAACAGACCACCAAGAGGAGGATAACCACCTCCAAAGATAAGGTCAATCCGTCAATAATTTCAATTGATGATCGAGACACGAAGAGTGGATTGGTTACTATTCTAAACAGAACATCCTTCAACGCCATGCTCCTTTTATTAGAGAACTTGTATGTAGGACAAATTCTAATCTACGAAATCATTACATGTGTCACCGTCAATTTAAATAGTGACATGTTTAAGTTTTAATCTCTACGACACATGAGAATTTACGACAAATAGGATAATTTAATAGTTACAGTTTATATATTTACAAATTTAGAATAATTAAAATTTTAAATTTAAAAATTAAGTATATAAACTTAATTAAGAAGTAAGATTAAAAGTAGAAAACTAACAGAATAGTTGTCCACCACCTAATCAAGTAACTGATAAGAAGGAAGTTTTACAATATTCTAATTTTCAATTGTTCAATTTTTTTTTTAATTTTCTAAAGAGACGGAAATAATAAAAGGGAAAAAAATTAAATAAATAGGAAAATTCCAAAATTCCAAAAACATTTATAATCTTTGTGCAATTTATTTTCTGATCAACTTTTCTTATAATTTATTCTCCTCAAAATTGTATGCCACTGTATTTCTTCTTAAATTTATGAAGTAAATTTCCATCAGTAAATCAAAACATATGGTAGTAACTTAGTCAACCAAAATCTTTTATCATGAATTTGACTAAATCAACACATATTTAAAAAAATTATTGATTTTTTTTTTTTATATATATAACTTACCAATTGTTACGTTTTATTTTTCAACGCATCAACAAAACTTACCAACAATTACATTTCAGTCAGAATTCTTTAACTTTGCTTTTTGTGGTGTGGTGGACTTTTCTTTAAGTGGATTTTAGAAAAGATTTGTTTTTTATATGCTTACTTTAAATATAGATTAAAATCAAATTTGATTCAATCACATTCCCTCAATATAAGAAATATAAAATACCATTTTTGTATTGTTTTTGGCATTTGGTATATATGAAATGTGATTCATGCACACTACTAGCCTTTCATTTGTAAAAATACGGAAAATAAATAGCTTCTTAACTTAGATCAAAATTTAAGCATTTATAAAAATGAATTAAGCTAAATTAAAATTCTAGTTGTACACTATATATAAGGGGTTTCAGATGAACAAGGCTGGGAATGGCTGAAAGCTAAAAAGCCAAATTCACTGTTATTGATACAACAAACAGACGAGGTATGTATACTTTTCCCTACTTTTATTTGTAGATTGGTAAATAATCTTGTAATTACAAATAATCAAATTTGGATGTTACAGTTAATTTCAATTTCATTCACAAATGTTGTTTTGAATATGTTCATGTCTTATAGATTTTTTTTTTTCCTTACAATATATCAGATTTGATAATACTTATACAGTCACAGTAACAAAAAAAAATAGATCTTTATTATATTTTGTCTTTGTGTTGTTATGTTGGTGGTAGGAACCGAAAAGAGACAGGAAAAAAATGGGGAATGAGAATTGCGATATTTGCAACAAGTTAATTGAGGAAATCGCATCTCTGGACAAGTGTATCCACAGATTAACAAGTTTGTTAATTTTTTCTAACGTATCCCGACTTTCATTTTATTGATATCTGAGCTAATTATTTCATGAGTTTCTTTTACCATAGCACCTTGTTTTGTTGGGTATTGCTTTCTTTATTTTATCATCACTAGTCATTTGCTTTCGTAGAATCGACCAGCTTTATATTCTCTGTATATATATTTTCATGGAAAATATCTATACGTACATATAGATATATAGTTTATGAGCAAATCTATAAATTATCTATAATTTCACTATATAGTTATATTACATCACCTTGCATTAACTGTTCATTGCATGAACTAATTTCACTTAATAACTTTGGAAGATGTCAAGCCATTGGTACCTGTCAAAGCTGAAGAAAATGATGAAAACATTGTGATGGCAATACTCATCGGTGAAAGTAGTGTCAAGATCGAGTTACCTTCTGCTTCTAAAGAGGAAGGTAAAACAGAAAAAGTTGATCCACTGGCACAAGCTACACCACAAAACACAACTCCTTCTGTTGCTATTAACAATCAAAGCACTCCAATTTGGTTTATATTGAAGTCTTTTAATCATCGCAAGTAAGACTTTAATATTCCCCAACTTCCTCTTTTTGTTGTTGTTGTTGTTGTGTGTGTGTCTTAAATTGATGTCTTATATTAAAACACAATCTTTCTTGTCTTTCAGGGATACCCATTTACAATTGCCACAACTCCCTAACCGTTACATTAGGGTTGAGTAAGTTCACTACTTAAATCATATCTTTCCAATTAGTCAATATTTTTGTGCAGTTTCAGTTATATTTATCTTGAGTCAGCTCTACAAAAGCTATTAAACAGGTAGAGGTGTCTCTAAACTAGATAGGTAAAATAATTTGATGATTCTTTGCTTGGTCATATCCACAGGAACAGAGACATGACTGTAGCATATGTCCAAAAGTACGTTGCAATGAAATTGGGTCTTGAAAGCGAGAATGAGGTGATTTTTCTCTTCTTTCTCTCTTTCTTTTAACTTTTTTCTTTCATTCAACAAAATGATCTTGAGTTATATTTGTGGATTGTAGGTGGAGTTATATCTGAGGGACCTGCCTTTGGATCCATCGATGTGGCTGCTTGACTTATTAAACTATTGGGTCGCGACTACGTGTCCTCAAACAATACTTACAAGAACGGGAGCTTCCGCCGAGGATTACATGTTGATCATCTCCTATGGTCGCAAAGCTTAACCTGCGATTTAGCTATCTTGGGATTTCTTCTTTATTTTCGCATCATGAACAACTCTCTTCAAGTTATTGAATAAGTTTTCATCCGTTTTACTTTCTTATCAAGAAAGCAAAGCTGTTTGATGTAATAAGGTCCAAAAGTCCTTGAACAAAACTTTTTTTTCTCTCCATTTGGTTGAATTCTGCTAGTTTGTTTAATGATTTTTTAAAAAACTATTTGTTTTCATGTTTAATTTACTTGGTTTCAAGATATTTGAACTCAACTCATATATTTAATTTACTTTTTGTTCTCATATTCGTTTGTTTCAGTTAAATTAATTCTGATTCTATTTGACTCAATTAGTATCAAAAGGCAAGTTCATATTAATTAGAAAGGGATGTGTTTCTTCATATATGTACGGAAAAATATAAGGAAAACTTGGAGTGTTGAATCCGAATATATTTGCATCCATCATCATCAATATTTTATAGATGTTTGGAAGAAAAGTAAGCAAAACAATCTCAAAGGCTGAAACAACTCTCTTTGAATAAACAAAATTAGCCTATATCCAATAAATAAAGACGTTCAAGAAGGATCCAACACTAAAAAGCTATTAATACATAATATAACACCACTTGATTATTTCAGCACAATTGAGACCTTGTTTTTGTGAGAAAGTGTAAGAGCGATTTGAGACAGCTCCTCAAACCCTGGTCTGTTAAGGTAACTCCCCAAGTGGACAACCAATGTCTCCAGTGTTCTTGTGTTTGCCAGCAAAAGCTCAATGAACGAAGCCACGAGATCCGGCCTTGCAACTTCAAACACTGACCCAGCCGGAAAGATCAAGTGTTGTGGATCTTGTGGGTTCACGTACTTATTAACATATTTCTCCTGAAAAACAGAAAAAAATACGTATCATCATGCAAAACTAAAACTCTTTTTGCCAAAGAAACGGCAGGACATGCTTTTTCTTTGGATTATTTGTGATAATAAAAGAGGTTCATGGTAAAGATCGATACCACTGCGCTGTTCCAATCTTCAGTTTTGTAAAAAGTTATCTTCTTTAATCCAGGTGAGTTTTGTAGCAGCTTTGCTATACCAAGAATCGCAGATCGCAAAATTGTTGTTTTAAGAGTCAACGTTTTGACCTTAAAAATCGGGAAAGAAACACCACGGAACTCGGCAATAGATAGCATCTAGCAAATAAGAATGATCACAAAGAGATAGTGAATACCTCTCAACAAAAGAAAAGCTTATAATCATAAACTACTTAAGCATGTATATAAACATTAAAGTTTGTAGTAAAGACATTGCATGCAGCTCAAGTGATCCTGTAACACATATAGAGAGTTCTAAGTATTAAAGGATGCAAGAATGGCAACATACCTGAAGAAAGCTAAGCCCAACAGTAAGATTCTCTACGTTCTGCAACTTTTCTATCGTTTGCATCATCACTTGATAATCCTCATCCTTCGAGGGATCAAGTTGAATACACCAGAATCTAGGTAAGTAATAGGCAGTGTCTACGTTAGCTTCAGTTAAAGAGGGGACATCGGACAAAACACACTTTGTCCTAAAATCTATCAATCTCAAGTAATGGATATGAGGAGCCACGATATGAAATTCGTGTGGAGCAAAACTGGCGCGTTCTATATCCAATCTTCTAAGGCGTAGTGATTCACTCAGATCAATGCAACGAAGTGTACACGACTGCAATGTCAAGCTTTCCAGCATCGGAGAACCAATAAGAATCTTAGCAAATGATTCATCAGAGCATATAGAGCGCCACAAAGATAATTTCCGTAGTGATGTCCATGATTTTCCGAGGAAGAAATTGTTGTGGACATCTGGAAAAGTATAATAAGGAGCGAATACCAAAGAAAGCTCCTCCACGTTGTGGGATAATGCAAACTTGATCAAGCTATCAACGTGGTCATTGCTTTGGCTTGCTACGCAGGTTTCCCTATTAACATAGAGATGGAATCTCATGATTTTGGCGGCTGAGTGGCTGGCTAGGGTTTTGAGAATCGATTCAATATAGTCTTTAGAAGTAGGAAAAGAGAGATAAGGTGTCTCGCACCATAGATGCCTCCATCGTTTGGACAAGACGCTAGTTGTGATGGCTAGTTTGGTCGGAACAAAGGAGAAAATATGGTGGAGGATCTCGTCCGGTAAAGAGCTGATTAAGTCTACGCCGCCGAAGAGGGGGCTAGGGTTTGGTGCACCGGCAGGGGTTGTACACTGTTGGGGGAGGTGTTCTTCCATGGCTGTCTGATCTTCAATCAATCTTCTGCGTTACAAAAGTTGGGACTAGACGTAAGGTATTGGTTTATGGTTTTTAATAGAGTTTAGATCCAACTATAATCCATTGTTATTCAATGGTTTTCAAATCTTCTAACAAAATCTAGTGTTATTGGTTTAAGTACGTATTTAAAATACTTTCATTAAAAGAGTTTAAAATCTGGTGATATTCAATTAAGGATTTGTATAGATTAATCAAAATCTTGTGTTATTGAAGTAAGTAATTAGGGCATCCGAGTTGTTCGGTTTGTGAATAATGTTGCCGACATAAACCGAACAAAAGATCGACTCGGTTGGTTTGGAAATCGGTTATTTTAGTTCAGTCACCTCCTTAAACCAAAATTATTTTTTATTATTAAAATTCACATATGACTAATTTTGAATAACAAATGTCTTATTCATACCCAATTTATAAATACAAATAATATATTGACGTCAATATAATTTTACTATTGATTTTACAATTTTCGGTTTCATAGTTTCAATTTTCACATACAACAACTTGCACACTATTGATCTAGAATTATATGATTTTAATAAATTTACATCAACAATTAAGAAAACTATCTATGATATTGATCATATACTTCGTTTGGAAAAAAAAAAGTATCTAATGATATGAATTTGAAGCTTGAAATTAGTCATATGGTTGATTTCTCATACAATTAAGACTACCAATGTTGCAATTATTACAGAGCCAAGAACAGAGTAGTTTGACATGGAGAAGGACTTGATCTAAAAAGATGCAAGTAACACACAAAACCAGACGGTTTATTCTTTTTTTTTAATTTGTCAATTTTTAAATCCTGAACTTCGACAAATTCGATGTTCCATCAAGACCTTTCTCAATGTATCCCTTTGTGTACTCTGGTACAGTGAAGTCTCTGTATTTCGGAGGGTTTTCTTCAGACAAAAGCTCTTTGATTGGTCCGTAAACAATTGGATTTGGATTCATACTCGAGCTGAAAAAGCATGCAACTGAAATTCTTGGTCCAACTTTGTTTGCAAGCACCCTATGCTCCACGCTTATGAACCTATCGTTCGTCATCATCTATATACAAAAACCAAATAAAGGTGAGATTGAGAAACTAAAACGGTAGAACCTATGTTCTATGTTGAAAACTATGGATCAATGAGCCTACCTGCAAAAAATCTCCAATGTTGATGACAAGTGCTCCAGGAATAGGAGAGACGTTGACCCAACAGTCTTGATGAAGAACTTGAAGACCTCCGATTTGATCTTGAAGAAGGATGGTGATAAAGGTGTTGTCGGAATGCTTGCTTGTGCCCAAAGTTAGGTCAGGTTGTGGACATGGAGGGTAATAATGGCAGATCACATGTAAACTCTTCATACAATCCATACTCTTAAGCATTTCAGAGCTCAAACCAAGAGCTTCTGAGAGAAGCTCAAAGAGCAAACTACTTATGCTCATCACATGATTCGAGTAACCAATCATTGCATCCCTGAGACCAATCATATCAGAATCGATATATATAAATTTTTCATAATATTCTTGAAGAGAAAAAAAAATTACCTGCAAGCTAATGGAAGATCCTCAGGTTTTGGAGGATTAGGAGCCATGTAACCACCGAAGCTGTCTCTCCAGTTACCAGAAGAGGAACTGTACAGTTCAAAATTATTGTGGTAGATAAATGGTTTGGAGAAGTCTCTTGAGAAGTAAGATTTCTTAACCTCAGGATCTTCCTCATGAAACCTTATAACTCCATCTTTGATCTCTTCAAGAACGCTTAAAGGAATACCATGATTGATCACCTGGAAAATTCCCCACTTCTTTGCAGCATCTTTGATCTTCTCAACAATAGCTTCGCGTGACACGGCGTCCACGAGGACGCTTGCAAAATCGATGGTAGGAACTGTGAATTCTGAGTCAGAGACACAAGGTTTCTTGTCATCTAAGGCATTTGGAGGAAGGCCAAAGATTGGAGGAACCTTGGTCTCACCGGAAGACTTAGCTTGTTGTATGAGTCACACTCGATCGAGTTTTTGGCCACCATTTTTTTTTTCTTCTTCAATATTGCTGACAAAGAAAGCTGCTTATGTAGTGCATCTATTTAATGGAAAGTGAAGTGAAGAAGGAGAAAGATGATAAAAAGTTAAAAATCATTAAAGAATAAAATTAACAAATAATTACAAAATTGACTTATATACCTCCATAAACAAGATTTTCTTCCGATTTGTAAAACAGTGACAGTAAAATATATGTTACTTAAAATCAATTTAATAAAAATGAAAGCTAAAAAATTAAAATATATCTACTGTAATTAAATTAAATATCTCATAAGGCCCAAAATAATCAATATAATTTTAAATTATTTCTTAAGAAATAAATAAACTTCTAAAGTTTGTTTTTGATAAAAAAAAAAAAGAGAGATGTTAAGAGAAGAATAAGCTTTGTTAAAAAAGTTATGGTAAAAGACTTTTCAAAAATTTAAAAATATTTCTAAGAAATGAGTTTTTTTTTTCATTTTTTAAATACTACCTTTGTTTAAAATATTTTCTCAAACAGTGTAACGGAAGATGTTTGGAGTAACTATGGAGATTCCTACATGCACAAAATGTGTCGTCACGTGTCGTATGTGGCGTTTTTGTAACTGACATTGAGAAATGGGTAACCGACAGTGAGACCACATTAATCAGAAGCCTAGATTCAGGAGATGGAGTGGTCAAGCAGGCGAGAGGTTGCCTTCCTCGTTTCTAGTTTTGTCACTTTGTGGATTCATTATAGAATACACGTGTGGATATAGTTTAACGTGTAGATCTACATAAACTTGGTTCATGATCTTATCAAGTGTTAGGATGTGACCAACCTGTTTGCCACAATTATTTCATGTGTTAGTACATCATCCGTGGTTAAATGTTTTCTTACATGGTTGTATGTTCTGTTTACTAATTTTGTGTTTTCATTTTAAAGGCCACTGTCAAAAGTTTTCTTACCATTTGTTTTGAATTTTATTTAGTTTCGATTTTTTGTTGAAAGAAAACCAACGATATGATTGTAGACCAAGCCAAAAAGCTTTTGGTATCATATATTATAGGAAGTTGTACATATATTAGAAATTTTGAGGAATACATCTCTTTAAAGTGATAAGTTCACTCATCCTTGTATATATTTCACATCCACAAAATTACACGTAACTTATCTATTTTCATATCCATAAATCAACTTACTGTCGTCGAAGAAGAAGCCCAACGCAAAAGAGAATAAGCGGAAATCAATGTTGGAGAAATATCGTCAGAGATAAAAGTTTGATGAGAAATAATCGGAGAAGATCATGCTCGGAGAAGGAGAGAAGACGGAATCGAGAGATAATATTGGAGGTAAAGCTGGGATTATTTTTGTCTATTAACACTTAAAAAATGTGTTTAACTGAAAATTTGCACCGTATATACAATTGAAAGGGGTGTATAACTGAAAATAGGTGCAGTGGGTGGTGTATTATTGAAATTTGCCCTAACTTAAACCAAATTTTTTGGTGCAATTTCGGTTCATAAACTGTAGGCTAGAAGAATATTCAGAAATATTTCTTGTCATCTCCTAAAATATATCTTAATGCGCTTATTAGTTCTGATAACATAATATCCTAACATGTACCTACCGAAAAAAAAAACTAGAAAGAGATGACAAGTATTTAAAATTTATGCAATTAATTTTGTATAAGTCCTAAGTATTATGGTTTCTTGTCTCTTTAAAAATTACGATAAAACCTGAAACTGAACCATATATATTTTTTAAAATCACGTGATCCAGGACCATAGTCATAACACTTATTAACCAATCATAATACATTTTCCTTATTCTACCAAAAAGTAATAATACATTTTCCTTATATAAAATATTTATCAATCTCTCTGTCGTCCACGACGTACAGTTGGTATAAAAAAAAAATTAATGTCACAATTGTATGATTACTAAACTAGAAATTTGATTACAAGCCTCATGAAAATATTGAGGTTTGCTGAATGTATGCTGCAAATATGTACACATTCATCAACATGTGTTACAAAGTAATCTTTTTCTAAAAACAGATCTTGGAGTATTTGACATTATAACATAATCGCTTACTTATCTTCAACAAGATGAAAAACATGCTGAAGTATTTCTTTGCAAAAGAAAGAACATATACTAAGAGAAAAATATATTTATAGATAAGACCAAAGAGTTTGCTAATCAAACTGTAATAGATAAAGTATGCCAACAAGTGTAGATAATTTAAGTCTTGTATATACATGTGCTTGTGTGCCTGTTCAGTTTTAGGAAGAAGAGAAGAGCCACAATCATTATCCAAGGAAGCATAAGCTCACATATTCATAAAACATAGCATGAATCCGAGAGAAATTATTAAGAAATTAGTTACCTAAGTGAAGACCATATAAATTCCAATGTGACCAACAGTTAGTTCACTAAGAAAAAAAGTAGGAAAAAAAAAGTAGCTATTACGCTCAGTTTCCCTTCTTTTTCAGTCTTCCATGCATTTCTATCAAAATAAATAATGTAAAGATACAAATACAAATGGTTATCACTTATCACCAGAAGAATTAGTGGAACAAAGATAAATGGAATAGGAATGAATCGAATGATAGATGAAAGATACAAATAGGAATGAATCGAATGTAAAGATAAAAATACAAAATTTGCGAACTTTATTTGTGTACAGTTTTTTTAGTGCTAATTTAAAGTATTACTCTGAAAAGCTTTATAGGACCGTTAAACCCTGAAATCTGAATCCTTTCTTAACCAAATTTTAATTTTCCAAGAAGGGTTTTGCCACAGTAGCCAGAAAACGCCGCCGCAAAATCAAAACTTTGATTTTCCGGTGATTTCGAAGTTGTGGGTCCTTCGCAAATGAACTCGATTCGACGTCTCTCGTTGACGCGGCGTGTGAAATTCCTGAGCAGCGACGGGTCACGTGTACGCCATTTCTGCGGAAACGTCGTCAAGGACGAAGGAGACTGGTCTTACTCGCCTGAATGGTGGGATCCTCAAGACGGCGGCCACACGGTTTCACGATCTTCCTCCGTCAAAGGCAACGGCGTCGTTTCTGTCATTGCCCACCCTTCTTCTCTTCCTGTGAGTATCATTAGCTAAAATCTGTTGAATCAATACTTGAACCCTGAGTTTGTTCTTGATTTACAGATCGTCAAAGTCAAACATTAATTAATTGAGAAGATTTCTAAGTTTGTTCCTGATTTGTATATTGCTGAAGTGAAAACATTTAGTTTTAATTGAGAAGATTCTAAAGATGTTCTTGATTTGTGGACTGTTAAAGTGAAAACATTAGTTTTAAATTTGAGAAGATTTCTAATGATTTCTCTTTATGTAGAGTAGAGAGTCATGGGCAGAAACCGAGAGATGGCTAGAGAAAAGGTATATGGAGATAATGCCAAGAGATGAAGAGAAGAATGGCAAGTTTAGTATACTCGGATATCAATGGCGGTCTCTTCGTTTCAACGATGATACTCGACAAAGCACTGTCAAAGTCATGGCTGCTTGTAGGGAATTGCAACCGAGCTCCATTTTCTACATGCAACAACCTCACTGCCTTGCTGTTCCATGTAACTGTTAACAGCTCTCTTGGTTTAGTTTAATGGTGTTGTGTTTAAACCAAACTCTTTTTTGTTGGTGACAGATCTTAAGAGCATGGTTTCAGTTGGGTTGACTTCTCTTTTAGCTTCTAGATTCGATATGAAGAGTGTAGCTGTTGGGAAGAAGCAAATGCGCATATTATGTATCGGTCATGGTGGAGGAAGCTTACCGTTGTTTTTAGCTAACCACATTCTTGGTTAGGAACTTTTTACATCCTCATAACTTCAATCTCTAGTTCTTGATCTTTGTTGATGTGAATGGTTTGTTAATAACATGTCTTGTAGGTGCTGTTGTTGACATAGTTGAGATCGATCCAGTGGTTATCTCTGAATCGGTTAGAGCAATGGGCTTCCCTGCATTCTCTGTCATGAACACAGCAACAGGGAAACGTGCGTTACAAGTTCCAGGCGTTATCGATCAGGTGATGTGGCGTGGAATCCATGAGAGACTCTTCCTTTACGAATCAGAAGCTAAGGAGTTCATTCTCAAGAAGAGAGATAATACTTATGACATGGTGTTCATGGATGCTTATGATGGAGGAGATATCTTTCCACATAGTCTATGGGATTCGAAATCCGTGTTCATGAAAGCTTTAAGCGAAAGGCTTCACCGTGAGCATGGAACTTTGGTGGTGAATCTTCACTCTGATGCTGAGATCTCGGAGATAGACAGAGCAAATGAAGGTGTAACGACGGGGAAGTATGTGAGGAAAGTTGGTAAAGCTTACAAGAGGGGTTTGATGGAGAATGAAAAGAATGGGAAGAATGGGATGGTGTTTGCTTGTGAAGTGCCATGGCTGTGTAATGTATCTTTGGTGGTGAGCAGAGGGATGAGATCAGAAGGAAGAGATAGAGACAGAACCATGAGAGATCTTGTGAAGACTTCTTTAGAAGTGGATCGAATCTTGCATCTGCCTTTCTCTTGCTTGGATTATCTGAAAACTGGTCTTGCCGTCATATAATTTTGATCTCTGTTATGTTTTTGTGAGAAGAGAAGACAAAGCAAAAGCTAAACACAACACACTAAAATTTCATTAGGAGTTCTGTTTCTTGCATTCAAAATGTGCTGGTTGCAATCTCCATTGAAGGGAATTTAGTAGTAGCAAAGCAGCGTGTTCTTGTTGAATTCTCATTAGGGTTTTTTTCGTATTGAAAGGTTGTTTCTTTCTGCTTTTTTTGTCTTTGGCCATTGTATTGGTTTGGGGTAAGAAAACACATGACTATGCAATGACAATCGAGTAGCAATTTATCTATACAAAATCTTACAAAACATATGTATCTCTGGCCTCGCCTCTTTCTCTTCTCACGTCTCTAGACCAGCTCGCTCAGGCTTTTTGATTTACTGCACATTTGAATCCCAATGCAGAAACATTTGATTAGCTTTCACAACAACCTCAAGATCTCGACTTAAACATTTGAGCTCAAATACAGTAGTTGCGTTGCGTCTATAAACCTTGACCTATTCTTATGGTTATGCAAATACCAATTACACTTAATTGGCACAACGCTCTACTTATACCTCAAGCATAAAAACTATGTTTTCTATAACTTGAATCCTGTTCTCCAATCTTAGAATCGTCTTAGAGACACTATAATCATCACATTGTAACCAAAGCAAAGTGTTTGATAAAAAATCTCAGTAGGATCTCATGAGGAAACCAAAAGGGAACAAACTGTTATACCTGAGGATGACAATCTTGGTGTGTAACTTTCTGGTTGTTAACATTAACATACACCTCACAAGACACTTTACCCTGTAAAAATAACCAAATTTTTTTATCATCTAATAGAAGCAAAATCATATATCAAAGTTCCTAAAATTACTCTTTACAAAGCCCTAAAAATAGAGAATCCTAATCACAAAACTATGCAAAAAAACCCATTAAGAACCCTAAGCCTAAATCCATATTTGTTCAATGTTGATTCCTTCCTCGAATCAAAACGAATTGGCTACAGAACAAAGATGGATATTTATACCTGAATTGGGATATGGAAGAGAAGAACACCAAGATCACCTTTGACCTGAGCAATTGTATCAAAAGGTACAACACCTTTAGCCAAATCTCCGATCAAGTAAATCACATCGTGAACAACCTCAAGACCATCGAGCTCAAGCGTCGCGTTGACATAAGAGCTATCGCGAGCACGAAGATGCCCTCCCTGAGATTTCACGAGCCCTAACTCTCTCCCTCTGTACCCAATCGAGACGACGAGCGAGTCGTAGTCAAGGGAGAAGAAATCGCGGTTCCGGACTTTGATCGTGAGGGAGAACGAGAGATCGAGAGCGGGTTTAAGCGAATCGAGGACTCGTATGTGGTTGAGCTGGATTCGCGAGACGTTGATGTCTGGATCGGAAGGGTAGAGGAAGTAAACGGCGGCGGAGAGGAGAAGTATTGCGGCGGTGAAGAGGAGAGAGCAACGGAGGTTGCGGAGGAAGGAAGTACGACGGTTCCGGCGGTAAGGAGTTAGAAGGATGACGGTTTGTGAAGGTTGTGATGAAGGAAGAGGTGTATATGGGATGCCATATTCTTGCTTCGACGCCATTATCGTGTGTGAGAGTCTTCGACGAAGAAGACGATGCGTTTCAAGTTTCAATGGAGGGGGTTAAAAGTAGAATTTGGAAATTATGGGCTTTTTGGTGAGGATTAGATTATAGAGCCCAAAGCCTTTTAATTTGCAATTCCTGAAGTGACAAAAAATGAAAAACAATGTTGACAGTGGGATTTGAACCCACGCCCTTTCGGACCAGAACCTTAATCTGGCGCCTTAGACCAACTCGGCCATATCAACTTTGATGTCCATTGTAGGACTATGAAAAATATTAAATGAACAACTGGGCAAGAGATTTAAAGTAGACTTTTATAAAGGCTCCATATATATAATCACAACTTATATCAGATTTTCCAAAGTGGGGCTTATGTTAGAAGACTAATGCATATGTAGAAACTCACATTTAACAATTTTTTGTTGTTTCATCAAAAGGCTCCCACGGAGTATAGAATTAGAATCACTACTAGTAGTAGTACATATAGAAACTGATCAAACAATATTATTATTTAGCATATAATATAAAGATAAGCGACAATAGAAATGAAAACGAACAATCCCAATAAAGACTAGTACTACTACTACTACTACTACTACTACTACTACTCAAGTGCTAATAAACAATGGACCAACTCTTGTGCCTTACATAAGCAAAGGACTATCTACATGATCCAAGAAGGTTCGAACCATATGATCCCCAGTTCCAGCCACTCCTTGGATCTCAACTCTTGTGAGCTTTTTCGTGACTGTATCGTAATACAAGACAAAGAATGGTCCTTGAGGCTCATAGTCTGGTGTGAAAACAAGCTCCCCTGTTCCAACAGTACCTCTGAAACAAAATGTTAGATCTCCAGCAGATTCTTCTTCCCAATGATGAACCTCGATCCGGTTTGTCCTCCAATTTCCTGCAGTTTCATTCCTAACCAACAATTCAACAACTCAGTTGCCATTCGGTTCCGTCTCAAGTCCTCCATAGAAAGAGTTATACACCAAGGCTATTTCCCCATTGTAATTCACCATGTTGGAATAAGCATCAGTTTTGATTCCCTCAGGCAAATCTATGACGTTGAACTCTTCAGACGTCACATTGAAACTCACTATGAAGTGTTTTTCATCTCTGTACCAAGCCCCATAGTACAAAACTCCTCCTTTGCATATTGCGTTTGTGAGTGGTGTGTGAGGATGCTTACATATGATCCATCTCCACGACTCATCACCACCCGATCCCACCGTGAAAACTTGACACTCCTTAGCTTCTTGCACTCGCATACACAAAACCTTGTATACATCTGTGACCTCATCGTATCCGAGATAGGCCGCTGTGCCCCAATCTGCAACTGTACGTTTTTGGATCTCTGGTAAAGTCAGAATCTTTCTCGCACCCGGATTGCAAATCACAGTCTTGGCTCCCCATTGAAGACAAACCAAACCTCTCACGGGATGAGAAAACACATAATCTGCTTCTCGATCAATACTCACCAGCATTTGTTGTTGACCAGACGAAAACAAGGGTTTCTCCTCCTGATAAACAGAGCGTAGCAACGCGTCGGATCCAATGGCAAAGTAGACGAACAACGCTCGTGGCCTTTTCGCGGATTGGAGCAAGTAGAGATCTTTGAAGTGTTTGGACCGGATTGTGGATGCCCATTTCTTCGAGACGCAGATGGCTTTCGCTAGGGTTTTCAGAGGCATCCGTAACAGAATCTCCACCTGCATTTCTTCAGGAACTACTGCTGCTTCGCTTGTCTTCTTCAAGGCGAAATTTTTCACTCAGGCATTTAATCGAACACATAAGGTGCGTTATATAATCCATCTCTCTCTCTTTTCATCCATATCTCCACAAGTTGCATATTTCATATATAAGCTAATGATCCTATCCCATATATCAACAAAATCGAATCACATCACTCGATTTTTTGCTATACATAACATCAACTCACCTCATTTTCGCGAGATGGAACTACTCCCAACCTGCAGAAATTCTATAATGCAACTCGGATTTGGTCTACTTTCCTCCCTAATTACTTGAATTTTGAAGGCACGCACAATGCTGACTCTCTTCTCTCCATTGAAATCACAATTTTTTCCCTTTTTGTTTCCTCTCAAAACCAATATAGACTCGTCGTGTATTGTATTATGAAGGGAACAGAGGAGTTATTTTGTGTCAAAGCAAAACGACATCATTTTGGGAATTTTTTACGTTGCAATAAAAATAATCAGCTGATCACTGATTCTTCCTGCATGGTAGAAAAACCTGAACAAGATAATAAATGGAAGCACAATAACCCCAAATGTTAATATCTTTGTAATGGTTTATCTAGATTAAACAAAAATCACCATCCTTGAAAACTGAAGAAAGGCTGAGTTGTCATCAAATTTAAGTTTTTTTTTGGTAAAATCATCAAATTTAAGTTGTATGCTACATTGTATTATATAAGGCAACATAATTTCAAAAATGTAAGGAAACCAAAAAGTGCAAATCGCTTTCCAAATATAATGAAGTGTTACTCTTTAATAATTCTTCAAAATGCATTTGAATTTTCACACCTTCAGGTCTAGCTTCCTACAATAGAGGAAGGTGATGAAAACATATTTTTTTTGGTAACGCAAGACACGATAAATATGAGTTAAGCTTCTTCATAGGTGAATAAACAAAGCGGTGGGTTTAGCGTAAAGCCTCATGATATAATGAGGATGAACATCATATTCCCATAGTGTCTTTATGTGTGCATCTCGCAGACTGCTGAGCTAGGTGCGAGTCAAATACCATCTTGAAACGAGTCCATAAACATATATTAACCTGCTCAGTCTTCAAGACGCAAGACAATCTTCGAGAGAGGAATATGGAACTTAAGGAAATCACCCATATTCTTATATCTAATATCTACACAAGACCTTCAAAGTTATATAGCACAAAACATATAGTGACCAAGTAAAAACAGCTATATATCTTTTACATTCCTTTTATTTTCGTCTTGTTCAGGAGATCAGGCTCATTGTTTTTTATGTTTAAACGAACTATTTACGGTCCAAATTCTAAATTAATAATTTGAACACTTTACAATCACTATATCTTTACGTTCTTTGACAAAATTGTGGTAATTGTTTTGTAGGTTACGGAACATTTACTGAGGTTGCGAGCTACCTTTCTTGCTACCTAAGTTGAAAATGGTTGGACTTGCATGGTTTTGTTTTTTTTCAATAACTCATATATATGGACCTCTTTGGACCATTAATAAATGTAACTGGGAAAAGTGGTCCTATGACTCTTAGTGTAAGCCTTGTACCAACAAGAGATGAGTTCCTCACTGGACACATCAAAGATCTATTGACACAACTCCTTATCTCTATTCCGGTCCCCAACACGTATGTCTTTCTCCAGGAAGTTGGACATCAAAATCAGGTTGATTAGAGGTTCGTCGAATCCCCATTGTAATTTCCTGATTAGAATGTGACTGTTGAATGGAGGAAGATTGAAAGTTGTGCGACTAATTTCTCTTTGCGGTACCTGAAGCAAAAGAGATAAAGTGAGAGAAGAGAGCTTGTATCTTGTAATCACTTGATTAAATCGTTTCATTGAGAGTGATGTCCTCTCCCTAGACGTCCCCAAAGGGAAGGGAATTGGGTTACCAGATTCTTCTGTCTTATTAGTCTCAACAACAAAGCAAACATGTCAAAGTTAATATGATTATGGCTAGCTTAATTAATATTAGCTAAGGTTGAGGTTGAATTCAATAGTTAAACCTCTTATAAATTAAAATAGTCCTTGGTAGTGTTCTTGCTTGTGTCGAGGGTTCCAGCGATGAGAAAATATAAAGGAGCAGAACCAATGATGGCAAAGAATGATATGTCTAAGGTATATTTCGTACCAAATAAATATCATAGGATTTAAATGCTATCGCAATGTACTTTAAACTGTGACCATGACATGTTACTATGTGATACAAAGAAAAAGTTGGGTTGATTACAGTAACACGGTCTGATATGAGTGGACGAGTGGTAAGAGCTAAGAACCATAGTACACCAAGTTGACTGCACAGTGAGATTTGCATATGTTATATTTTTCCGTTCATTATGATCAATAATTGTCAATAGTACATATCATACTATGCATCAAATAGAGAATTTTACACTTGTTCTTTAACCAATCACACACATCCTTTAAAATATATTTTATGTAAGTACATCGGTCATTGCTTAGAAATATGCAAAGATTTTTTCCCCTTTAGCTTGAATATTTTTCCGGTCAGAGAATAAAGTAGATACATGATCGGAAAGAATTCACTTCCATTTGTGTAGTTTCAGTCCCGAACTTGGATTTGAACAAAAAAAAAAAAAAAAAAAAACAATATTATTAAAGAGTTGAATGCAAAATGTTTGGTACACTAATTGTATTTTAACGGACCATGAAAATTACCCTTGTGGTTTCTACTAGTGCACTTGATGAAGATTAAAGAGTTTTAACCAAAATTCATATATACTAGTGTAGTTCATAATCCCTTTAAACGAATTAAGTACGATCCTTTTATAGATACTAGACACTCGAGAGAGATATTAAGTAAAAAGGAAGAAATCAAAAGATAAAGTACATTGGAGACTCCAGGAGTTTCCAATTGGATGTTATAACTTTAAATGCGCACTATAGAGAATGGATCTTTGAAGAAGCTGAAGAACATCTCAATTGCAGCATTGACGATTTTATAGACAACTCTTGAGAAATGAAAAATCCATCGATGGGAAAAGATTCTCCAGACTTTGTGGGGGCACACGAAAACACTTATAGTTTCATGTTTCAATCATCGTCTCACCATAAACATATATATATGGTGGTGGGTGTTTCTTGACTGTGGTGATGCGAATATTCCTTTATTTTGGCGGTAAAAATTGCCCTATCCCAAAAGAATTGGTAAAACACCCATTCTGAAATGGTAAAACCCTAACCCGTTCCTCAAGAAAACTTAATGGACCTTGTAAACGGTCGAGAGAAATTACTTACTTGGGCCAAATGATGGTTTAAAGTAACAAATAGATCATTAAACAAAATAATCAAAAAGGTTAAGGCCCAAGACAAAGCCTTCATTTATATCTGTGGGGTTTTGGTGGATCTTTTTATATTGCATGTTTCTTGAAATTCATGGTTTTTGGTTTATCATCTATGCTTTTGGGTTCTTTGGAATGTTCGTGGCAGTGTTTCAGATTCGTGGTTCAGGTTTAGGATATAAATTTCTTCAGCCTCATCTTGTATTTTCCTCTCTCGCTGTTTTTGTGCTTTGTATTTTCTTTGGTTTCGGATTTTGACCACAGTATATTTTCTTTGGTTTCGTTTCAATCTATTTTTTATATTTCAAGTGTTTAATATATAATTCCAGACGGAACAAAAAAAAAACAATAATGTTTATAGACTAATCTGTTTATAATTATCTTACTGGGGTCTATCTTTTCTTTGAGTAGTATTGGCGTTTTGCAATCTTCCCTTTATCAAAAGTGAGATACCTAAAAAGGAAAAAAAGGTATAATCGTTAGTTAATGGTTCGTTATCAAAATGCAATATAGTCCATAATAGTCCATATAGAGTAATAGTTAAATAAAATTAAACATAATATGCCCACGCCACTATAACATACCCACCTATATATACATATAGATACGAATAGACATATGTATATCTATCTCCCCGTAATTATGTCATGTGTCCATCACTATCTCATCTCTTACTTTAACTCATATATAGAGTTGATTCTTCCTCTTCCCCTAAGTGTTTGTTTCAGAACCGCAAACATCTTCTTCTCTCAACATCCCAAATCCGAAATCTCTGTTTAAAATCTCAGTTCTTGAGAGATTTTTTTGAACAAATATTACGAATCTTCGTCCGTAGATTATACCCTGATCTCTAGGGAATATCCGATCTTCTTCTTATCTATTTGGTTGAATCTCTTTTTATTTTATTTTATATTTTGTAGATAAGATCAATGAAACTCATTCTCTCTTTTCACCCCGATTCTCGGGACATAATTATCCACGAGTCACAAAAGAGAGTAAGATCTTTGTTTACCACATGGGTTTAAAAACCTAATCCAAAATCAGTCTCCTACTTCACTTCTTGCATATCTTCAGATCTCTCTTTTTCCCTTTTCTTTGCTCTTCCTCTCCCCTCTCTCTTCTATGGAGTTTTTAACAGAAACGTTAGGCAAGAGAGTCCATGATCCGTTTGTGGAGGAATCAAGGTGCATAATGATCCGTGGACCAATCATTGTCGGCTCCGGACCGTCGGGACTAGCCACGGCGGCGTGTTTGAAGTCGAGAGACATCCCTAGTTTGATTCTAGAACGTTCAAATTGCATAGCATCACTATGGCAACTCAAGACATACGATCGCCTCCGACTTCATCTCCCTAAACATTTCTGTGAGCTTCCATTGATGCCTTTCCCTTCAAGCTATCCTAATTACCCTACAAAGCAACAGTTCGTCCAATACCTTGAGTCCTACGCAGAACATTTTGGCCTAAAGCCTGTTTTCAACCAAACTGTGGAGGATGCCAAGTTCGATAGGCGGTGTGGGTTATGGAGGGTGAGGACTACCGGAGGAAAGGATGAGACAACGGAGTATGTCTCCCGGTGGCTTGTTGTGGCGACGGGGGAGAATGCGGAGGAGGTGATGCCGGAGATTGATGGAATGGCGGATTTTGGTGGGCCAATCCTCCACACAAGCTCTTATAAGAGCGGCGAAATGTTTAGAGAGAAGAAGGTTTTGGTCGTGGGATGTGGAAACTCCGGGATGGAAGTTTCTTTAGATCTTTGCAACTTCAATGCTCATCCTTCTCTTGTAGTTCGTGACTCGGTAAGAATAACAAAAAGTTCTCTCTAACATATGTAAATGCCACAAAAAAAAAATTGATTTCTTTTAGTATAGTATCTTTCATTTGCTCGATGTACGTTATTAGTTACTCTTACTAGTTTAAACAAACATTTCATGGCCTATTCTTTTCACTTTCAATATAGGTCTTCCGTTTCATAACTAATCATGTTTTTAATTACGCTAATTTTCAGGTGCACGTATTACCTCAAGAAATGCTTGGTATATCGACATTCGGGATATCCACTAGCCTGCTCAAGTGGTTTCCAGTGCAAGTGGTGGACCGGTTCTTGTTACGTATGTCTCGAATGGTTCTTGGTGACACTGATCAGTTAGGTCTAGTTCGACCAAAACTCGGCCCTCTTGAACGCAAGATCAAATGTGGAAAGACTCCTGTTTTAGACGTTGGTACTCTCGCCAAAATCCGAAGTGGACACATCAAGGTACACTAATTAAATCTTAAACCATATCGATTACAGTTAAAAAAAAAAGAGAGAGATTATAGTATAATTAACTTCTTCTTCTTTTTTCTTGTATGTGTCTTTTGATTTTTAGGTGTATCCGGATTTGAAACGGGTAATGAAACATTCGGTAGAGTTTGTTGACGGAAGAGTGGATAACTTCGATGCCATTATACTCGCTACGGGTTACAAAAGCAACGTACCCATGTGGCTAAAGGTGTGTGTACCATGAGCAATGATGCGTCTACGTCTTCATTATTCTTAATCCTTTGATGTTGACACATCGCAACCTATTGACATTTCAATTGTTGTATTAACTTGGTTTTGACTTTTGATTTGTTTTCTTATAGGGAGTGAACATGTTTTGTGAGAAAGATGGATTTCCAAGGAAACCATTTCCTAATGGTTGGAAAGGCGATAGCGGATTGTATGCAGTCGGTTTCACAAAGCTCGGATTGCTTGGTGCAGCCATTGATGCCAAGAAGATAGCTGAGGATATTGCGGTTCAACGAGATTTGTTACCATTGGCTCCGTCTCAACATTGTTAACCTGAGATTCGGGTTTCGATTTGGCAAAGTTTGGATTGGAGATTTTAAAAAGGAGAGGTAGTAGTAGTGCATTTGTGTAACGTTCCTAACTCTTTAATTGTGACATATGATGAGAGTTAGAAAGCAGTGTTAGGTCAAAGAGTTTTGGATTTTTAGGAAGGAAAATATTAGATCATGGTCCACTTTTGTATATATTTATTTGGTTTTATGTATGTTTTGCTATCTATTCTTTTTGTAAATAAGATTAAATATTTCAGTATGATTATTTTTTATTGCGATATTGAAAGCTTTAATTCAAATACTCTTTTTTTTTTTTGCTTAATTAGTTGAATGGAGGACAGGAGGAGTTTGGTTAAATTTTTAGATTAGGAATTCAGCTTTATGTTATTGTGCATGTTTTAAAGTTCATGTGTTCAATGTTAGTGGGTGGTGGTGGTGATGTTGTGGAGGTGGGGAGCTTTCATGGACATTAATTTATATTGTAGTTTTAGCTTTATTTATTTTTATATTAAATTGAATGATAAACCATTGAGTTAAGTTATTGATAAATTTTGGTGGTCTATTGTTTACTCATAGTTTGCAAATCTATGGAAATTAATACAAGTGAAAATGAGTGAAAAGGTACAAATCTAAACAAAAGTAAGTTCATATCTTTTTGTAAAAAAAAAAATATTGAGCTAGGCATGAGCATAAATACTTTACGTTTATGTAAAATTTTAATATTTCTAGAAAAATTTTGGGTGATAGAAAGATTTGAGCTCACCAAAAAAAAAAAGGTGAAACAAGAATTCAGGTAAGATCCAGAAATTCATGGTTAACCAAAATTTATGTATACATCAAAATGATTTGAAACATAGCATCGGAGAAAAAAGCTGAAAAAGATGGGTACATATGTGAAAGAAATGCATGCTTTCCTTTCCTTATTTGCCGAAGATTCGATTGGCCCCGTTGCTATGGACCAACACTTATTTTATGGTTGAAACATGGACCAACAATTACTTTATTTTATAAAAGAAAACATAAAAATAAAACAAGGCTACTTAGACGAGTTATTGACATGTGCCAAATTTTGTATGCAAGTTTTGCTATTCTGCTTGTGGTTAACATCATTGGACACTTAGCTATATAAACAAAAAATGCGAAAGGTTATTAACGCGCACTTCATGTAAACATCACACTATTTACTTGTGGTTAACAGCGTTGGACACTTAGCTACATGAGAACAAAATGTGAAAGGTTATTAACGCGCACTTCATGTAACATCACACTATTTAGTATTTACACAACCTTAACAGCCAAATTTAGCATTTAAGTTAGAATATAATACCTCATGTAAGATCACACAATTTGTATCACGAATTTAAATTAATAATTTAATTATTAATCTTCTTTTCAATAATTTTTATTTTGCAAACTTTTTTTAGTACTCAGATAGTATGGTATATTTGATGATGGCTTTTATTTTCAGTGTTTTATTTTTAAAAATAAATTTACCGTCTACTCTATTCTCTCTGCATTTCATTTCTCAATGCAAACAAAAAAAACTTCCGGATAGCAATGGATTTCTGCAAAGAAATCTGTAAGGAATACAAAAATCAACTCAAATTCTTATGTAGTTAACTCATATTTTCTGTTGCTATTCATTTTTTCTTCTACATTCCTATTACTCCTTCTTTCACCGATATGACTTCATTTTCTAGGTATAGTTAGCGTGAGTTCAATCCCTAATATAGTGTTGATACAAGCAGATTGATCGATGTGTCAAGGACATCATACTTGGACGTCTCCACGTAAGAGTTTCTCCAACCTTCTCTCGCTTTGGTTCACGTATGAGTAATTGCTCTCTGATGTTGCTTTGAATCCTTCCACTCTGTTTCAAATAGGTTTTTTACACTTTTTTGATCCTCTATGACTCTCTTTTGCTCCGCCAAGTTGTTTTAATAAAACCGTTATTTTTGGTAAATAAATTTACATTAAAATAAAATAAAATAACACAGTGTGGATATACATGAAATATATACAAGTAGACTGTGTAAATAGCAATACGACCCTTTTAAGTTCATGTACTTCACTTAGTAGTTAGTTAATTATATTTAGTACGACGATTTGTATGTAAATCTACATAACACGTATTTAAAATATATATACGTGAACATCTAAATCACTCGACTGGACCACCATTCTTAGCCCATGCATTTCAGGCCACAGCTATCTTTGGATGGGGTCTAATGTATTTAAACCTCTTGTTGTGAATGTAAACTCAACTTGAAGTCATTCTCACGTTAGAGATTTGTAGAGAGGGCTTTTCGCAGGTTTCTTCAGTTTTCTAGCTTGTTCTTATCTCTAGTTCTCTAGACAGTCAACTTAGACTTATCGAACAGAACTCTTAAAAATCTTAAGATGTCACCTTTAAACATTTAATTTATCTTGACATTCTAATTTAACGGCTAGCAAGTAGCAATACTTAATTTTATGAACCGAGCAAAAAATTATAGTAGCATTGAAAAGAGCTAGATGTCTAGAGTCAATGGCATTAATGTTAGAATTGAAAACGCTCTATTAATGGGATCTTCTTGTTGCATCGATTTCTCTCATTGCATAAGATCATAGCCACTATGTACAAAGACGTACTATTTTACTAGAAAGTTTTACACAGTAAAATTCCTTGAGATTTTGCACACAAAAAAAAAAAAGGAAAAAAATCCTTGAGATTTAGTATATATGTATTTATATGAGTTACTTAATTCATATCCAATTAGAGTTAACTAAAAAATTCATGAAGCCTAAAATAATTCAGATCCTAAGTTAATATCCAGCTAGGATGGTCCAAGTAGTTCAGCTTTTTTTTTTTTTCTTTTGAAAAGTCTATTAGATTACGTTCTTCAAATTATAAGGTTTATCTCAATGTATATGAACCAAATAGTTCATCATTTTAGAAGAGCCATTATAATCTCACATCAACGATTCGTCAAAGACTAAACGGATACTTCACTCTTTTATGCTTTTTAACCTAGAGTCTTGTTAAATTTTTAGCATTTACTCTTGTCTTATATTTAAATATATATATCATGTTTACTGTTTATGTAATCTTTACTCTTTCTCTTCTTATTTAATTTATACATTATCTTTATGCTTATGTTTGGTGTTTTAGTGACAAAGCCTAAAATCACCTTAATCTCTAGCTTAGATTGTTTAGTGCAAATCATATTTGCTTTTTAGTCCTAATTATGGGTTCGATCCCTACTTACCCCTTACCTTGCACTTGAAAATTGTTAATGTGTGTGTACAAGATTACGAAAATAAAACTTGACAAGTCTAAACTAAAACATGACACCACCAAAAGATCGTTGGGGTCCATCAGTCTTCAGAAATCTGCCTAGCTTCCTCGTGGTCTTAGCATATATCCACTCACGACGCCAAACTTCTTCCTTGTCATCGCTTCAGCGTGAAAAGTTTTAGCACATTCATCGTAGTTTGGTCCTTTTAGCTGGGGTTGCGATATCACACATTATGGGTTGTCGTTGGAGCTATGATCATCCTGCCTTAAACCATTGGTCAGCCACCGGGGCTTCCACTTTACATATATGAGTGTTTAGGCATGTAATGTGTAGAAGCACTTTAGGTAAACATTTTACGTTTACAAAGCATTTTAGTGTTGAAGCACTAAAACCTTACTTTTTCATCTTACGAAAAACATTTGGTATACACAATTAATCTAGTTGGTTGAAATAAATAAAGCATTAAAGTATATACATTAAAATAAAAGGGTGGCCCATAAAATCACATAATATGCCAAAATGCTTCTAGTCGCTTTGCTACCTCTTCTATACGTTGCCCTCGTATTAATTACTCAATTCTTGTTCTTTTTGTTGTATATAAGAATAGGTATATATCGGAATGTTTTTATTTTCCTTTTTGCATGGTAGACAATCTAACATTTATACTTTTATATATAATATCTGTGACCGTTTACATAAATTATCCTTCTGTTTTTCTTCTGTCAAGTTGCATGCATGTCTTTTAACCGGTATTAATTATACACTCGGTAGCTTTCATGAGGTGCATGGGGTTACCTTAAATTCTAAATATCAATCAGTAATTGTTACTGAGTAAAATCAATGTTATAAAATACGTTATAGAATATAGTATTATGTGTGTCATCATTTAAAGATCAGGAGCATCTTCGGCATAAAGTAATGCTGATTGCTCTGACTCAAAAAAAGAAAAGAAAAGCCGACTCAACGTCGGAGTCAAAAAGACTGTTACGGGAATATTAATTGAATTGGTTTTGTGAAGAGAAAATGCATAAAATAACGCAAATTGAAGTACAAGAATTTAAAAAAGAGAGTGAGAAGCAAGTTAGGAATGGTCCAGAGAGCGAGAGAGGAGGGTGGTGCATGTTTAGGGGATGTGTTATGGCTGCATGGCATCCCGATTCCGTACTCCCTCACATGCATATGGACCATTCGCATTATGTTGCCTTTTTTATTAGTTAAAAATTTTAATTCCGTTTTAACAGCTTTTAATGTTCGTGGTCCATTTCCAGATTTGTCTCGGTTATTAGGCCGCCCGCTTTGTTATTAATACTAGGTGATATATATAGTGCATATACAAACAAAATAATAATTCAATTGTTAGACTTATTTTCTGTGTGTGTAGATGATGATCAATAACTCAATAAATGTGTCAAAGCCTCTCTCTCTGCAGTGCAACTTGAAATGGACTACAATTTTGCTTTTTTCGTGTTTTGCTGGGCCGAACCGCTACATATGAACCACAGTTTTAGAAACATTAACCTTAATTCGTCAAATGTCATATGATTACAAGTTTAGTGAATCCGTAGGCAAGCTCATAAGTTTTATTTTGGTCTTCTTCAATATTAAAAAAAGGAAGTTCGCTTTTACTCCAAAATAAATGTAATCGAAATAATAAATGATTAATTATTTCGTTTCCAAAAAAAAATATACTCCCGTTTCAAATTAGTTGTCGTTTTGGCAAAATATATCTGCAAATATTTGAACGTATCTGTAATGCAAAACACGTCCAGATACGTCCAAATATTTGCAGATACATTTTGCCAAAACGACAACTAATTTGAAACGGAGGGAGTATATATTTACATACTAAATTGACCGACCTATCTAAACTTTTTTAACCAAAAAAAAAGGAAAAACATTTGACCTATCTATCCGAATACGTAATAGATACTAATTTATGGAATATTTATCACAACTGTATTTTTTCATGCTTTAATTCTGCTGCTCCGTAAAGCTGTTGCAATAATTGGCTTTAACACGGAGCCACATAAATTCACTAAACCAAACACTAAATTCACTTGATGTCCTTGCCATATAACTTTGAAATACGAATATGACTTCAGTTCACAGATTAACACTAGTGTACTTCTTGTTGTCAACGGTTCATTTAGGGTTTTTAATGATTACGGTGTACGGAGCAAAACGAATAGAGCATACAAACAATGAAGTGTAGTTTTTTTGCTCTATATTTTTTCTGATTTTTATGCTCCATATGATTGGTACTGGTACCGGTACGGCTTAACATAAGTATGTTTGATATGAAAAGATGGATGTGAATGTACGTGATAAAAGCTTGTGAAGCATATTGGCGAGATATAGACGGTTTATTACTTTGGTCAAGCAATGAATGATCGCCTATACGTCTAAGGGCATTAGCTTGATGATAACAAACAGTAAAAGATCTATAATGAATATAGACAAGATCAGTAGAAAGATACCACATGGAGGTTTGTGATTTAACGTAAGGTGTTAATTAACCATAACTTAGCCGTAAGATTTCGTTTTAAGCATACTTTTTATTTAGTTTTGTTAGGCATATGAAGGCTATGAGAATCTTGTCCATAGTCCTCACTAATTAATAATCTTTGTCATATCAACAAAACGTAAATCATCTGTTCCCAAAGATAGCATTTGGATTTATACCCGTATTCGAATACATAATTAAGCAACACTTATTTATAACCAGTTTGGCTTTAATTATTCTTAGTCATAATCTTATGTACACACCATTCCTGTTTTTTAGATAACCGGAATATTTTGGACCTAAGTTTACACTACTTAGAGTGATAATGAGCCGAAGTCTATATGCGACCTATAAAAGATCCAGGTAGTCTTGTCATTTAAGACATTACAATGGTCAATCGCGATTGGAAAATCTCGAACGTGACCCATGGTTAGGATGAATCATTTCGCGCGCCACTATACTCTTTTATGCACCGTTCTTTTAAATTGCCTAACAGTTCAGTGGTACGTACATAGTTCGATCGGATGAATATACTTCCAAAAATATATAACTTAGATTTAACTAAAAAGGGAAGAAGAAATCCTGTCTTAAGATTGTGGCTACATTCACCCCAAAAGTACATATTAATTACTTTTACGAAACTAACCGTATTCCCATGTATGAGAGACAAAAGATCGGCATATTAGATGTATGCTAGATCTTGGACCCGATCGGTATCATGAAGAAGTTACACAAGTGTAAGAAAAAGAGAGACACTTTATTGGCTTTAGAAAAATGCATGCGCTTTAACACAAACAAGTGAAAGGGGACACACATAAGAAGCACTCCTCATATGGCACGCTTGCTTATATAATATATGTTCACTTTTTTCCAACACCATGTCACGTCCTCTTCTTGTAAGGAAGACACGAAATTTACTAACGATTGGTCCGAATGATCTCTCGAATCTTCAAAAGTGCTGCTTATGTGAGATATAGAATACTTGATCGTGCTAACAACTTTAACCACACATACTGGAGAATGTTCACGTAAGTTGGTGATAACTAATTACAGAAAACTAAATTTAGTCAAACGTCATTATCTATTAATTCAAAAATGTGGTCCAACCAAAACAAAGTGGGAAATATTGTTAGGAGGCCACTTTGAAAATTAGAAATGACCTAAAATATTATTTAAATTAACATATGAACCAATCAACTCCTTGTCAATTGGAATAAAATTTGAAACCTATTAAATACAATCTGGTATCAATGGCAGATTAATAACCCAAATAGGATGGTCTAAATAGAATTTATTTCCAGTCTTAATGTGAGATTCAGTTCAAACTGGGCTGATGATAAGAGCCATTGTTTGTTGGAGAGTATTATGATCCCACATCCGAAATGGAAGGGAGTTCGATGAAGTATAAACTAGTTTTACAAAAGAATATATACACGAAGTGAAAGCACAAGATATATAAACGGTTGACTTAACTCCCACTATCTTTGACCAAAAAAAGAAAGAAGAACACATCTACCGTGGGAATTAAGTATTAAGTATTAACAAAGAAATACTTACTGCTAGCTATGTATACTTAACTGACGAAGCAGGAGATGGGCCACTGGTGTAGCACTCGCTACGATAGTGCAGAGATCTTTATTTAGTCTGAGAATTCCTAAAGATCAAAGCCTTCTTATTCCGTTGAGAACCAAAGTTCTATCCGTAATAAGGAGAGAAAGATGCTTGAAATCTCTGTTTATTAAATCAATCAAAGGTGTCTTACAATAGAAGAGATCGATCTCTATTTATAGAGTTGATCTTAAAAGCTTTAAGAAAAACTACTACATGTAATTAGGAAAATTGCTAGAAAAACCAAGCTTAACTATAAAAAGGAAAACCATACGAGAAAAGGAAAAGAAGCTTTAAATTCGAGAAGCTTCAGGAACGATGCCCCTGCATCAGGTCACCCGGGGTTGGAAAAGATTCGACCCCGAATCTTCAACTTCATCTTGAGAAACATATGGACATAGATGTTTGACATTAAAGACATTGAAGAACGAACGTGAGGTGGAAGCTTCAGACGGTACGCATTGGCATTTATCTTCTCCACCACCTCCACTGGTCCAATCTTTCGTGACTTTAGCTTGTTGTATTCTCGCGGAGGAAACCTATCCTTGGTTAAAATGGCCCAAACCAAATCTCCCACTTTAAACTGAACATCACGACGGTGACGATCCGCAGCTTCTTTGTACTTAGCTGAAGCGACCTGCAGATTCTCATGAACTTGAGAATGAATGAATGATAAGTCAGCGACAAAATCAACAGCCTGTCCATGATCACGAGTAGCATCAGGAACGACACCAAGATCAATAGGACCTCGTGGAACCAACCCATAGACAACACGAAAAGGACTGAAAGAAGTGCTTCTGTTTACGGCATGGTTATACGCAAACTCTGCTTTGCACAAAACTGAATCCCAAGACTTGATGTTTTCACCCACCAAACAGCGTAGTAAATTTCCCAACGAACGATTAGTGACTTCGGTTTGACCATCAGATTGAGGATGATATGCCGAACTCATATCAAGACTTGTTCGAGAAGTTTCCACAGCGATCTCCAAAAATGACTCAAGAACCGAGAATCTCGATCAGAAACAATAGAAAGAGGCAAACCGTGAATACGATACACGTCGCGAAAGAACAATTGTGCCACTTGAACTGCATCTGTTGTCTTTTTGCATGGAATAAAATGTGCCATTTTGGAGAATCGATCCACTACGACAAAGATAGAATCATGTCCTCGCTGAGTCCTAGGTAAGCCCAAGACAAAATCCATGCTTATATCTGTCCAAGGTTGCGTCGGAACCGGCAGCGGCATGTATAAGCCTCCATTGTTAGCTGTACCCTTTGACAATTGGCAAACAACACATCTCTCAACAAATCTAGCCACATCTCGACGCACAGACGGCCAGAAATATGACTCTGTTACGAGCTGGAGAGTTCTGTCACGACCCATGTGCCCTTCTCCATGTAACTCTTGGATAATCTTCAAACGCCAACTACAAGAAGGTATGCAGAACTTTGTATCACGAAATATGAATCCATCTTGTAACAGAAAATCAGGATGACGTTCTTGTTGCAGGAGATTCCAAATGGGTCCAAAAAAAGGATCAACTGGATATAACTCTGCAAACGTAGAGAATCCTGTTACTGAAGCTGCAGATGTAGCCAGTAAAGTATGACGCCTGCTGAGAGCATCTGCAACTTTATTTGTACGACCCGATTGATGCTTTATGACGAAAGTGAATTGCTGTAAATAGGCAATCCATGAAGCATGTCTAGCAGAAATCTTCTCTTGGCTGCCTAGATGTTTTAAGGCATCATGATCAGTATAGAGAATAAACTCTTGATGAAAGAGATAGTGACGCCAATGTTTGATAGCTTGAATGATAGCATAGAATTCAACATCATAAGTGCTATAACGAGCTCGAGATCCAGCGATCTTCTCGCTAAAGAATGCGACCGGACGTCCGTGTTGACTTAAGACAGCTCCAATTCCTAGCTTGCAAGCATCACAGTGTAACTCAAAAACCACAGAAAAATCAGGTAAAGCTAGAATTTGAGCTGAAACCAGTTTCTGTTTGATAGTTTCAAAGGCGAGGGCAGCTTCTGGAGTCCACTTAAATGAAGAACCCTTCATGCAATCAGTTAATGGTGCAGTAATATCACTAAAGTGATGGACAAACCGTCGATAAAAAGAGGCCAAACCATGGAAACTTCGCACCTCAGTGATAGAACGCGGAGTCGGCCAAGATTTAATTGCTTCCACTTTGCTAGGATCCACTTGGAGGCCTTTATCGGAGATGATATAGCCCAGAAAGAGAACCTGTGACGCACCAAAAAGACACTTCTTCCTAGCTGCAAACAGCTTATCACGGCGCAAGACATGAAGGACCTCAGCCAAGTGTTGTAAATGACTCTGCAAATCCGCACTAAAAATAAGAATGTCGTCAAAATAGACAACAACAAATTTGCCTATAAACGGACGTAGAGCTTGATTCATAACACGCATGAACGTGCTTGGGGCATTGGAGAGACCAAACGGCATAACCATCCATTCAAGAGACCTTCACGGGTTTTAAACGCTGTCTTCCATTCATCACCAGGTCGAATACGGATTTGATGATAACCGCTTTTTAAATCCAGTTTGGTAAAGATAGAAGCACGTCCAATCTGGTCCAAGAGATCATCCAAGCGAGGAATCGGGAAACGATATCGGACCGTAATTTTGTTAATAGCACGACTATCAACACACATTCTCCAAGAACCATCTTTCTTTGGAATCAACAAAGCGGGAACAGCGGTAGGGCTCAAACTCTCTCGGATATGCCCTTTGTGGAGAAGTTCTTCAACTTGACGACGTAACTCATCATGCTCTTGTGGGCTCATACGGTAGTGCGGTCGATTCGGCAAAACTGCATTAGGCACCAAATCAATATGGTGTTGAATATCACGGAGTGGAGGTAATTCACGAGGAAGATCATCGGGAAAGACGTCTGCAAATTGATCAAATAAAGGCTGAAAAGCTTCGGGTATGCTAGGAGAAGCCTCACTTGTTGTTGGAGAAGAGATCAATGCCCATACTACGTCTGATGTCTTCAATTCTGTCTCAAAAGCAGCTTTAGGTAAGAGCAAAAGAGATTGAGAAGAACTCACTTTGGGTTTTGTGATGGACTCATGTTGAGAAAGCACACAAGACTCTGGTTGTTCTTTGGAGGGAAGTAACGTGATAGTTCGATCCCCCATAACAAAGCTGTAAGTGTTGGTACGCCCTTTATGAGTAGCATCACGATCGAACTGCCATGGACGTCCTAACAGAAGGTGACAAGCGTCCATAGGAACAACATCACAACAAACACTATCTTTGTAGTTGCCAATAGAAAACGCCACCATCACTTGCTGAGTAACACGCATCTCGGTGTTGTTGTTTAGCCACGCTAATGGGTAAGGCGAAGGATGTGGTGTTGTTTTGAGGCCGAGTTTGACAACTGCATCCTTAGCTATCACGTTTGTGCAACTTCCAGAATCAATGATTAATTTGCAAATTTTTCCATTGATAGTGCAAGTGGAGCGAAACAATGTAGATCGCAGCCAAGACTCTTGTGAAGCTCGAGGAAGCAAACAGTTGCGTCGAAGAACCAAATTGAGACCAGTATCTCCATGAATAACTTCTTCGATGGTGTCATCCTTGGAGTCAGAATCATACTCATCAAAACGTGGCTCCAATTCATCGGTCTCTTGGAGCAGTAAGCCTCGCTTGTTGTTTCTTGGACAAGAAGTTTGAATGTGACCTCTTTCACCACACGAAAAGCATCGTAATGCATTGGGACGAGCAGGTCGTGAATTTGCAATCGTCTCTGTAATTGGATTTGATTTGGTAACTTCAACGAGTTACCGCGAGATCAGACGGTGACCCGAGAGAAGCATCACCAATCGCTTGGGGAGTAAAACGGGAGCGGGCAGAAGATGCAGACCATGTCGAACGAAGCTGTGTTTCCATGGCTATGGCACGTTGATGAACTTCTGAAACAGAGACTGGGTTAAATTGCTGAAGAGCTACCTGTAATTGGGAACGCAAACCGCCAATAAAACGAGAGATCAGTTGGTCTTCTGATTCGATGGAAGGCATGCGTGCAGTCATATGGAAGAAATCAGAGGCATAATCGTCGACAGTTCGTGTCCCTTGTCGTAAGTTCTGCAACTTGTTATACAATGTTCGCTCGTAGTTAAAAGGAAGAAAGCTTCTACGCATATGTTTCTTCATTTGTTCCCATGAGTCGATTCGATCTTTATTGGCACGCCGTCTCGATTCTTTAAGTTGTTGCCACCAAGCCATAGCACGGCTTTTGAAACGAGTAGCAACCAAGGCAACTCGCATCTCATCAGGAACCTGTTTAAACTCCAATAACTCTTCCACCATGTGCAGCCAATCAATGAACTCTTCAGGGTTAAGAGATCCCGAAAACTCTGGAATATCAAGCCTGAATCCTGTTTCCCAGCGGGACGCAGAGTTGTTGCGGACAGTATCGAGACGAGTATCTTGACGAGTGTGTTCTCCTTGATTATCTCGATGAATATCATGACGATGGTTGATTCTCTGCAATTGGGTCTGCAAACAGGTTTTCAGCCAAGCCCTCATCTTCTGGTGTGTCGTAATGTTGCTGTTGTTGATGACCTCGTCGATCGTGTTGTTGGTTTTGAAGAACCGTAGTTAACGCACGTTCCACGGCGTGGAGGAGTGCATCATGTAGACCACTAGTAAACGTTTCCAACATCTGGCGTAATTCTTCTTGTTGCTCTTCGGAGGTGGGTTTTCGTGGAGCCATCGGAACCACAAAAAGCTTGGATCTGCTTTAATTGAGAAATTAAAGCTGCTGGAGTCTGATACCAACTGGTGTAGCACTCGCTACGATAGTGCAGAGATCTTTATTTAGTCTGAGAATTCCTAAAGATCAAAGCCTTCTTATTCCGTTGAGAACCAAAGTTCTATCCGTAATAAGGAGAGAAAGATGCTTGAAACGCTCTGTTTATTAAATCAATCAAAGGTGTCTTACAATAGAAGAGATCGATCTCTATTTATAGAGTTGATCTTAAAAGCTTTAAGGAAAACTACTACATGTAATTAGGAAAATTGCTAGAAAAACCAAGCTTAACTATAAAAAGGAAAACCATACGAGAAAAGGAAAAGAAGCTTTAAATTCGAGAAGCTTCAGGAACGATGCCCCTGCATCAGTCACGCCATTTGCAAGTAGACTGTTTCAATGATCAGATAGCATCATTTACCTTCACATGTCAAAGGGATTCCAAGATCTTAGGGGCCAGCCTTATCTCTCCTAGAGACTTAAGTGGACTCTAGTTTTAATGTATACTAGTAGAGTACCCGCACGTTTGTGCGGTGTGACGTTGTTGTTTTGTGTAGAAAATTTAAACCCTAAATCCGAACCCGACAAAAAACCCTAATCAAAAAATTTAAAAACCCAAACTTTTTTAATAGGTCTAAACATGAAAATCCGAAATCAAAAAAATCCCGAAAACCCTGACTGAACAAAAAAAATCTGGAAACTTTTTCACCCGGAACCCGACCCCAATACCTAATCAAAATTTTAAAATACTCAATTTTTTTAATATATCTAAACCCGAAAACCAGAAATCTAAAAAATCCGGAAAACCCTAAACTGAAAAAAAAATTGAACCTAACCCGAACAGAAATTTTCAAAGAAACCCGAACAATTTCTATATCTCTATATATATCTCTATAAAATTATGTCTCAGATTTTCACCCAAACCCGAACTTGTCTATAAAAACCCGAAAATCCAAAAAGCATATTCTATTGATTTGGAATTATCGTTAGATTATGTTAAGTTTTTTTTTTGCAGATTTTTAAGAGATGGAAAACGGAAGTTTTCTAAACCATCGGTTTATTTTAAGTTATTATTCTTGTATCCAAACAATTTTTTCCATTTATTCTTCTATCCAAATAGATTTTTCTCTTATTCTTATATCCAAACAACTTTTGTTTCCATTTATTCTTCTATCCAAATAGATGTTTCTCTAATTCTTGTATCCAAACATTAGAATGTACTTCTCAATTAATAATATAAAGATATAGTGGTACCGCAGGTAATCTATAGTGATGTAGAAAATCAAGATACATGATTAAGCTGGCAATATCTAATTCCAGACATCCACTATTGATCCAATTTTTTGTTGTGGCTATATATACACGCTTTAACCCAAAAAATATTTGGCTCTCTACCTACCACAATATAAATGAGTATTAGTGTCTCAAATAACTTTGATTCTTAGGGTTTCGAATTTCTTATAAATATATTGTTTAGGTTCAAATTTGTACGTTTTTGGCTGTTTAATATATTAATATATATCTCAACATATCTACAAATTAAAGCTGGTTTTATTAATTAAGAGAATCTTGAAGTAAGCGAATAATCTGTGTACTGATATAATTTATTTTTTGCCAAGTACATGTGAATTTCATTAAAAATGACATGGCTTGTAATTTTGCTATGTCAGTATATAACTATATATATCGATTATAAATAACTCGGTTGCAGAAAATAAAATTATACTCATATTAGTTTTATAATTATGTTGATTGGGTCGGCAATTATGAGTACGTGACACATTTGGAGAGATCAAAACAATCGTGGCACTGGCCGTAAATAAGCTTTAGCACCCTCAACAAACCATTCGTGTTTTCGACCAAACAGTTTGAAACATAATCGGAGGATATTCAACAACATAATTATAATGGAGGAATCAAATCGGAATCAAAATATATACATAAAGAATCTATTTGATGGATCTCATTTGACCAATAGGAATATAATCTTTTGTAACTTTAGCTAAAAATATCAACTTGGTTCATACTTTTACTAGTATTCGAAAATACAAACAGAATCCCACTAATGTTCCAACGAATAGAAATAAGCTGCTATAAGTGCTAGAAAATAGAAACGACATAATCATATGTCCATGGAACTATAAAAAAGTGTCATATAAAGGAAGATCTAACGCGTAGAGTAATCAATTTATTAGTTTGTTATATCTTTGCATGAAAATCCTTTTAAACTAAACCATTATTTGTAAAAAGCATCTTTTTGGCTGATATTTTTTTTTTTCTTGGTTTTGATAGTCTTTTACATCAACTTCATTGTTATTTTTACTATCAAATCATATATTGACATGTTGAAACTAAATAAATCCATGATTATTTGATTACTTAGGAGGATCTCCAAGTAAATTTACCTTTTCAAGATATGTATTGAGATAGATATACATTAAAAAACTAAATATACATTATGGCTAATTAGGATTGTACTATTTATAAGAGATCATCTGAAACCCTAGACCAACCCCAAGAAGCAAACCTAATGTTAAAATAAAATAAATAATCAAAGTATGAATAACTAATAATTTGCCTAAATTTGAATTGCAGGGTCTTAAGTCTAAACGGCCAAAAAGATTCTCACCTTCAAAGATGAATCTTCGATAGATGACAAGTAAAGCCTAGAAAATCCTCAAAACCAAACCTAATTATATTAAGAGAAAATAATAAGCAGTAGTACTAAATCTACGCTAGATCATAAATCTACGTTGCAGATATGGCCCAGAAGATCACAATTAATAGATTGAACAATCGTCGTTCAAAAAAAATTGTACGTAAGTTTGTATTTTACTATTTTGTAACTATAAGACCACAATAGACGCACAAACCCTCATTGTAAAGATTTTGATATTAATGCGAACACTAATTCCTCAAGGGCCAGGACCATAAGAGAACATTCCATTAGCCTGGCGGCCCTGGCCTATTAACTATTGTTATTTGAAGCCTAAAATATATGGAGACAAAATATTCGTTCCTCACGAACCAACCTAAAATGTAACAAAAGCCCATCATCATTTCTCGCAGCCTACTAAAGTACTAAACATTATACGTGTGAGGAAAAAAGAAACCATTGCACAAATAGTAGCTTACCAATTTACCATCATCTTGTAGTCAATTTACAATTACAACTAATGAGAATGAGTAATTTTACAAACTTCAATATGGTATCACAGCTTGTTGGTGTTACTGAGTGGTGAAAAATTGATAAAGAAAAATCTGGAAGTCGAAGAATTAGACAACAAGTAGCAGAGAGATGGTGGTTAATGAAGATCATCCGACAATAGAGTGATGCCGTTAATGTTGCATGTAATGATATTCCAAAGAGAGTTGGACCGGTAAAGATGTTTTTTAGGATCCTTTGAGGGTTTTTTCTGTCTGCAATTTTTATTGTCTGGTTACACTAGACTTATGTAGTTAATTAGTTATGTGTTACGTACACTTATAAACATGTTAGTATTTGACTTGTGAATAAACAAGTCCACAAACTCTTGACAATGACTATAATTGAAAAAAGAAATTAAACATTATCCATATAGATTCTTACGAAATGTTACGGTGTAAATACTAAAATTTTGGAAATAAGGTTAGTCTGTTGTTATTTGTAAAATTCATTAGAATAATTAAAAATTACTAAAATACAGCCACACAACACAAAATACGATTCGTAAAGTTAACAAAAAACAGAGTAGAAAGATGAAACAGTTATAGGAAACAGATCATCATATTGAACTTTTTTATCAGTGCTTCTCGCCACCGTAGGATCTAACCTCAACAGCCGTGGATCGAACGGCCGCTCTGGTGTGCTCGAGAGGCTGAGAGCTAAAGAAGTCAGAGTATACCTCCATGAAAAAGTGCTCAACCACATCGAGGTAAGCAGCGCAACGAAGACGAGAGTAGCAATGCAGAAACTCTCTAACATCTGCAACATGTTCCTCATCTTTTATGATATCATCATTCATCATCTTCTCCATCTCCTCTAGCTTTCGACGAATAAGCCCAACCTTTGGTTTGGAAAAGAGAGTCTCGTTTATATCTCCTCTTCTTGGTTGTTGAATCAAAGATCTGTTTTTTATCACATAGTTAGGTTGAAACTGCTTGGGTATGGATGATGAGGATGTGACGATATTGGGGTTTGGGTGATGATGATGATGATGATTGTTGATGGAGGTGTTGTTAGGTGTTTTGGGCAGTTTGTGATAGGTACCATTGTTGGAGAAGAATGATTTGAAGTTGTCGATTGTTTTGTGGAAGAACTTTCTTGTGTTGGAGATTGAGCTTCTAATAACCATCTTTCTTTTCTTCTTGACTTCTGGAGATTGAGAAACGGATCTGTTTTCTCTTATTCCTTCTGTCTTCTTCTTTGAGTTTGGTGACTTGTCCTTAGAAAGCTCTTTGCTTATATTAAAGAGCAATACAACTTAATGACCATGGTTTGGTTTCTTTTATTTACAAAATCATTGGATAACATTAGTGGACAGCTTTCGATGGTTTTGGTTTAAAAGAGATTACATAGACACTCTTATTTTTCTAAAACTTCTTTCAACTTTATTCATTTTGCATTCAATTCATTTTTATTTCTTGCATGATTACTATTCAAACCCATAATTTGTGTATGTTTTGTATGGTCAGTTTTGTCCTTTGAGACGCTCCCGTTCTTGTTCGTTTTTTTAAATCACCGAAAAAGTCCATACTTTTCTTGGTCTACCTATATCTATATTATTATTCACTTCTTTGGATTTTTTTATATATGAAATCAATTTGTAAATAAAAGAATCTATTACCGGCTCACACATAAACATAATGGTGTCATGGTGATGAGTTTAGTAGGTTAATACGTAATGGTGAGTTTAGTAGGTTACTTCCCACAAGTATTTTAAAATATTTTTATATACTGCATAGTTGCAATAAACTAGAAGTGAAATACAAGGCTATGCCGGTATTTTTTGTATTGTTACAAATTACAATTAGTAATATCTATAGCGAAAAAAGGAGAAAAAAAGTAAGAATAGACGGACAACAGAAAACAAGGAAATGTAGAGCTAAGTGAGAAAACAAAATTAGTAATACCTCTTGTAATTATGTTAACTAAATTTAAAACACAACTAACATCTTTTTAAAATGTTGAAGAAATTGGATCTTGAATATAAAAAAAATTAAGGGAGGAGTGAAGTAAGAGGGAGGACATCCTTTTAAAGGCAGAAAGGGGTAGATTTGTTGCACTAGTCCTGTGGTTGTTGAGTTGGCACCATTCTATTTAGCTACACTTGATTTGTCTATTTTACCAATTTTATATCCACCCATCTCTCTGTTTGCATTTATTAGGGCATCTCCAACAAGTCCTCAAATCCTCAAATTTTGAGGTTTTTGGCATTCCAACAAACCCTCAAATCCTCAAATTTTGAGGTTTTGAATAGTAAAACCTCAAATTTGAGGTTTTACTATTCAAAACCTCAAAACTATTTTCCTTTTTCTATTTAGTCCCTATAATTATGATTTTTGACAAATTAGTACACTAAACTTTAGTCTTAAAAAATAAAGCACATTAAAATGAAAAAAGAGTAAATGTTAGTATGTTTAAAAAGAGGTCCACTTAAAATAAAATATATTATACAAAGTTTACACACAAAAAGCTTGTGTTTATGTGTGATTAATTATTTTATATGTAATTTTTATTATCATGTAAATATTATTGTGTAATATGGTGTGTGGTGTAATAATATAATAAATAATTATATATGTTATATAATATATTCAATGTATGTTGTAAATTTATTTATGAACTTTTATCATTTTTAAAATTTATTTATAAACTTTTATTATTTTTCGTAGTTTTTGTTAACATTGAGGACTATATTGCAAATTAATTAATTTTTAAAGTCTTTTTTGAAGTTTCATTATTGGAGCAAAACATCTTCAAATCCTTAAAATGAGGTTTTGCTCCCCTCAAATTTAAGGGTTTGTTGGAGATACCCTTAACCGAAACATGAAGCATCCATCTTAATGTAATTGTATCCGGACTGCAAGTCTTCTTTTATTGTATGATATACATTTGTTTCCATTCATTCCCTCTAGATAATTATGCTTCTTGTATGATAATTATGTAATGTAGGAGATTATTTTAGTCTCTTTAAGAACTTTTTCACAAGAGTGTGAAGTATTTCAAGAGCAGTGACATGTCCTCATTTTATGACCATGAGAAGCAAACCAAGCCGTGGACGTAATCGCAAAACATGTTCTCTCATTACAACTTATCATGCTATTGTTTCCTCAGCTTTATCAGACTGGCTCTGGCCTTTTGTAATACCGGATCAACCGCAAATCTCCACCCACTTCTTAAAATCTTACGGTTGATGGTATCATGCTATTGTTTCCTCAGCTTTATCAAGGATCTCCACCCACTTCTTAGAAATTTTGGCTTCTTCATATCTAGCTATTTTGCAATTAGAACCAAACTAAAGAACAAAACAAAAAAAAACGCACAAAATTTCAAACTCGCCTACCAATAAGTTTGGGACAATACAGTTTAACCTATTCTTCTTTATTATCTATAAAAACTAAATATAATCAGGTTTGTATACAAGTAAAGACAAAACATGGACAAATTGCTATTCGAATCAAATTTTGGTTTCTACTTTCTAGGACCAGACTGTATAGGGTTGTATACAAATTTTTGGTTCTATTTCTTATGGAATAAAAAATTTAAACCGGACCGAATCAAGAAGAAAAAAACCTACAAGTTTGGTGAAGGCAAATGATTTTCGTTATTATATATATACTTTTAATATCTTTTCATCGAATTGTCAATGTCACAAGCAAAAAACGTAAGTAATACAAAACAAATTTAAGTAGCCCCATCGATGATTATTCATTGTAGTAGTACTAGTGTACTACTTATACCGAATTTAACCATCTTTATACCGAATTTAAGTAGCTCTAGAAGAAAGAAAAAAATATGGTGAACATGTTAAACGACAAGAACAAAAGTGCCACGTGTCGTTGTTAGGCTAACGAGATGAGGTTGCTGTAACGTGTGGCCATCACACTTCTCTTCCTTCTTTCTTTCCACCACCTCCTTTCCTCTTCTTCGTCCTAATCTGAAAATCTCATTTCTTTACCTCTGAATCTCTCTATTTAACATCTTCGAAGAATACCAAGATAAAATATCTAATCTTTAAGAAAGAAGAAAAAAAAAAGATCTTTCTTTTATCATCATCATCTCTTGTATGGTATTTTTGCATGAGAGTTAAAGCTTATCTCACTCTCTGATTTAGCTATGACTACTTTGACGAAGCTTCAAGTATACCCACGATGTTTGGAGCACCGTCTCGGATTCATGGATCATCAACGGGTCGGGTCGAGATTGAATTGTAGAGAACGTAACAGTAGGGTTTATGTGCATCGGTGTGAGAGTGATTCAGGGGAGAAAAAGGTTGAAAAACGGAGAAAGCGTGAGAAATTGAAGGGAAAAGAAGGAAATGGGTTGTGGGATTCTCTCAAATCTGGGGTTTTCGGTGTTAGTAAGTTAGGGTTCTTATCTAAAGATGAGTATAATCAGAAAGTTCAAAAACTAGAGATGGTTTTCTCTTCGGTAAGTCTCTAAAGTTTCCTCCTTTTTGTTGGAATTTTCGATCTTTGTTCTCACATAAGTGTAAATTTTTTGACCCTTTAATATGAACTAAGATTGGTTTAGATTTAGCTTTAAAAGTTTGTGAATTAGTTGATATTTGTTCTCACTTAACTGCAAATTTTGTTGCTCTAATCATTTCAACTTCAAGCTGAGTCTGAATATAGCTTGTTTATAGCATATGTTTAGGTTTAAATCTACTTAAGGGTATGATTTACTTTAAATTTGTGCTGAAGCAACTGCAAATTCTGATCCTTTATACTCTAATTATCTGGATTTCAAGTTTAATCTGAAAAACTTAAGTTAATCTGAAAAACTTAAGTTGATCTTTATTCTCCCAGAAGTGCAAATTTTGAACCTTTTGGCTCTAGTTATCTAGATTTCAAGCTTAATCTGAGCTTAGATAGGTTTATAGCACATGTTTAGTTTTTAAGCGGCATTAGTTTGTGAGTATGTGTATTCAAATTTTGGGTCTTTTGTTGTTTATCTATTTGCAGGTTGCTGTTCAAATAGCGAGATACATTGTGACGATGACAAGCACTGGAGCTATTCTCCAAATTGGGTTTCAATTGTCAGGTTAGTGGGTAAAAAAGAACATTTCTGAAAGTTTGTTTTTTTTTTGTTAATTTGGTCTGACTCAGTTGTGTCTTGCGTGCATTTGATATTGTAACAAAAAAGGTGGAGATAGTTCGATGAACTCATTGGTTTGGTATAGCTGGCTTGGTGGAATCATCATTGGAACTATGACTGGTGCTAACATGGTTTTAGAAGATCATTACCGTGCCGGTCCTCGCAATGTTGTTATAACCGGAAGGTGGTTAATTTTCTTTGCCACTCTGTTATTTACATTTGCTCAATTCTTGTTTTCTTTGATGCTAATATATGTGTTCTCTACAGCACGAGGGGACTAGGGAAAGCTCTTGCTAGAGAGTTTCTTCTCTCTGGAGATAGAGTCATCGTTACATCTCGCAGGTTGTAGCTCAAGTTTCGATATAAAGGATTAGTTTTTTTCCTCAAGAATTGAAGTCTGATTATGATGCTTTGTTTTTGTTTTGTGAATTCAGTTCTGAATCCGTCGATATGACTGTCAAAGAGCTTCAGCAAAACCTCAAAGAGATCATGAGTAACGCTAGTGAGTCAGCTAGAAAGAAGTTGCGTGATGCTAAAGTATTTGGTATTGCCTGTGATGTTTGCAAACCAGAGGACGTTGAGAAGCTGTCTAATTTCGCTGTGAAGGAGCTTGGTTCCATCAACATATGGGTAAACAAACAAACATCATTTCATTTGTCTCTTGAGTCATTTTCTTCCTCACTGACTCTCTCTTCTTTGGAGAACAGATCAACAATGCTGGTACTAACAAAGGGTTTAGACCGTTGCTTGACTTCACCGAAGAAGATATCAAACAAGTAAGAACCTAAAGCTTAAACCTTTATGGTGGAGTTTCTAGGTTTGATAATAACTGGAATGTCTGCAGATTGTCTCCACGAATTTGATTGGATCCATTCTATGTACACGAGGGGCGATGGATGTGATGAGTAGACAGAGCAATGGTGGACACATCTTTAACATGGATGGTGCTGGTTCTGGTGGTTCTAGCACTCCTCTCACAGCAGTGTAAGTAACCAAAATCAATTAAATTACTGATTCTTGTTTAATGGAGTCGAAAGTTTCTTTATCATCTTGAGCTTTTTTGCAGGTATGGTTCAACAAAATGTGGACTTAGGCAGTTTCATGGTTCTGTTGTGAAAGAAAGCCTAAAAACAAAGGTTGGCTTACACACTGCGTCCCCTGGCATGGTTCTAACCGAGCTTCTTCTCAGGTATGCATCGGCACTTGTGTTCTTGAAAACAGATAAGACTTAACACAAAGAATCAATACATAAAGTGTCAATCTTGCAGTGGTTCGAGTATAAAGAACAAGCAGATGTTTAACATAATCTGTGAGCTTCCCGAGACGGTCGCAAGAACGCTAGTACCGAGAATGCGAGTTGTGAAAGGTTCGGGAAAATCCGTTAACTACCTAACTCCTCCGAGGATATTGCTAGCCATTGTCACTTCCTGGCTTAGGAGAGGCCGTTGGTTCGATGACCAAGTAAGCAACTCAAGAGTGTTTGTTTCAGCAAGAACATAGTAGCTAGCCATTTTAGACTGTGCTTACGCCAGAGATGTGGCTGTGTTTTGCAGGGACGGGCGTTGTATGCAGCGGAAGCGGACAGGCTAAGGAACTGGGCAGAGAACAGGACGAGGTTGTCGCTAACAGACGCGATGGAGATGTACACAGAGAACACTTGGGTCTCTGTTTTCTCTCTTTCTGTTGTTTGCGCCTTCATTATCTTGTCAAGCACCACACCTAGCTCTTTCCCAGGCACATGACACTTTAAAACATTGTTGTTTTAGCTATTTATCTTTATGGGATGTGTTTAAAATGTTATGTATAAAAATTGTATATGTAACGGGACAAATCTGTTCAACTATTAGTCTATTACACACTTTATAAAGTCATATACAAGATTAGTTAACGATTTTTTAGGATCACCATGTAAAAGTATTTACGAATTTTAGCTTCCATTGAAATTACAAACTCAATAATTTGAAGCACACAAATTAGAAAATAGCAAACGCCCTTCGTTTCTCAATATGGCTACAATGCTGACGAAAGCTATTTTTTCACCGTTTTTGTTATTCATGCTTTTTGTATTCCCAGTAGCAAATGCGATGAGATTCGATGTCAAGATGTTTTGCAACCAGACGTATAGTTTTGATTTCTGTATGCAATCTATCGGGAGGGACCAACGTATTGCAACTGCACGTGGCTTCCGTGATGTTCTTATAATTGCGGTAATGTTTCTTCATACTAATAATAATGTAGTGATTTTTATCTATAACGATTTTTTAGCATTCCAATGCCTTATATTAGCCACATCGGGTGTCCAATGTAAAAATGTAATCTCAAGTCTTATTTACCAAAAAAATATTACAATTTGGTTTCCAACGATTTTGAAAACACGGAATAAATTATTCGACTATAAAAATACTTTAGTTTAATAAACCAAATCTCTTGTAGTTTATTCAGGAAATTAATTATGCAGCTACAGAATTTTTGGAAAATGAAGAAAAACAGTTGGTTGTTTTTGTATTTTTTGAATATAGCGGAATTTTCTAGTCTTCTTTAATTTTAGTGAAGAAAATGAAGAAAACTTTTTGGTGTAGCAAAATTTCAGCGTTACCAATTATTATTTTTTGGATATAAGGGCACTTAATGTATTAGTTTACTACTTTTTTGTGACCCAAAATGTTGAGTTTTTTTACTGAGATGTGTTATGATGTTATCAGGTATCGCAGAACCAAAAACAAGTGACCAACGCAACCACGACAATCAACAAAATCCGTCCAAAGTTCAGTGGTCCATATGGGAAGAAACGTTTGGGTCTTTGTGAGACAAAGTTCAAGGAAGTGTCTGGTGTGCTCCAGAAAACACTAGAAAGTGCGAAGACAGGATGTAGGCTGTCGTTAAAAGAAGCTCAAAAAGTCCCACGAACCTGTATTGACGCTATGGACGATTGCAAAAATACTTGGACACTTCCTTTTAACGGACCGGACCAGTCGAATCCTCTCGCTGAGTCTTGCTTCAATGTTATGGGACTAAGCTATATTACTAGTTTAGCACTTCGCAAGTTATTACATAATAGGGCTGGTTAAATCATTTGTGATCCGAGCCGATTCATAATACAGAAAAAATGTATACATTACTCAGCTCAGTGGCGGAGCTAGGATTTTTTTTTTACAAGGGTCATAACAAAAAAATTGTTATAAAAAAGACTTAAATGTATGAGAAAAGTTTTATGAAAGGGGTCACTAGACTGACTAGAGGTTCGAACTTGGGTTCAGGTGGGTCATTGCCCAGAAATATACCAATTGAGCTGCTAGTTCTAATAAAAATTAGCTACATTAAAATTTATTTATTCTATTTCACCTGGGTCAGCTGACCCACCTGCCACCTCTCTAGCTCCACCACTGACTCAGCTAGATCCGAATCCGGATAACCAAGTTATGAATCCGGCGGATCTATATACAGTAGTAAAAATAGTTTTCAATAGATACTAGACTCATCATGTTTTCTTATAACTATGTTTTTTTTTTTTTTTTTTTTTTTTTTAAATTAAACCCAGTCAAAATACATTAACGAACGTCACATGAGTATTGATTGTTTGGGTTTGTGTTTTAGAAAATACCCCACCCACCAACATGTTGTTGTCTTACGATTAATTGTTTATACTGATGAATTGTTTAAACTAGGGACTAAAGCCCCGCGCAAGCGCGGGGTTGTTCACGATAATTTTCTGCTTGATTTTATTTATATTCATTGATTTAAAATTTTGAATTATGAGGGTTATATGTTAACTTCCATGCTTGTAACGCAAAACGTGTAAACCGGCCGGTTTGGTTCTAAGTAATGAAATGATGTTCAAAAAAAAAAAGATTATATTTTGAGTTAACCCAACAATTAATACTAATAATATGATCAATTTTTTGTTATTAATATATTAACACCTTACTTTATCTCGAGTTTTCTAATTCTAAAATTTAATATGCATTTGACTCAACGTTAAAATTTGTAAACATGATGTAGAATCACAATTGCACTTAAAATATGATGAAAAAGAAAAACATGTATAAGTTCTTACATATATACTTTATTGTAGTAGCAAGTGAGAATTGATTATCTTCTATTATGTTAGTTTTGTAGATATAAATTGTATTTTTGAATATATCAAAAAATAAATTGTATTTTTGAAACAAACATCTCACAATTCTTAAAATTTTCATGTTTTTCATTGAAATGAAATTTAAATAATAACTGGAATTTTATTTTTTAATAAAACAAACTCTAATTCTAATTTTTTATTAGCTTTAACTGCAATGAATTTGTTTGTATATTTTTCTTAGTTTTGTTTATGTGTAAAATAGGAATATATATAAATAAATATTAATATACATATATTAAATATCTTAAATACAATTAATAAATTTTTTGCTGATGTGGATGGCCTAGGAGGAGAGAGCATCTCTCCTATTATATATAAGATTTGTATATAATTGATTAGCCCACATGCATATGGATCCGCGGGTAAACCACGTTGAGAGTCTTACAATAAATAACTAAACGGATTGGGTTATTGTTAATCTGAGCCTCTTTACTCCCTCTTCGTTGCTAAAAAATACACATAACTAATGTCTAGCAATTCCACCCCACAAAAAGATCAAGAATCATTAGTCCTGAGAATCATATAAGAAATTAAGAAAAACTAGGAGAGAACCCGCGCAATGCGCGGGTTTATTAAACCAAATATTTTTAATTTAATTATTCAGAACATTAGATTCGAATATATCATTTGTTTTTTACTCGAATATATTAGATTCTGTAAGTTTTGCATTTTGTTTTTTTTCATATAGTTTTAAAATTTAGTTGTTATTTACGTGAAATCTTATATAGACTCATAGTGAATAGTTTCATATGTTTTTTGTTCTTTTATACAATAATTTATCGACTGGAGTTGAGTTCTTCTAATTTTCCTTATACTAACAATCATTATAGATTGATTATTATCCTACAGACTCATAGATAATAATAATTGCAATCCTTTTTAAAAGGAAATGAAATGAGCTAATTAGCCAGTAAGCCCATTTAAAGCTACCATGGAAACGAAGAGGTCCGATAAATAATCAAGCCTATCAAAACGAACAACATTACACATAATTTTGATTTAGATTTTTTTTTTTTTTTTACGAAAACGACGTCGTTTTGGTGTAAGACGAAAAAAAAAAAGATAAAGCGCAAAACGACGTCGTTTTGGTGTAAGACGAAAAAAAAAAAAAATAAAGCGCAAAACGACGTCGTTTTGGTGTTAGGCGAAAAAAAAAAAAAAAAGAGTGCCACGTGTCAAAGGCTTGAGAGTGTCCAAGCCTTATTAGTTATGTAGATTTAGAGCTTAAGGTTTACCATAGTTGTTGTTAGTGGCGGATCCATAACATAATTTTATATGGGGCATAACAAATATAAATACTAAATATAATTTATTTGGTCTATATATTACGATTATATAAAATATAATATATGTAACTATAATTTTGGTTCTATTTTTTTTAAGAAAAAGATAAAGTAAACTGAAGTGGGAAAAAGAAAAAAACTAAAGAAATGATGAAAAAATACAAGGGAAAAATAAATAAAAGAACTAAAGAAATGATGAGAAAGTACAACGAAGTGGCTTGAACTTGGGTGAATAAGGAGCATATCTTAGTTATAATACCAACTGAGCTACATAATTTATAGCTGTTCTCCTAACATATACAAGAAATATATAAGATGTACTAATTTAGCATGGGGCACTTGCCACACCTCCTTCCAACGTGGGTCCGCCTCTGGTTGTTGTTACAGTCCTTTTTCCTCCTTCTTTCACCAATCACAGGTTAATAAGTTTACCTTTTTTTTTTTGGTCGAAATATACTTGTATTCATTAATTAGCCAAGTGCCAACTCAACCAAAAAGTAGTTAAAGTAGTTGAGAGAAGATTTTGCAAGAGTATCAGCGTAAACATTTACTGATCTCGGAATTGAAGATCTCTACCGACTACCTGTGCTGCTGAATTATATAGTATTCAATTTTTTTTTTTTTTTTGTTATTGTATGGAAAAACTGGGCAGTAAGTCTTACGAAGTTACGATAATATATAATGATTAACTGTTTAAACTTGTATATAAATAAAGCATGCATCCACGCCTAACCACGTTGAGAGTCTTAAAATAAATAAATAAAAACGGATTACTTGCTGTTAATCTTATCCTTTAATTACTCCCTCTTCGACCGTTGCTATAAATACACATAGCCAGTGTCTAGTAATACCACACAAAAAGATCAAGAATCATATAAGAAATTAAGAAAAAAAAAGGGTTAGATATGGGTAGATTAAGGTTTACCATAGTTGTTGTTTTGGTCCTTCTTTTCTCCGCTCTTCTCCAATCCCCCAAAGGTAACTAAGATCTTTACCTATGCTAGATTATATTCAGTTTTTTTGTTTGTTGTTGTACAATATCCAAGATAAAACACAATGTTTGGAATAGGAGTGAAAGGGTGGTATTTTTTTTTTTTTTTTTTTTTGATAACAGTGGGTGATCCAAAGGCTTTTTAGGCCCAAAAATAATCCCACGAGACCCACGACAGTCCATGTTTTCTTACTATTTAAGGTAGTCCGGGTGGCCGGGGACTCGAACTCATGATGACAGGCACCTCAGCTGAGACTCTATTACCACCAAACCTTGAGGACCCGGTTAAAGGGTGGTACTTTTGTGGAGAATTTACCAATGTTTGTCAAGCTGATGAGAGTGTGTCAGAACGTGTGTGTGCGGAAGATTGCGAGAGAAGACATGGTGATAACATGATAAAGAGCGGATGCGAGGAAACTGGTCAAGGACGTGTCGTCTATTATTGTTAATGTTACTTCAATTGCAACAGCTGTAAATTTGGGCCTCAGGGCGCAGGCACAATCCACGTTACCTCTTTAATTCTGAGTCTCGTCTCTGATTTTCTGTTTCATTATTTCTTTCATTCTGCAAATAAACACGGTCTACCCTGTTCTTGGTTTGTAGGATCAGGGTAAGGCACGTCGCAATCTTCATTTCCCGTTTGTTTCCTGCATTGTAGGAACAACAGTTCCATTTTTGTTATTCTGTTTAAGTAAAGGAGAAGTAGTCTTAACTACTGTCTCTGTCTTAAAGTGTCTTTGGCTTTAAAGAGTGACCGCAGCTCCACTGTTACGGATGAAATAAATATACTCCCTCCATTTCAAATTAGTTGTCATTCTGGAAAAATGTATTTGCAATTATTTGGATGTATTTGGATGTGTTTTGAGTTTAATACGTCCAAATAATTGCAGATAAATTTTGCCAAAATGACAACTAATTTGAAACAGAGGGAGTATATGTTATCATTGCTTCACTTACGTATTTCTATATATTTGTTTCATGTTTAAAAAAAAAAAATTGGGAAGATAATTATAATAACACTAGAAAGTCATGCATGTAATTACTAGAATGAGGCCAATTTTAACATAATAACTAAAATCATATAATTACTATAGATCGTCTGTGATCAAAAACATATCTTAACCAAAAATAAATCTGTGATAATTGCCTATTTGATCAAAAATCTACAAGCATCGCCTATTGTTTGCCACCAAATGCTTCATTTCTTTGCAACCTATATCCTTTTTCTTTTCCTTTATTATCAAAGGGAAGACAGAGAGAAGTCCTACTTTATCCTGAAAGAGTAACTAGTGACAATACGTTTATCTCCTCTTAAAACTTTTTATGTGACCACACTATTTGTTATATTTGAGATTTTGGTTTTAAAATTTCAGTTGATGATTACTTTAATTCATTATATATATCTTTACATTACATAAGATTTACTTATATTTTGAGTTCGGACTATTCATTTTTGATATTATACTATTGTTTCAATGCTAATCAATTCTTTGATACTTTTTGGTACTGAAATACATTCATTTATATTAATAAACGTTATAAATATATGTATCACAATTCTAGCTCACTCTCTCTCTCTCCAAATCTATCTCTCGCCTCAGTTAGAGTCTCAGAGATATGGCCAAGTCGAAGAATCAATGGGCGCACAATCAGTCTGCCAAGGCCCATAAAGCGGAATCAAGAAGCCGAGGAGGCACCGTCATACCTCAACCAAAGTTCCTCAGGAATCAGAAGTACGCAAGGAAGCGCAACATCAAGAGCAGCGAGAATGCTAGGGTTGAGCGACTAACGGTTCCTTGTTTTTGTTCAAACTCAGTTAAACGTTAAAACACACTAAGGGATTTCATTACCTACTTCATAAACTTAACAATTTAATAAGATATAGGTCCCATGATTAAACACGCCGACATGTCCTCATTGCTTCATCTTCTCATCGCTCTATAATCACTTTTTTTTCTTCTTATGGTTTCATCTTTGATATCTTTGTCGATTAAGAATCACAATCTGGGCATTCCGGTTTCGTCTAATAGTTACGTGTGTATATATATATATATATATATATATATATATATATATATATATAATGTCATCAACATATATAAAAAGGTCGTCATTTTTGTTTGTCCACGTACATGATTATTAATTGTTATATGAAGATCCTGTAACAAAAAACAAAAAAAAATGATTATTGATTGTTTGGGTTTGTGTTTAAACAAATACCCCACCCACCTACACGTTGTTGTCTTACGATTCATTGTTTATATAATGAAATGTTTAAACTTGTATATAAGGAATAGCCCACATGCATATGCAATGCATGCATCCACGAGTAACCACGTTGAGAGTCTTAAAATAAATAACTAAACGGATTGGTTACTGCTAATCTGAGCCTCTTTACTCCCTCTTCGTTGTTACAAAAATACACATAATTAGAGTCTAGTAATTCCACACCAAAAGATCAAGAATCATTAGTCCTGACTCCTGAGAATCCTATAAGAAATTAATAAAAAAAAAATTATATGTATAGCTTAAGGTTTACTATAGTTGTTGTTTCAGTTATTTTTTTCTCCGAACTTCTCCAATCGCTCACAGGTGAAAAAGATCTCTACCTATGCTGCTGAATTATATTCAATTTTTTATTTGTGTACAACATCGAAGATGAAACACAGTGTATGGGACAGGAGTGAAGTGGGACGCATGCATTCAAATGATCGGGCGTTGTTTTCTTTCTATAGAATGTGCGGAAACTTTCTTAAACAAATACCCCACCCACGTACATGATGCTATTGTTTGTTTATATGAAAAATGGATTACTTGCTGTTAATCTTGTATATAATTAATAAAGCATGCATCCGCGACTAACCACATTGAGAGACTTAAAATAAATAAACAAACGGATCACTTGCTGTTAATCTGATCCTCTTTACTCCCTCTTCGCTCGTTGCTATAAATATAACTAGTGTCTAGTAATTCCACACAAAGAGATCAAGAATCGTATAAGAAATTAAGGAAAAAAGGTTAGATATGGATAGGTTAAGGTTTATCATAGTTGTTGTTTCGGTCCTTCTTTTCTCCGTTCTTCTCCAGTCGCCGAAAGGTAAATAAGATCTCTTCCTATGCTGAATTATATTCAATATTGTTCTTGTTGTACAATATCCAAGATAAAACACAAATGTTTGGAACAGGAGTGAAAGGGTCCGTTTGCAGTGAATTGGTGGGGATGTGTGCTGGTGAGCGTTGGTGTGAAAGTTATTGCAAGAGAAGCTATTCTGGTAACCTGGTAAAGAACGGATGCGAGGACCTAGAAGTTGATCCCGGTGTCTTCCTCAGTTATTGTTACTGTTACTACAATTGCCACGAGCCCACGACTATAAAATTGGGCCTTGGCCGGAGGCCCAAACCACGTTACCTCTTTAATTCTGAGTCTCGCCTCTGATTTTCTGTTTTATTATTTCTTTAATTCTGCGAATAAACACGGTCTTACCCTGTTCTTGGTTTGTAGGATCAGATCAGAGTAAGGCACGTTGCAATTTTCATTTCCCGTTTGTTTCCAGCATTGTAGGAACAACAGTTCCATTTTTTATTATTCTATTTAAGTAAGGGAAAGAAAATATAGAGGTAGTCTTGATTGCTATTACGGATGAAATAAAGTATGTGATCATTGCTTCACCTTCATTTAGAGTGATTTACACTATGAGTGACTTTTTGAGTTTGGTTTACAAAAAGAGGGACATTTTGAAAGAGGTGGACTTTTCTTTGGAAGGTAGTGAGTGAAGATTTCTGTTTTACCCTTAATGAGAAAGAAGGTAAAAAAAAACTGGAGAAGTTCATATCTATTTTGCCTGAAGAAGTTCATACCTTTTTGATTGCCACACTTCTTTATGTAATAACCATAAATTCCACACGTTTCTATAATCGCCAATATATATCCCAAGAAAAGCAGATTTTTGGACGATTTATCACACATGTACACTTTTTTAATGTACAACAGAATTCGATGGCATCTCTCAAGATCTTAGATCATTGCAGCACCGAAGGTTCCAGTTATGACAATTGATTGTTTTTGTGTGGATGGTTTATCAGATTGTACACTTATATCTTGGATTGTTTATGTGTGGATGTTTTTTTAGCCATTGAATGCTTATACAGAAAATTAAAGTTTTTGTAAGATGTAGTAGTGTTCAATCAACTACTATTCACGGAAACTATCCAAACAATATTTGTACAACAAAATTGCATCCATGTAAATGTGAACATATTTTGCCATGGATCTGCTTGAATTGAGGATCATTGGCAGATTGGAAGCCATGGAAGAACTTGAGAAAGCTTTTATCTAAGCTGCAGAAGATATGATAGACTTTACAAATTAATAAGAGATTAGAAGCCATGGGAGAACTCTAACGAAGCTTTCTTCTCACAAATTGGATCCACATGGATCTATCCATGATATAAAGAAATCAATGTATATTGTTTGCTGGATTTTTAATTAAAATAACCCAGTAAATAAGTAATGCAAGATGAGTTAGTGGTGAACATTAAACATAGAAGAATTGGATAAACATGAACTTATTCGCGAGTGTATTGTCTAACCAATTGGATATACATGAACTTTAATCAGGTGGTGAGCATGAACCGAGAAAAATTATGAGATTTACATGGGAATTCGAATTTGCTACCTTCCACAATATATGTTTGGACGAATTTATTTGTACAATTAGATGTTTTTCACATAACCCAATCTAATTCTAATTCATGGAAAACTAAAAATTACAATGACATAGACACAAATGCATGGATACTAAAACAAATGTTTGGTGTGAGCAGATTACTCGCGCTTTTACAGTAAGAAACTCTCAATTCTATAAAAGCAGTATAGGCCAGTGATATTTCCACAAAACATCGTCCACGTTTCTTATTTTTTTTGGACAAGATATATTTGGACAAGAAGTCATGGATGAGTTTGGAGGAAACTGAAAGCTTCTCTAACCAAGAGTTCCTGATTTTGGAGAATTCTGGAATGTTAATGTGTGTATGGCTGACGAAAGTAATGGTGTGGGTTTAGAATAGATGTTTTATCAACTGTAAGGAAAACAATTGGTAGCAAATTCTGATTTGAATTCATCGTTTTCATCTGTTTCTGCATAATGGTAGTAGATTATGTAAATCTGACTTGAAACAGAGCACTAGAGAGAAGCAATCCCATAACTTATCTAAAAGCAAATTGGAGTAACGAAGAAAGAGATTTCTTATCTAAAAGGATGAGGCTAACTTCAAAGAGAAAACTCGACATAGCCAAACCGAGAACTAAAGTCACATACAAAACTCGACATAACTTTGATTGCAGAGACGATGGCGGCTCCAGTGAAATAAGGAAATAGAAACATATTTTTTTCTACACTGAGCAGATGTATTTCTCTATAGAACTTGACGGAATCGGAAGATTGAGACTTGACGGAAAAGCGCAGTAGGAAGGTAAGACTCGCCGGACTCGGAAAGGCGGCCGTGGAAGGGCCCTGGTTTCAATGGAGTGAATGTAAATAAAAAAGAGGTAAAAAGTTAAAAGGAATATTTGGTGAAAGTGCCAATGAAAAAAAACGAGGATAACAGAGTCATTTCAACTTATGAAAGTGCACCATTTCACAAAGTCCCTCAAAGTGTAAAGCCAAACTCAAAAAGTCCACCTGAGTGTAATTTTCTCCCTTCCTTATGTGTTTCTAATTTTCTATGTATTTCTTTCATGGTTTTTTTTTCTTTTTTTTTGGGAAGTTTACTATAATAAATCTAAGAAAATCATGTAATCACTAGAATGAAGCCAATTTTATCATAATAACTAAAATCATACAATTTCGATAGATTGTCTACACAAATATGATTGCAGATTTTTGGTCAAATAGGCAATGATGCAGACTTATTTTTGATTAAGATATGTTTAGTTCGTCTAACACTAATACGGTAGTGATTTTATTTTTTCAAAATGAAAAAAGTTTTTTTTAGCTTCTGAGTTCTTACAGTTACAAGCTTTTACTCATAAGCCTTAACCAATGTTTTTTTTTTAACAAATATACTTTCATTAATATTTTATTACATATCATATTGTATGGACAAGATTTTTGGATCTTCCGTGTCCAACAATATCGTGTAGCTTTCGGTGCTGGCTATGAGGTTTATAGAGCATAGAATGAAAGCTTCTTCCTCTTGAAACGAACAAAGATCTACACGAGGAGAGTCGTTCCCTGAGGAAAATGTGCTTAGGGCCATGTAATTGTCAGGCTCTCTAGATCAGTTATTTTCTTCGCCATCTCTGTCCGAGAAACAAACCCGGAAGGAATACAATAGTTAATTGCTACTTTGTTTCATTCTTTTGCCTAAACAACACACTCCTCCATATTAGCTTTGTCATTTTAGTAGTTCCCACGTCTTATTTTTTGTTTCATCCTCAGTTCCTATCTTTAGGGCTCCTAAAACCATTCAAGTTCTCTAGCTTTTCCAGATATGAGAATTTCTTTTGCGTAAATCTTGGAGACTTTTGAGGTTTCTCTGCCTGCCCACTCCAGCCCATAAAATCAAACAATGTCTTTGACGAGTTTTGTGGGTCAAGCTTCTCTGATTCCTCTCCTGCGTAGTTGGAAGATCTCGCCGGCTCTGAGTCCATATCTGTTATTATTCTCCCACCATCTGATGTTTCTTCGGATGTACACTGCTTTTGGGCTAAAGCATCAGCGTAAAGCACATCCTCGATTCTTGACATTTCTGTATAACCTCTGCTCTCTAATATCCTTGAATAGCTCTCCAAAACCGCATGTCCTACATCCTGTAGTTACAACACTTGTAGTATTAAATTTTATAGAAAGTAAAAGAGAAATCAAGTGAATATTGGGCATTACATTGTTATACTGAATCTTGGAGATGTCGAGTGAAGATTGGGGAAGACCAGGGAACTTTTGTTTGAGGAAAACCAAGATTGTCTGAGCTCTATCTTCGAACAACTCTCGTTTCTCCAAGCTCACAGCTGATCCCCAAGAAGATTTGTTGTCCTTTAGATGAAGTTTTCTTTTCCATATCACAATTGAGGCCTCGATCCTGTTCTTCACATCTAACACTTTGTGCTCTGTAGATAAGTCAAGTGTTGACAAGAACTGCTCTGGATCAAACCACTCCTCTGTTATGCTCTTGTATAACGAATCTCCAAGGCTTGCTCTTCCATTCTGCAATAAACCAAGTCTTCTCAATCACCATAGGTTTAAAACGCTAGTTTATGCATTTAAGTTTATATGTACTAACCTTTGGGAGAGACTCAACATAGCTATCAGGGATATTCATTTCTGACAGAACCTGTGCATTAATAGCCATCGCAGCTTTTTGAACTTGTGCGACTGAATCCTTCTGAAAAAGAAGCAATCTCCGGGAAGATTCTGATAAGCCATTAGGAGGGACTTTGACCGGAGGGAGCCACCACTTGTCCTTTGTCCTATCATTCCTTGCTTGCTTACCTTCTTCTGAGTCTCTGGATACATACCAAAACTCGTTGTGTCCTCTAAAATTATCCAATGTATCCTGATATGTTTCATTACCGTTCCATCAAAGTTGCATGCATACGAAAATTCATTTTTATGTGAATATAGAGACACTTACAATGAGCATGGCGTCAAGTTTTCGGAGGGCAGGTATGTTCATGAGAAGATCACATCTTTGTCTTGTCACCATAATCTACAAAAATTCACTGAATCATAATGTTGTTCTCTGATGATGAGGAAGAGGAAAACGATAATTATAAGAGCTGAAATTAATATGGAACCTCGGTGCAGACTCCATCCTTACTAATCTGTTGAGATGGAACAAACTCGACGATGTGATCAGTCACAGAGAGCAACCAATCGATCTCTTTCTTCCACCTCGCTCGCCTATCTGATGCCATCGGCTGCAACTTTGTCTGTTCCCCAAATATTGACGCTGCATGTAAAATCAAATCAAACAAAACCCTAATTTGATCATTTCATGTTACTTGCGGAAGAAGATAACTTAAAAAAACCTAAAGAACTTTTTTTTACCGGCTAGATTGGTGATGGCGTTTGATAGTGCCAAAGCAGATGATACACCTTTACCACCACCTGACATATCTTCTCCTAGAAGTAGTTTTGTGAATCTATCCTTCATCATCTCCGTGTCTACATTATGTAACACCACCAAATTGTAAGTTTTTTTCTTTACATCTCTAGGGCTCTTTACAAACAAAATGAAACTTTATTTCGATAATTAAATGAATTTTTTTCTTTAAAAGAATTACCTGATTGTTGTTTCTCTTGTCTGCGGGAAATCAGCCGGGAAGCCATCGGGCGACTACTTTCCACCGGACATTCACCGATACTGTCTTGAGTTTGACTTTCTTGCGTGGTTGATTCTACGTGATGAAGAACTCCGTTCTCAGTTACAACGGAACGAGATTGTTCTTGCTCTTGTTCTTTTCCCGGTGAGGAATCGAACATTCTATGGAAATCGAAAGAATCTGAAATGCTTATCCCTCGTTCCAACGATGGAACCATGGTTCCGGCTTTTCTATGTTTTCTTGTTTGCAATTACAAATTACTTAATTACATGTGATTTTCCTAAGAAAAGAGAGGATTTAGTTGAATTAGGGAATCAAATGGACGGATTATTATAACAATGTATGCAACTACAAATTTTAAAACCGTGAAAGATTTTGAGTCAGATCAAGGAGACGTGGGACGCACGAGAATGAGGAAGAATCAAGAAAGTTTGTCGCGGATTTAAGGATTTGAAATTTATTTTATACCAAAATAGTAGATCAATATATAGGCAGAAGCTTATTTAAGTGTATTTTTGCCTCTTTCTGCTCAAAATTAAATCAGTGGTTTGTGCTTACTGTGAGATTCCATAAAGCCCGGGAGAGACAATAAACCTTGGCAACTATTTTAACAATAAACATAGACGCCTTTCATCAAATATAAGTATCATTGGTTTTTATAGTTAGTTATGCAGAAAATGCATTGGGTGATATGTTTTTGGGATGGTATTTGTTAAATTGGAATTAGCTGGAATAACCACAAAACAAAGAAATATTACTGACAAACTAACCTCATACTGAGATGGCTAGAATACAATATTAGATATATTATCTTAAAAATATATAAATTTATCCACATTCATACATCCACACATTCTTCCTTTTTTTCCCTTCAAATGCTTTCCAAGATTTCTTTTAGTAATTGCTTTTAAAAAGATATGTTTAAACACATATTATTTTCATACTTTTGACTTCTTTTTCTGGTTTTGTCTCCTTGCACACTTTTGACTTTGTGCAAAACCAATTGTAGACAAGTGAAAGGTAGAGCAAAATTGTCAAATATAGAACGGAAATCTCTCCCCAACTTACGCACCGCACTTAACTAACCCATTTTCCCTTCTTTATAATTTTATCACTTTACTAATGACCCCATACGCACCACTTTAGGGTCCGTAATCATCTTCCTAAATCTATATAATTTTTAAATTTCCATATTTGTTAGGTATTTGTCATGTACTTATTAAAATAATACATGGCTCCGCACTACTATGGGTCGAAATTATTTGGTATACAATACTAGATAAAGTCATCAAGGGACTTCCACATTTTCATATAAGTATTGATCTTTGGTATAGTTAAAAGAACATTAAGAGCACATTCAAAGGCAAACTAAAAGAGTAAAGAGAGCATTTTACTAAGACAAGAATGGCCGTGAAGCTCATGTACTTCTTTCTCTTCGTTTACATTGCTCTTCTAATTTCAGGTAAATATAACTGTATGGTCCATGGAAAAAAGTTACTTGCTTTCCTGTTAACATCTTATCTTTCTTTTGGGAGAAGTTTAAAATGTTTATGACGATGTAATGATGCAGTAGGGAATGCTACTGATGCGGGCCGGACTATGGCCACAAAAGCCGCTGCCGCGGGAGCACAGGATGGGAAGAGTGGTCGGACGGAATGGCTATACCTAGCAGGAGAATGTGCAAAATTACCACGTTGCAACAAATATTGCGTCTCCAACGGGTTTCGTCTTGGTGGGCATTGCCAGGAATTGTCCCCTCAAGCTTCTTATATTTCTTGTGTTTGTAAATATACGTAAATTTCATCAAACTTACCTATAAGTTTCCTTTGTTGGTTGTTGTCGGTGGGATAAATTATAGTGTTGTTGAGAAGTTAAGCCTTGTTGGTCCAGTCTATATATGTTTATTTTGGATTTGATTCTTGAGCTTCGAAGTCTTCAGTCTTGTGTCGTTTTTGTTTTTTTAATGTAATTTCGGTTTTAGAAAATAAGATCGTGCTATAGAGGAGCATTATCCTTTAAAGTTTGATCTCATATTACAGAACTTTGAACTTGTTGTAGATATGGGAGAGTGGGTTACATCAACAGAAGTTGTTGAAAAAAAGGGTTACGGGCCTGATTATTTAGAACTTTGACTTTAGGCTGTAGAGAATTTGGTAATGGGTAAAAAACTTTAAAAACTTTTATTGTTGATTTAAATAATATTGTTTTTTGTCAAAAATATAAATTATATCAGTTAATACATTAATGAATTTAAAACTTATGAATAGAAATGGGTATTAAAGAAAATCAGTCAAATTAAATATAAAATAACTACAAATAAAAATATTACATTATTTTTCCTATTACAAATTTTTTTATTTATGATGAAATATTTTTAACTAATATTTATTTTTATCAGCAAAGTATAATTTATCAAAACTTTGATGAGTTAAAAATATTTAGTGATTTTTGAAACACTTTTATATAGCTTTTGAAACCATCATCTAATAGAAATGTGCTTTTGGAATCATCATCTAATAAAAATGTTGGAATAAGTAAACATATCTTAATGCGTTAGAAGAAAAGTGTTTGATTTATCAATAATAAAAAAATTCCCTAATCTTACAGCCACTGAAAGTCTCGTTAACAGACTTTTAAAAATGAAGAAGTTCAATGAGTAAATTTTTAAAAGTCGGCAGTTACGGCTTTAGAGAAAAAATAGGAACAAAAAGCCTGATTGGCAAAAATTGAACTTTCAAGACTGTAAAAGTCGGCAGTTACATCAACAGATCATTTACGTCTCTAACCGACTTCAAACTACAATACTAACTATATTTACTTTTGGTTTTTTTCTGGAAAACTAATGAACATAATTTTAAGAAGCAAACATGTATATATTGATTTCCCGAAAATTATCTCGTGGACCCAAATTTCTTTTAGAAAAACAATAGTGTATCTTGTGGTGTTTTCTGATCAGTGCAGATTTGGAAATGTTTTTGTTGGAAGCAAATCACGTTAAAAATATTAACTTTTGTTTTGTCTACTAATTAAAAGGAACACTCATAAATGTGATATTGACACTATAAAAGAATAGTGATGGAGTTGTTACATTAAGAAAAACGTGGTATGAGGTGCAACAATGTGGCATTTGAGACTTTAAATAATGTGCAAGTTTAAGAAACTTTGGTCCGGTTTCATTCCAAATTTTGGAAGTTCCGTGTCTTCAGTTTGGCTCAGGACAGTATTGATAAACTTTGGTACGGTTCATGTGTAAAACATTGGTCACAAAGTTCAGGTACTCAAAGTTTCAATAATTTTGGTACATTATAATCAACTAAATTAAACAAAATTTGATCATTTTTAAACGTAAACAAAATAATATTGAAAACCCGATAAAAATATTTAAATAAAATAAAATTGGTAATACTTTTACATTTTTATTATAATTGATTTTTCTTTTGAATTTATGATATGACAAAATGAATTAATTTGTTTTAATATTATTTTTATCCAATACATAAACACTTACACATGTCTAAATCTGATCAACTGATTAATTAATCAAACTTTTATTATTCCATTCAAGAGATTTTAATTGATGAAATCTTTATTTCAATTTTTTTTACCTAACAAAAATTGAAAATCAAACTATTTAAAATTAGAATATCGATTATAATTTTTTAATTTTAGTTAATTGCTTGAATATTATTTTGTTAGTTTTCTATTTATATTTTTTCTTTCTCAATTTTTTTTGCCTCATACCATTATAAATAATATATATTGATATTTTTCCTTTTCGAAATGCATTTTTTTCCTTTTCTTAATAGATGTAACAAAAGAATTTAAATTATTTGTTTTCTGTTTTTTTATTACTTTTAATGGATTTATTATTTTTTCATTTTAATTATTTTTATCTGATTTTCTAATTTTTATTTAGTCTTATACATATTAATTTATTTTTTTATTCTATGACACATGTTACGATCTTCATACTTTCATAATTTCTAAAACAAATGTCACAATTTTGTGAGTTATAAAAATCATATGTATCGCAAAACTTCAAAAACATGATTTTTAAATTGGAGAAATAGAATCAAAGGGATCTGATGAATTTATGATTGAGAAACTTTGACTCTCTTTTATAGGGATTCAAGTAACCTATTCAGTTATATGAAATTTAGTTTACATAACATTATTTATTTCATTATACAAATAGGATTTTATTTATTACATTATTTTGATTTTATTATTTGTTTGGATAATATTAATTTGATTACATAACATTATACAAATAGGATTTTATTTATTACATTATTTTGATTTTATTATTTGTTTGGATAATATTAATTTGATGAATGGAAAACCTTTCTCTATTAGGATATGACAAATATATTTTTATTTCTTTTAACTGTAATGGATTAATTTTTTTTTTAAATTCCTTTATCTAAAAGCATCCAACTTTATATAATAAAAAATTTTGATGAATGGGAAACCTTTTTCTGTTTGGATATGGCAAATATTATTTTTTCCTTTTTGATATAATAGATTAAATTAAATTTCGTTTTTTTTAATTAACATTTATCTGGAATTTTTTTTTTAAGTTCTCTTTTTTTCTAAGACACGTGTCACGATCTTAACGGACATAAACTTAAAAGTGACACATGTCGCGATCCTGAATTTTATAAAAATCCTACGTGTCGCAACCACGTCGTGCGCATCCAGCTTTATATAATAAGATAGGGGTTCAAGTAACCTATTACATGTAGTTATAGGAAATTTAGTTTACATAACATATTCCATGTACAAATAGGATTTTATTTATTACATTATTTTGATTTTATTATTTGTTTGGATAATATTAATTTGATGAATGAGAAACCTTTCTCTATTAGGATATGACAAATATATTTTCATTTCTTTTAACTGTAATGGATTATTTTTTTTTTAATTTCCTTTATCTAAATTTTTTATTATTATTTTTTATTAATTTTTCTTTTTTTTTTCTCTAAGACATGTGTCACGATCTTGACGGACGTAACATTAGAAGTGACACATGTCGCGATCTTATAAATTATAAAAATCCTATGTGTCGCAATCACGTTGTAAGCATCCAATTTTATATGATAAAAATTTGATGAATGTGAATCCTTTTTCTGTTTGGATCTGGCAAATATTATTTTTTTCTTTTTGATATAAAAAGATTAAATTAAATTTCATTTTTTTTTAATTAACATTTTTCTGGAATTCTGTTTTTTAAGTTTTCTTTTTTTTTCCTAAGACGCATGTCACGATCTTAACGGACATAAACTTAAAAGTGACTATGTCGCGATCCTGAATTTTATAAAAATCCTACGTGTCGCAACCACGTTGTGCGCATCCAGCTTTATATAATAAGACTAGATATGGATCCGTGCATATGCGGTTTATAATAAGATTTATACTACAAATATTCTTCCGACAATAACTATGGATATTTATATATTTTTCTATTATCAATTAACTTTTTTTTTTGTTTTTTTTTGTTTTTTTTTTATGAAATTTCAAATTTATTGATCACTATAGGAAATTTATTTACAGGTGCAAAAAACCAGAGAGAGAAAACAAGCAAAAGAATAATGAATAGGAAAAGACAATCAAGGCAGTTGAACTATCTCGAACCAGCGACGTAACAGACCCTCAAACTTATGAGGCCATCTGTAATTTAAGGAGGAGATCCTGTTTCTCATTGACTTGTCCACAAGCCGACTTAGCTGATGTAGAGAGGTCCAGCTTGTTTGATGCCTGCGCGCATTCCTTTCCCACCATAGATAGTATATAAGTGTTTGAAACAGGAGACATAGAAGAACAGAATCCATTGTGCCGCTCACTTGTGTAGAGATAAACTGTAAAGTATCTGTCCAATCCGGAGAGGCATTGGTCCCCAGCAATCTGACGGCCATTGTCGACCAAAGTGTATATGTGTACGGACAGGCAAAGAACAAATGGTCTCGTGATTCATCCCGTTCACCACAAAGGAGACAAGCTTGTTCTATGCCCCAGCTTCGTATCCGAACACCTGTTGCAAGTCTATCACGAACTTTTTTTGTTATTTAGATATTCATAAATATATATATTTTAAGACTTTGGAAAATTAATTTTCATATTTAAATTTGACTGATAATTATTTGTCAATCATAAATGATATTTCTTTTTTTTAATTAACGACAAAAAACGAATTCATTTGATTTAAAAATTATTTTTCTATTTCTATTAATCGTAGATAACTTTTTGTTTTTTTTTTCTTAGTTGACATAAGACGATAACTTGTATCCTCTATCACACGATAATTTTTTTAAATCATTTTTAAAAAAAAAATCTAGAAGGATTAATCTTTTTATATTTTTTTTTCTTTTTTTCCTACCGTTGATTGTTTTTTCTGTTTTTTTTTATTTTCGAACCAATATCACTTAATTTTTGCCTTTTTCCATAAAACGTAATTTTTTCTTTCTTTTTTTCTTTTTTCCATAAATTAAAGTATAACCTCTTCTTTTCCTTTTTATCTATTATTTTGTTTGTCTAATTAACAAATTTCATGATTTTAGTTTATTTAGGTTAAAAGTTGGGTAAGTTTGGTTTGGTTTGGTTTACACTTTACACAAATCAGAACTAATCTTGGAATTTAAGTGTGCAACTCAAGTTAAAACCCTAAATTCCTCCTTGAATTTGTTCTCTGAAAGTCTGAGTGCTCTTGTCTCGTTAATTCCAGCGTCAATGTTGTCCTCAGAGAAGAAGAATATAAATAAGACGACGAAGAAGAAACCGTCACCGTTGCTCCCACCGACCCCGCAACCAACCCAAAACCTGTATCTTCCCGATGATTTACTTCTGAGTTGCTTCGCACGAGTCTCGAGATTGTATTACCCGGAGCTTTCCCTCCTCTCCAAGAGCTTTCGTTCTCTCTTTGCTTCACAGGAGCTTTACAAGATCCGATCAGTGCTAGGTCACACAGAGAGTTGTCTCTATGTATACTTACGATTCTTTCAGAACCCTAACCTTCGCTGGTTTACTCTCTGCCGGAGACCTAATCGAACCCAAACGGAGAAGAAGAAGCTAGGTACCAATCTTTTGGTTCGAATCACATCTCCCCATTCTACTCCTCCCTGCTCAAGTTACACAGCCGTTGGTTCTGATATCTACGAAATTGGCGGACTGGCTTCCTCTACCGTCTCGGTCTTTGATTGCATGCCTCACTCGTGGCACCAAGCTCCAAACATGCAGGTGGCTAGGAAGAACCCGGACGTCAAGGCCATCGATGGAAAGATATATGTTAAAGGAAACACTGAGTTCTCTAATGAAACTGATGACTTGGTAGAGGTTTTCGATCCAAAATCCCAAATTTGGACTTATGAATCTAAAAAATGGAAATCACTGGATGGTTATTATAAATCGAAAGATTGGAGATCACGATGTTGTTGTTGCGAGATAGATAACGTGTTGTACAATTATGATAGGGGAAAGTTCAAATGGTTAGACAATAAGGTAAGAGACGGGGGAATCTTAAAGGGTTTTATAGGAGTAGGACTGCCTAATGTTTCTTGTTCGAAGACTTCTAGTCAAGTTCAATTGGCGGATTATGGTGGAAAGATGGCGGTTTTATGGGACATGCATGATTATTCTAGCAAACGTAAGGGAAGAAATGTTTGGTGTGCGGTGATCGCGCTTGAAAGGCGTAGCAGTAAAGAGATTTGGGGGACACTCGAGTGGTCTGAAGTTGTGCTTAAAGTCCCCAAAGATTTTATTTTTGTGGATGTTCTTTCTGCTACTGTTTGATTGAATTAATCACTCGTGTAAGAGTTAAGTTATTATTTTTGTTTTTCAGTCTGATTAATTCATTTAAACATTAGCAGAAAGAACATCCATTATGGAAGTCATCCATTGACGGAATGGCTAAACGTAGCAGGAGAATGTGCGAAATTACCACGTTGCAATAAATATTGCGTCTCCAATGGGTTTCGTCTTGGTGGTCATTGCCAGAAATTGTCCCCTCAAGCTTCTTCTCTTTCTTGTGTTTGTAAACTTCATCAAACTTACCTAGAAGTTTCTTTTTTTGTTTGTTGTTGGTGGGATAAATAATACAGTGTTGTTGAGAAGTTAAGCCTTGTTGGTCCAATATAAATTATGGATTTCATTCTTGAGCTTGTAAGTCTTCAGACTTGTATCGTTTAGCACTTGGCCTGTGCAATCAGAAACTTTGGTTCGGTTTAAGTTCATTTAGGTAAAGTTGGGTAAGTTTGGTTTGGTATAGACTTGACACAAATCATAGAACTCAGTTTTTAGAATTTTAGCGTGCAGCTCAAGTCAAAACCCTAAACTCCTCCTAGAGTTTATTCTCTGCAAGTCTGAGAGCTCTTGTCTCGTTAATCCCAGCGTCAGTGTCTTCCCCAGAGAAGAAGAATAGAAATAAGGCGAAACCGCTGCGTAAGCCATCGCCGATGCTCCCATTCAACCCCAAATCCGACACTTCCCGATGATATGCTACTGAGCTGCTTCGCACGAGTCTCGAGATTGTATTACCCGACTCTCTCGCTCGTTTCCAAGAGATTTCGTACTCTGCTTGCTTCACCGGAGCTTTACCATACTCGCTCCCATATAGACCGCACGGAGAGCTGTCTCTATGTGTGCTTAACGCTCCCTCCTGACCCTAACCCTCGCTGGTTTACACTCTGCCTGAGACCTAATAAAACCCTAAAGAGAAAGAAGAAGAAGCATCAGAGGAAGAAGAAGAAGAAGAAGCTAAGTAGCACACTTTTGGTTCCCATCACATCTCCCCATTCAGCTCCTTTTCGGCCTAGTTTCGTCGCTGTTGGTTCTGAGATATACGAAATTGGAGGACGCATCAATGGCGTGCCTTGCTCTACCGTCTCCGTCTTTGATTGCATATCTCACTCGTGGCACCAAGCTCCAAGCCTGAAGGCCTCCAGGAAACACCCTTTCACCAAGGCCATCGATGGAAAGATATATGTTAAAGGACGCCGTAGTCACGAAGATCAGATAACTTGGCAGATGTTTTCGATCCAAAAACCCAAACTTGGACATTTAAATCTCAAGAATGGAACCCACAGGATGATTTTGATGGACTAGTATCGCGAATTTCTTCTTGTTGCTTGATAGATAACGTCTTGTATCGGTATTTCCGTCGTATGGGAGAGTTCAAATGGTATGACAGTAAGGCAAGGGAATGGAGAAACTTGAAGGGTTTGGACGGAATGCCTTTTTGGTTCGAGTTTTTCTTGGTTCGAATCGGTTTCAATTGGCCGATTATGGTGGAAACATGGCGGTTATATGGGAATGGCATGATGGTTCTAGCAACTGTAAGGAAACAACAATTTGGTGTGCGGAGATTGCGCTTGAAAGTTGTGGTAGTGAAGGGATTTCGGGGACAGTCGAGTGGTCTGATGCTGTGCTTAAAGTCCCTGAGTGTTTTAAATTGGTTAATGTTATTTCTGCTACTGTTTGATGAATGAGAACGGAGATGTGTATTGAATCAATCAGTCGTGTGGGTTAAGTAATCATTATTGTTTTCAATTTGATGGGTTAAGTTGTTTTGTCTCTCTTGTAAACCTCTCGACTTGCATTTTTTATTTTGTTGAAGTTTTGTGATGGTGAGCTTATTTTGTGCCAAGGACTTGTAAAACTGAATTTTAAAACACTGTTTTAGTTGAACTAAATGATAACCGGTTTGGAGTTGTACAAATGGTGAAACTAGAGAGAGAGAAAAAAAAAGAGATAATCTAGAGGTTTGTATACGTTTTCCCTTCTTTGTATGTGATCAGGTTTTTGTTTGATAAAGAGTTTTCTGAAACAAAGGCATGAAGCAGAGACTTAATTACATGCTGAAAGAGCTATCAAATCCTAAATGGCAAGAAAATGATTAGCAGAAAATCCCTTAGTTGGTAATTTGCATCATGATGAAGAAAAATGATTAAACAACGAGTCCGGTACGTCGTATATAATAAAAAAAACTTTCGTCTGGTTTGGTTTCAGTGTATTAATTCAGTTTAATTTGGGAAAATCTCGCCGAAAGTATAACTGAATTAGAATTTCAGTGTGGTTCACTTCAGTAGTGAGTGATAATTTGAGTATGTCATCATGTGTATAATATTTGGTCCAAATTGGAACCGAAGACAATGCCGGTTCGGTTAATCAATTTGAGTTCACTTGGGTAACGTTGGTTAACTTTAGTTTGGTACACAAATCAGCTCGATTTGTGGAATTTGAGTCAAACTCAAGTCAAAAACCCTAAATGCCTCTCTGATTTTTTTCTCTGCAAATCGGAGGACTCTCGTCTCGTTAATTCCGGCGTCCATGACGTCCCCTGAGAAGAAGAGGAAGAAGAAGACGACGACGAATCCGTCACTTAAGCCATCGCTTTTGCTCCCACCGACCCCGCAATCAACCCCAAATCCGGATCTTCCCGATGATTTGCTTCTGAGCTGCTTCGCTCGCGTCTCGAGACTGTACTATCCGACTCTCTCCCTCGTCTCCAAGAGCTTCCGTTATCTTCTTGCTTCACCGGAGCTTTACCAGACTCGCTCTCAGTTAGACCGCACGGAGAGCTGTCTCTACGTGTGCTTATCGCTCCCTCCTGACCCTAACCCTCGCTGGTTTACTCTCTGCCGGAGACCTAATCAAACGCTCCTAACCAAGAAGAAGAAGAAGAAGAAGAAGAAGCAAAGTAGCAACCTTTTGGTTCCAATCACATGTCCGCATTCTACTCCCGTTAGGGCTAGTTTCGTCGCCATCGGTTCTGATATCTACGAAATCGGCGGACTCGTCAATGGCGTGCCTTCCTCTACGGTCTCGGTCTTTGACTGCAGGTCTCACTCGTGGCACCAAGCTCCAAACATGCTTGTGGCTACGGAGAAACCACAAGCCATGGCCATCGATGGAAAGATATATGTTAGAGGTGCTGAACACTTGGTACAGGTTTTCGATCCAAAAACCAAAACTTGGGCTTACGAACCGAAAGAATGGAACTAACTTGATCATTATTATTTTGGATATGTATTGGCACAGCATACACCTTCTATCTGCGTGATAGATAGCGTATTGTATCTCCATCACCAGGGAGAGTTCAAATGGTTTGACAACAAGGAAAGGGACGGGAGAATTTTGCAGGGTTTACTGTACGGACTGGCGGGACTGCCTAAGTTTTTTTCTTGTTCGACTACTTGTAGTCAGATTCAGTTGGCGGATTATGGTGGAAAGATGGCGGTTTTATGGGACAGGCATGATCGTTCTAGCGACTGTAAAGGAAGAAAAGTTTGGTGTGCGGTGATCACGCTTGAAAGGCGTTCAAGTAAAGAGATTTGGGGAAGGGTCGAGTGGTCTGATGACTCTGAAGCTGTGCTTGAAGTCCCTGGGTCTGTTGCATTCGTGGGTGTTGTTGCTGCTACTCTTTGATGTGTTGAATCAGTCACTCGTGTGGGTCAAAGTATCATTATTTTTTGGACCACTTCACTTGTCTCGTGCTATTGCTTATTTGTAAACCTCTACTCGCATTTTTAAACGTTGTTGAGTTTTTTTAATGGTTAGCTTATATTGTGCCACTGCAAAAATGCATTTGAGATACTATTCTAGTTGAATCTCTTGGTTTACTAAATTCTTAGGACAAAGAAAGAAGACACATACAAATATTATTAATATATACTTTTGTCAAGACTCGACGATTTTGGTCCTAATCTCCACACCCAATATCAAGGACCAATCGAAGAGTCTCCCTGCTCTAGTGTGTACTTCTTGACCGTTTAACTCACACTTGACTCAAGAACATGGTAAAGGCCTTCTTTATTCACCTGACCTTTACTCTGAATCTGAGTGAATGTTTTTGTTGATCATTGGGTTTGATGCCTTGAGGAATCTCTCATTTCGTGAAGTCAGAGAAGCAACCTACTGTGAGTAGAAGTAGTTCTGAATCTGAGTATCATAGCATGGCTTATCTCACTTGTGAACTTCTCTGGCTGCACTAATTATTTTTCCGACATCACACTAATGTTCTTCATCAAACCCACGATTAAATTATATCATATTGTGAATATGTTCTCAGAAGGGCATATTATTCTCCACGGATTACATAGAGAAAAGAAAATACCGAATTGATCAAATGAACGCTGCATTTTATAATGGTTTACAAAATAGATCAGCATTACTCCATGCATTAATTTTCATTCTCGAAAAACGAGAACCCTAAACTAAACTTATGTAAAATCACTAATGAACATTCGGTCCATTGAACTATAAACGGCATATGCTTAATACATGGAGCAATGCTGATCTATTTTGTATACAATTGTTTATTTATTTTGCCTCAATCGTTCAATTAAACTAACAAGCTTCAAAAGTTCAAATAAGGAAAAGGAGGCGCCAAGGATTGTGTCACAAAGACAAAGCTAAAAATAGCAAATCAAAACTGGAACCACCCGATGTGCTAAAAATAGCAAATCAAGTCTTTATATAATAAGATTTTAGTTCGTTCGGGTAAAGTTGGGTAATTTTGGTTTGGTTTGGTTTGGTTTAGACTTGACACAAAGCAGAACTATTATTTTTGGAATTTAAGCGTGCAACTCAAGTCAAAACCCTAATTTCCTCCTTGAATTTGTTCTCTGAAAGTCGGAGAGCTATTGTCTCGTTCCAGCGTCAATGTTGTCCTCAGAGAAGAAGAATAGAAATAAGACGACGAAGAAGAAACCGTCACCGTTGCTACCAGCGACCCCGCAACCAACCCCAAATCCGTATATTCCCGATGATTTGCTACTGAGTTGCGTCCCACGCGTCTCGAGATTGTATTACCCGACTCTCTCCCTCGTCTCCAAGAACTTTTGATCTTTCCTTGCTTCACCGGAGCTTTACAAGATCCGATCAGTCTTAGGTCACAGAGAGATTTGTCTCTATGTGTACTTACGATTCTATCCTGACACTAACCTTCGCTGGTTTACTCTCTGCCGGAGACCTAATCGAACCCTAACAGAGAAGAAGAAGAAGCCACGTAGCAATCTTTTGGTTGGAATCACATGTCCCCATTCTAGTCCTCCCTGCGCAAGTTACACAGCTGTTGGTTCTGATATCTACGAAATTGGCGGACTCATCAATGGCCTGGCTTCCTCTACCGTCTCGGTCTTTGATTGCAGGTCTCAATCTTGGCACCAAGCTCCAAGCATGCAGGTGAGAAGTTCGAACCCGGAAGTCAAGGCCATTGATGGAAAGATATATGTTAGAAACATTGACTACACCAGATTATCTAACTTAGTAGAGGTTTTCGATCCAAAATCCGAAACTTGGACTTACGAAACTAAAGAATGGAAATCACTGGATGGTTATTATAAATCTAAAGAATTCATATCACGATCTTGTTGGTGCGAGATAGATAACGTGTTGTACTATTATGATATTGATAGGGGAGAGTTCAAGTGGCAAGACACTAAGGCAAGAAACTGGAGAATCTTGAAGGGTTTGTTTGGACTGCCTAATTATTTGTTTTGTTCGACTGATCATTCTAGTCAGGTTCAATTGGCGGATTATGGTGGAAAGATGGCGATTTTTTGGGACAGGCATGATTATTCTAGCAACTGTAACGGAAGAAACCTTTGGTGTGCGGTGATCACGCTTGAAAGGCGTAGTAGTGAAGAGATTTGGGGGACAGTCGAGTGGTCTGAAGTTGTGCCTAAAGTCCCCAAAGATTTTACATTTGTGGATGTCCTTTCTGCTACTGTTTGAATTAATTAATCACTCATGTGGGTTAAGTTATCATTTTTGTTTTTCATCAGTCTGATGGATGACTTCTCAATAGTGTTTTTTCTTCTCTTTCTTACTAAATCATCTAGTCCAATTTGTCAGTTCAATAGACGATATGTAACTTGTTATAGTTCTTAGTCCTAGGAATCTAGTAAAACCAAGATATTCAAGTAAAACAGTATCTCAAATGCATTTTAGCAATCACTACTGGCACAATATAAGCTAACCTATAATAATCTCAACAAAGTTCAAAACGCAAGTGGAGGTTTACAAATAACACGAGTGATAAATTCATCCAAACAGTAAGGACATTCATTAGTGAAGTCATCCATGGACGGAATGGCTATACGTAGCAGGAGAATGTGCGAAATTACCACGTTGCAACAAATATTGCGTCTCCAACGGGTTTCGTCTTGGTGGGCACTGCCAGAAATTGTCCCCTCAAGCTTCTTCCCTTTCTTGTGTTTGAAAATATACGTAAATTTCATCAAACTTACCTATAAGTTTCCTTTTTTGGTTGTTGTTGGTGGGAAAAATAATATTGTGTTGTTGAGAAATGAGAAGTTAAGCCTTGTTGGTCCAATATATATATCGTTGAGCTTGCAAGTCTTCAGACTTGTATCGTTTAGCAGTTGGCTTGTACAATCAGAAACTTTGGTTCGGTTTAAGTTCATTTAGGTTAAGTTCGGTAAGTTTGGTTTGGTATAGACTTGACACAAATCAGAGAACTAAATTTTTGGAAATTTAGCGTGCAGCTCAAGTCAAAACCCTAAATTCCTCCTTGAGTTCATTCTCTGCAAGTCTGAGAGCTGTCTCGTTAATTCCGGCGTTAGTGTCTTCCCCAGAGAAGAAGAATAGAAATAAGACGACGAAGACGAAACCGTTGCCTAAGTCATCGCCGATGCTCCCACCGACCCCGCAACCAACCTCAAATCCAGATCTTCCCGATGATTTGCTACTGAGCTGCTTCGTACGCGTCTCGAGACTGTACTATCCGATTCTCTCCCTCGTCTCCAAGAGCTTTCGTTCTCTTCTTTCTTCACCGGAGCTTTACCAGACTCGCTCTCAGTTAGACCGCACGGAGAGCTGTCTCTATGTTTGCTTATCGCTCCCTCCTGGCCCTAACCCTCACTGGTTTACACTCTGCCGGAGACCTAATCAAACCCTAAAGAGAAAGAAGAAGAATAAGCTAAGTAGCATGCTTTTGGTTCCGGTCACATCTCCCAGTTCAGCTCCTGTTCGGTCGAGTTTCGTCGCTGTTGGTTCTGATATCTACGAAATCGGCGGACTCATCAATGGCGTGCCTTCCTATACCGTCTCGATCTTTGATTGTAAATCTCACTCGTGGCACAAGGCTCCAAACATGCAGGAGGCTAGGGATCACCCTTTCGCCAAGATCATGGATGGAAAGATATATGTTAAAGGACGCCCTAATTACTTCAGTTCAGCTAAGCCAGTAGAGTTTTTCGATCCAAAAGCCCAAACTTGGACACATGAAACTAAAGAATCGAAATCACCGGATGATTTTCATGGAATGGCATCGCAGATTTCTTCTTATTGCTTGATAGATAACGTCTTGTATCGGTATAACTATCTTAAGGGAGAGTTCCAATGGCATGACAGTAAGGCAAGGGACTGGAGACACTTGAAGCTTTTGGAAGGAATGCCTAAGTTTTTTATTGGTTCGAGTCAGGTTCAATTGGCCGATTTTGGTGGAAACATGGCTGTTTTATGGGAAAGGCATGATGGTTCTAGCGACTGTAATAAGGAAATAACAATTTGGTGTGCGGAGATTTCGCTTGAAAGGTGTGCTAGTAAAAAGATTTCTGGGACTGTCGAGTGGTCTGATGCTGTGCTTAAAGTCCCCACGTGTTTTGGATTTGTGGATATTGTTTCTGCTACTGTTTGATGAAAGACAACGGATATATATATGTATTGAATCAATCAGCCGTGTGGGTTAAGTAATCATTATGGTTTTTTCTCTTGTAAACCTCTACTTATTACATTTTGAATTATGTTAAAGGTTTTGTGATGATGAGCTTATTTTGTGCCAAGGACTTCTAAAACTGAATTTTGAAATATTGTTTTAGTTGAATATCTTTCTTAGGACAAAGAACTATATATAACAAGATACATACTCGAAGAGTGTTTTTGGTCTTCTCTTGAACTAACAAATTGGACTTTTTGATGATTCAAATAAGAAAAATAAAAAGAGAGGTTTTGTTCTTTCTTTGCGAAGAAGTTTCTTAGTGATCCGGTGAATAGTTTGCAGAGAAACTTGTGCTCATAATGATTTTAATGAAATAAGCTGCATAAATACATGTTCCTTACTGCTTCTCTTTATCTTACTGTAAAATGAATATCGACTTCTGTTCTCTATGTCAGCGAGAGAGAAGAGAAATGGATCATACAAATATTATTGATATTAACATTTGTCAAATCTCGTCGTTTTTGGTCCTAATCTCTACACCATATTCAGGACCAAATCGAAGAGTCTAATTGTCTCCCTGCTCTAGTGTCTCTTTCTTGACCGTTGAAATCACACTTGGCTCAAGAACATGGCAAAGGCCTTCTTCATTCTCTCTTATCAGATATGTTTGATGGCAAAACTGTTATTAACGTGAAGATGCCAAAGGAACCGGTTTGACTCAATTAGAACAATTAGATTCTGGTTAATATTGGAAGTTGCCATCTGTACAGAAAAGAGCCCCCTCCCCAAAAAAAACATACACAAGATAAAGCTGCATATGGTTTCTTTCTAAAGCCATTCACCAAAAAGATTACTACTTTTAAGTACTCATACCATGTGACATATATGCAATTAAAATAGAGCATCTAATAAGTACGCTGGTGGCTGTGGGTTTTACCCCAAGATGGTATAAAAAGAACGTTGCATGGTATAAAACATTACAGAAAAATATTTCATTACATAAAATGATATAAACTAAAAGTTGCATTGTATCACAAGTTAAAAACACAAAAGAGCTTCTTCTTCTTCTTCTATCAGTAATCAGTCGGTCGTCATAGGATAGGAGAAGGTAATAATCTTACCGTTACTGCAGAATCCGCCAGGTTTGTAGTTATAATTTCAGTTTGGTTCCAGTTCAGTAGTGATAAACTATGGTACGGTTCATGTGTAAAAAGTTTGTGCCAAATTGGAACTGAAGACAATGCCGGTTCGGTTTTATGTAGTCAAATTTTCAACAATCAATTTTAGCTCATATGGGTAAAGTTGGGTAATTTTGGTTTGGTACACAAATCAGAACTCGATTTGTGGAATCTGAGCGTGCAACAACTCAAGTCAAACTCTTAGTCAAAATCCCTAAATTCCTCTTTGATTTTTTTCTCTGCAAATCGGAGGATTTTCGTCTCGTTAATTCCGGCGTCAATGTCGTCCCCTGAGAAGAAGAGGAAGAAGAAGACAACGAATCCGTCACTTAAGCCAACTCCTTTGCTCCCTCCGACGCCGCAACCGACCCCAAATCCGGATCTTCCGGATGATTTGCTTCTGAGCTGCTTCGCACGAGTCTCGAGACTGCACTACCCGACTCTCTCCCTCGTCTCCAAGAGCTTCCGTTCTCTGCTTGCTTCACCGGAGCTTTACCAGACTCGCTCCCATTTACACCGCACGGAGAGCTGTCTCTACGTGTGCTTATCTCTCCCTCCTGACCCTAACCCTAAATGGTTTACTCTCTGCCGAAGACCTAATCAAAACCTAACCAAGAAGAAGAAGAAGAAGCAAAGTAGCAACCTTTTGGTTCCAATCACATCTCCTCATTCTACTCCCGTTAAGCCTAGCTTCGTCGCCATCGGTTCTGATATTTACGAAATCGGCGGACGCGTCAATGGCCTGGCTTCCTCTACCGTCTCGGTCTTTGATTGCAGGTCTCACTCTTGGCACCAAGCTCCAGACATGCCGGTAGCTATGGAGAAACCATACGCCAAGGCCATCAACGGAAAGATATATGTTACTGGAGGCAAAGGCAAAGGAAGAGACTGGGCACAGGTTTTCGATCCAAAAACCCAAACTTGGACTTGTGAATCTAAAGCATGTGAATTTTTACAGGATGATTATTATGGACTAGTAGTGATTGGTTATTATGAAAGGGCTTCTAGTTGCGTGATAGATGAGGTGGTGTATGTCTATCACCAGGGAGAGTTCCAATGGTTTGACAAGAAGGCAAGAGACTGGAGAATCTTGAAAGGTTTAAGGTTTAGACTGCCTAAGTTTTTTTTTGGCTCGATTACTTCTAGTCATATTCAGTTGGCAGATTATGGTGGAAAGATGGCGGTTTTATGGGACAGGCATGATCGTTCTAGCAACTGTAAAGGAAGAAAAGTTTGGTGTGCGGTGGTCACGCTTGAAAGGCGTAGTAGTGAAGAGATTTGGGGCACGGTCGAGTGGTCTGATGACTCTGAAGCTGTGCTTAAAGTCCCTGGGTCTGTTGCATTTGTGGATGTTGTTGCTGCTACTCTTTGATGTGTTGAATCAATCACTCGTGTGGGTCAAAGTATCATTATGTTTTTTTTTTCAGTCTGATGGACCACTTCACTTGTCTCATGTTATAACTTATTTGTAAACCGATTAGCTTATTGCCACTGCTAAAATGCATTTGAGATACTATTTTAGTTGAATATTTTAGAAGATTTTTATGACAAAGAAGTAAGAACTATAAAAAGTTACATTCTGTTTTGGTCAGAGATAAAGAAGATACGTACAAATATTATTAATATTTACCTTTGTCAAATCTCATCGATTTTGGTCCTAATCTCTACACAATATCAGGACCAATCCAAGAGTATCCCTGATAAAGAAGATACGTACAAATATCACTACTTGACCGTTTAACTCACTCTTGACTCAAGAACATGGAAAAGGCCTTCTTTATTCATCTCACCTGACTCTGAATCTGCTTGAATGTTTTTGTTGATTATTGGGTTTCATGCCTTAAGAAATTTCTCATTTCGTGAAGTCAGAGAAGCTGAAGCAACCTATTGTGAGTAGAAGTAGTTCTGAATCTATTTCAGTGGTCTCCAACAGGTTTCGTCTTGGTGAGCATTGCCAGAAATTGTCCCCTAAAGCTTCTTCTCTTTCTTGTGTTTGTAAATATACGTAAACTTCATCAAACTTACCTATAAGTTTCTTTTTTTGTTTGTTGTTGAGAAGTTAAGCCTTGTTGGTCCAATATATATATGTTTATATTATGGATTTGATTCTTGAACTTGTAAGTCTTCAGACTGACTTGTATCGTTTAGCAGTGCAATCAGAAACTTTGGTTCGGTTTGAGTTCATTTAGGTCAAGTTCGGTAAGTTTGGTTTGGAATAGACTTGAGTACTTGACACAAATCAGAGAACTCAATTTTTGGAATTTTAGCGTGCAACTCAAGTGAAAACCCTAAATTCCTCCTAGAGTTTATTCTCTGCAAGTCTGAGAGCTCTTGTCTCGTTAATTCCAGCGTCAGTGTCTTCCCTAGAGAAGAAGAATAGAAATAAGACGAAACCGCTGCGTAAGCCGTCGCCGATGCTCCCACCGACCCCCCCCAATCAACCCCAAATCCGACACTTCCCGATGATTTGCTACTGAGCTGCTTCGCACGAGTCTCGAGATTGTATTACCCGACTCTCTCCCTCGTTTCCAAGAGCTTTCGTACTCTGCTTGCTTCACCGGAGCTTTACCAGACTCGCTCCCATATAGACCGCACGGAGAGCTGTCTCTATGTGTGCTTAACGCTCCCTCCTGACCCTAACCCTCGCTGGTTTACACTCTGCCTGAGACCTAATCAAACCCTAAAGAGAAAGAAGAAGAAGAAGCAGAAGAAGAAAACGAAGAAGCTAAGTAGCAAAGTTTTGGTTTCGTCGCTGTTGGTTCTGAGATATACGAAATAGGCGGACGCATCAATGGCGTGCCTTCCTCTACCGTCTCGATCTTTGATTGCAGATCTCACTCGTGGCACCAAGCACCAAGCCTGCAGGCCGCCAGGAAACACCCTTTCGCCAGGGCCATCGATGGAAAGATACATGTTAAAGGAGGCCGTAGTCACGACAGATCAGCTAACTTGGCAGATGTTTTCGATCCAAAAACTCAAACTTGGACATTTGAATCTCAAGAATGGAACCCAGTTGATGAGTTTTATGGAATGGTATCGCGAATTCCTTCTTGTTGCTTGATAGATAACGTCTTGTATCGGTATTACCGTCGTAAGGCAAGGGAGTGGAAAATCTTGAAGGGTTTGGAAGAAATGTCTATGTATTTTATTGGTTATCGTCGGTTTCAATTGGCTGAGTATGGTGGAAACATGGCGGTTTTATGGGAAAGTTATGATGGTTCTAGCAACGGTAAGGAAACAACAATTTGGTGTGCGGAGATTGCGCTTGAAAGGTGTGGTAGTGAAGGGATTTGGTCGAGTGGTCTGATGCTGTGCTTAAAGTCCCTAAGTGTTTTAAATTGGTTAATGTTATTTCTGCTACTGTTTGATGAAAGACAACGGAGACATGCATGTATTGAATCAATCAGTCGTGTGGGTTAAGTAATCATTATTGTTTTCAATCTGATGGGTTAAGTTTGTTTTTTTCTCTTGTAAACCTCTACTTATTACATTTTGAATTATGGTGAGGTTTTGTGATGGTGAGCTTATTTTGTGCCAATGACTTCTAAAACTGAATTTTGAAACACTGTTTTAGTTGAATATCTTTCTTAGGACAAAGAACTATAACAAGATCACATACTCGAAGAGTGTTTGGTCTTCTCTTGAACTAACGAATTGGACTTTTTGATGATTCAAATAGGAAAAATAAAAAGAGAAGATTTGTTCTTCTTTGTGAAGAAGTTTCTTAGTGATCCGGTGAATAGTTTGCAGATAAACTTGTGCTCGTAAATACATGTTCCTTAGAGCATGTTTATTGGTGTTACTCACCACCATTTCTTACACTGTTTGGTCAATTTTTTAAATCAAAAAGAAAATAAAAACAAGAAAACGTCGCTTATATTAGTGACAATGAGCAACAATAAGAGACGTATGTTAGTGCCACGTGCCAGGGGTCTATTGGGCCAAGTTTTTTTTTTCTTCATTCGATTTCTTTTCTTCTCTCTCTTTCTTCTTCGTCTTTGATTGCCATTCGAAAGCGATTCATGGCGACGCCGTACTGGAATTAGTCTGGCCCTTTCTCCGAAGAGAGCTTGAGAAGATCGATCCCAAGCTCCCGTCGTTGATCGCCGTCGGTGAAGCCGCCGAGTCGTTGATGAGGACATAGAGCTCGTGATGCCTCCCGTTTTCAGCTTCTGCACAAAGATATGGTTATTAGCCATTAGTCGTCTTTATTCTAGGTAGCCAAATGGGCTCCTTTTTATGTCATGATCATCGTGTTGCTGTGTTTTGTATTTGTATCTTTTTTTAGTTGAGTAACTTTCGTGAAATTGCGCTTCAGGAATTTATACCTCTTTGCACTTGATCATCAAATATGAGAAAGAACATAGGCTCAAAGTTTCAGTAGATATAAAGAATTTAACTCAACTTAACAGTTTCTTGATAGCTACACACATATATATATACAAGTGATGATAAACATGTATTTAGTCAGCTAATTGGTTTCATCATTGGGATGTATGTAAAATTGACACTAAAAGGAACTGATTCTTGGTAAGAAACTTGATCAAGTTTGGAATGTTAATAGTACATTTCGAAACGTAACCTCTCCTCTACTAACTGTTTCAAAGTCCGTACTTTTAGGCATTTGGAAAGTTTGGAATCGAAATGTCCTCTGTATCTAGTAGCTTGTGAGGAACCAAACAATATACAATCCTATGTTTTTCTTCTTTGTAAAACATATATATTTGAGCTGATAGGTTTGCTTGCATCTAGACATTGAGATCTTTGTGACTTGTGTTAAAACTTTGATGGGTTTTTTGTTCAGAACATCTGATTCAACATTTTACGCAGCTCCACGGTTTGTGACACACATTGATGATCCAGCAATAGCTGAATTGACAAAGTACTACTCCAAGGTGTTGCCTCAGAGCGAAACTCCCGGAGTGAGCATAGTCGATATGTGTAGCAGTTGGGTACGCACCGAAATGAAAATCCTTTTAACCGTTTTTCTGTGTTGTCAAAAGTTTTTATTGAGAGTCCCCTGAAGTTAGGCTATGATGATGTTACATAGGCCAGTCATTATCCAGTACATAGGATCTAAATCTCTCTTTTATGCTGTATTATATCTTTACCATTTTGTGATGAGAAGTATCATATAGGATCTAAATGTCTCTCTCTCATATCATATCAGGTTCTGACCGAGTACATAGTCCAAGACTTGAATGTCAATCCAAAGCTTCCTTTTGAAGACAATTCTTTCCAGGTTATTACCAATGTGGTAAGACCAAACTTTCTCAATGTTCTCTAAAGCGTACTTCTTAATGTGAAACTCAAGTAAGCGTTTCTTGGTATCTCTCAATAGGTAAGAGTGGATTATCTTACAAAGCCACTTGTAGTTTTTAAGGAAATGAACAGAATCCTCAAGCCAGGAGCACTCGTAGTCATGAGGTTCTCTTTATAACACAAACCTGTCAAGTCTTGTGAAACCATAGTATCAAATCACAATTCTTCTCATGTCTTATCTATTCTCTGCAGCTTTTCGAACCATTGCTTCTTTACTAAAGCAATCTCAATATGGACATCAACTGGGGACGCAGATCATGCTCTCATTGTCGGATCATACTTTCACTATGCCGGAGGATTTGAGACTCCTCAAATGTGTATTTATATCCATGTATTCATCAACACACCTTGTATTCACAAAAACAAAAAGGAGCTAAAAGACATTTTGAGTCTCACCAATAATGATGCCAAAACAAATGTCTCTTACCAATGTCTCTAAAATTAAGTTTATTGGTATTATAATAGCTAAGAGACATTTTGAGTCTCACCAATAAACATGCTCTTACTGCTTCTCATTATCTTACTGTAAAATGAATATCGACTTCTTTTCTCTATTTTGGTCAAAGAGAGAGAGAAGCGAAATGGATCATACTAATATTATTAATATTAACATTGTCAAATCTCGTCATTTTTTTGTCTCTAAAGCTGCATGGTTTTTACTAAAGCCATTCACCAAAAAGATTACTACGTTGCTTATTAAGTACGCATACCATGTGACATATATTTGCATTTAATACAGACCATAAGTATGGTGGTGGCTGTGGGTCTTCCCCAAGAAATCTTACATTACAGAAAAATATTTCATTGGTCATAAAAAGGGAATATAAACTTAAAGTTGCATTGTATCACAAGTTAAATTACACCAAAGAGCTTCTTCATCTTATTATATCAGTAATCTGTAGGTCATAGGAGAAGGTAATATTCGCCAGGTTTTTCCCTTTGATTCCCCAATGGTAAGCGGTTTGGAGTTGTACAGAATACAGATGGTGAAACTAGAGAGAGAAAAAGAGATAATTTAGAGGTTTGTATACTTTTCTGGAAAAGGGTGATGAAGCAGAGACTTACAAGCTGAAAGAACTATCATATCCTAAATGGCAAGAAAATGATTAGCAGAATTGATTAAACAACGAGTCGTAATAGGTGGTTGTAGCCTAGTGGTAATGGGCTCAGAGCTGAGTACTGCCACCAGATTCGACTCATGACCACAATGGATTTAACATTACTTTCGTTTGGTTTCAAGAACTATGTCAAATTTGATGGGACGCGGTAAAAGGCCCTGGATCACAAAAAAAAAAAAATAAGACGAGTCACGTACGTCGTACGATAATAATAAAACTTGGTTCGGTTTGGTTTCAGTGTATTCAGTTTAATTTGGGAAAATCTCGCCGAAAGAAACCGAATTATAATTTTTAGTTTGGTTCCAGTTCAGTAGTGATAAACTTTGGTACGGTTCATGTGTAGTGCCAAATTGGAACAGAAGACAATGCCGGTTCGGTTTTCTATAGTCAAATTTTCAACAATCAATTTTAGCTCATTTGAGTAAAGTTGGTTAAGCTTGGTTTGGTTTGATACACAAATCAGAACTCGATTTGTGGAATTTGAGTCAAACTCAACCCTAAGTTCCTCTGAGATTTTTTGCTCTCCAAATCGGAGGACTTCTCGTTAATTCCGGCGTCCATGTCGTCCCCTGAGAAGAAGAGAAAGAAGAATACGGCGAGGACGAAGAATCCGTCACTTAAACGATCGCCGTTGCTCCCACCGACCCCGCAATCAACCCCAAATCCGACACTTCCCGATGATGTGCTACTGAGCTGCTTCGCACGCGTCTCGAGATTGCACTATCCGAGTCTCTCCCTCGTCTCCAAAAGCTTCCGTTCTCTCCTTTCTTCACTGGAGCTTTACCAGACTCGCTCCCATTTACACCGCACGGAGAGATGTCTCTATGTCTGCTTATCGCTCCCTCCTGACCCTAACCCTCGCTGGTTTACTCTCTGCCGGAGACCTAATCGAAACCTAACCAAGAAGAGGAAGAAGAAGCAAAGTAGCAACCTTTTGGTTCCAATCACATCTCCTCACTCTACTCCCGTTAGGCCTAGCTTCGTCGTCATCGGTTCTGAAATCTACGAAATCGGCGGACTCGTCAATGGCGCGGCTTCCTCTACCGTCTCGGTCTTTGATTGCAGGTCTCACTCTTGGCGCAAAGCTCCAAACATGCTTGTGGCCAGGGAGCAACCATACGCCAAGGTCATCGATGGAAAGATATACGTTAGAGGTCTTGAGGACTTGGTAGAGGTTTTCGATCCAAAAACCCAAACTTGGAATTACGAATCTACAGAATGGAAATCACTGGATGATTATTATGGAATTGTATCGGATAGGTTTTTTGGAATGGCATCGCGGACGTCTTCTAGTTGCGTGATAGATAGCGTGTTGTATTCCTATTATAAGGGAGAGTTCAAATGGTATGACAAAAAGGTAACTGACTGGAGAACCTTGAAGGGTTTATGGTACAGTCTGCCTGCGTTTTTCTCTTGTTCGACTACATCTAGTCAGATTCAGTTGGCAGATTATGGTGGAAAGATGGCGGTTTTATGGGACAGACATGATCGTTCTAGCAACTGTAAAGGAAGAAAAGTTTTGTGTGCTGTGGTCACGCTTGAAAGGCGTACTAGTGAAGAGATTCGGGGGAGAGTCGAGTGGTCTGATGACTCTGAAGCTGTGCTTAAAGTCCCTGGGTCTGTTGCATTCGTGGGTGTTGTTGCTGCTACTCTTTGATGTGTTGCATCTACTTGCATTTCTAACTTTGTTGAGATTTTTAATGGGTAGCTCGTATTGTGCAACTGCAAAAATGCATTAACTTTGTTGAATCTCTTGGTTTAGTAGATGCTTAAGGAAAAAGAACTATCAAAAGATACATTCTGTTTTGGTCAGAGATAAAGAAGATACATACAAATATTAATAATATTTACTTTTGTCAAGTCTCGTCGATTTTGGTCCTAATCTCTACACAATATCAGGACCAATCGAAGAGTGTCCCTGCTCTAGTGTGTACTTGCTGACTGTTGAACTCACACTTGGCTCAAGAACATGGAAAATGCCTTCTTTATTCACCTGACCTTGACTCTGAATCTGCTTGAATGTTTTTGTTGATTATTGGTTTCATGCCTTGAGAAATCTCGCATTTCGTGAAGTCAGAAGCAACCTGTACTGTGAGTAGAAGTAGTTCTGAATCTGAGTGAACTTCTCTGGCTGCACTAATTAGTTTATCGACATCACTAATTTTCTTAAACAAACTCACGATTAAATTATATCATATAGTGAATAACTGAATATGTTCTCAGAAGGACATATTCTCCACGGATTACATAGAGAAAAGAAAATATTTGCAATTTAAGAGTATGTTCTCAGTAAGTTTGGTTTAGTTTGGTTTGGTTTAGACCTGACACAAATCAGAACTATTTTTGGAATATAAGAGTGAAACTCAAGTCAAAACCCTAAAGTCCTCCTTGAATTTGTTCACAGAAAGTCTGAGAGCTCTTGTCAGCGTCAATGTTGTCCTCAAAGAAGAAGAATAGAAAAAAGACGAGGAAGAAGAAACCATCACCGTTGCTCCTCCCACCGACCACGCAATCAACCCAGATTCCGGATCTTCCGGATGATTTGCTACTGAGTTGCTTCGCACGCGTCTCGAGATTGCATTACCCGACTCTCTCCCTCGTCTCCAAGAGATTTCGATCTCTCCTTGCTTCACCGGAGCTTTACAAGACCCGATCACTCTTAGGTCACACAGAGAGTTGTCTCTATGTGTACTTACGATTCTATTCTGACCCTAACAACCTTTGCTGGTTTACTCTCTGCCGGAGACCTAATCGAAACCTAACCAAGACCAAGAAGAAGCAAAGTAGCCATCTTTTGGTTCCAATCACATCTCCCCATTCTACTCCTCCCTTCTCAAGTTACACAGCTGTTGGTTCAGACATCTACGAAATCGGCGGACACATCAGTGGCATGGCTTCCTCTACCGTCTCGGTCTTTGATTGCAGGTCTCACACTTGGCACAAATCTCCAAGCATGCAGGTGAGAAGGATCAACCCGGACGTCAAGGCCATCGATGGAAAGATATATGTTAAAGGAAACATTGACTACCCCAATTCTGACTTGGTAGAGGTTTTCGATCCAAAAACCCAAACTTGGACTTACGAAACTAACGAATGGGAATCACTGGATGGTTATTATAAATCTAAAGAATATATATCACGATCTTGTTTGTGCGAGATAGATAACGTGTTGTACTATAATGATAGGGGAGTGTTCAAATGGTTAGACACTAAGGTAGGATACTGGAGATTGTTGAAGGGTTTGTCCCCTAATTTTTTGTCTTATTTGGAGACTTCTAGTCTGGTTCACTTGGCAGATTATGGTGGAAAGATGGCAGTTTTATGGGACAGGCTTGATCATTCTAGCAAATGTAAGGAAAGAAATGTTTGGTGCGCGGTGATCGCGCTTGAAAGGCTTAGTAGTGATGAGATTTGGGGGACACTCGAATGGTCTGAAGTTGTGCTTAAAGTCCCCAAGTCTATTCAATTTGTGGATGTCCTTTCTGCTACTGTTTGAATGAGTTAATCACTCGTGTGGGGTTAAGTTTATAATTTTTGTTTTTCAGTCTGATGGATGATTTCACTAATTGTCTCGTGTTATTTGTAAACCTCCATTTGCATTTTTGAACTTTGTTAAGATTTTTTTATGGTTATCTTATATTGTGCCAGTGACTGCTAAATTGCATTTGAGATACTGTCTTACTTGAATATATTGGTTTACTATGTTGCTAGGTTAAAGAACTATAACAAGTTACGTATCGTCTATTGAACTAACAAATTAGACTTCTTGATGATTCAGTAAGAAAGATAAGAAAAACCACTATTTTGGTTGAATATCTTGGTTTTGTTGTTCTCGATGAAGAATAAGTTTTTTTTTGTGATCCGTTGAGAGTTATAAAAATAAACATTATTTTGGTTGAATATCTCAGTTTAATTTGTTGTTCTCTGTGAAGTAGAAGTTTCTAAGTGATATGGTGATCAGTTTGCAGAGAAACTTGCTCTCGTAATGATTTAATGAATAAGCTGCCGAAAAATATAGTGTTTTTTGCTTCTTCTCTCTATGTTACTGTGAAATGAATATTAACTTATTTTCTCAGGTCAGAGATAAAGAAGTCATACAAATATTATCAATATTTACTGTTGTCAAGTCTCCTCGTTTTTGGTCCTAATCTCTAAACCATATAACAAGGACCGATCGAAGTGCCCTGCTCTAGTGTCTCCTTCTTGACCGTTGAACTCACACTTGGCTCAAGAACATGGTAAAGGCCTTCTTTATTCACCTGACTCTGAATCTGAATTTGTTTGAATGGGTTTGTTGATTTAGCCAGCAATAAGTTCATGTTATATGTCATGCATGTGAAAATCGGTAACAGATCAAAGATACCAAAGGCGTTAAAACAATAAAACGTGTACCGAGATTCTTATCATGAGTCAATCAATTATAAAGCTAAGGTTACTTATCTTTGTGACTATGTAAACGTTCGATTTAAGATGGTGCTAGTGGGTACAGTCTACATGCTAACAATCTCTAGTAATTAAAAATGTCTACATTAATTTGCATTTGCATTTACTAGAAATGAGAACCCTAAGCTAATCTAATGTAAAAATATTAATGAACGTTCGGTCAATTGGACTAACTGACATACGCTTAATACATCATACATGGAGCAATGGTGATCTATTTTGTGAACCATTATTTTACTTTTTTCCCTCGATCGGTCAATTAAACTAGCATCAAGTAAGGAAAATGAGGCGCCAAGGATTGTGTCACAAAGACAAAGCTAAAAATAGCAAATCAAAACTGGAACCACCCGATGTTCCGAGTCAAACTCTCAATGCCCCATCCCAAAAGATCCACGTGTCTTCTTCACATAGGACTTCAAACACCTATAAATCCTTCAGGTACCTAATGTATACGTCAACTAATTAACAAACTCATCCCACAATTAATCAAGGAAAAGAAGAGCCCTAATAAAAATGGCAAGCTTATCAACCATCGCAGTTTCCCTCCGCAACAAGGCACTCATCACTCCTAGAGCTCTTGCTTCCGTCCCGACAAGACTCGTCCATGTAATCAATAATCTTAAACTTATGTTTTGGTGATAAGATATTGTCAATACGTTTAACTAATCTTAATTATACTTGATGTTGTGAATATATACTCAAAGGGGAGTACGAGGAAAGAAGCTTCCGTCTGTGACAAAGCCACCGAGGCTCAACAAAAGGTAAATTTTAAACGATTGTTAAAAAAAAAAAAAATCTATTGTTAATGGTTTGATGATTTTTTAAATCCATACAAAATCTATTGATATTCATAAAGTTTGGGTTCTTATGATTATATGAATCCATTAAAATCTTTGTTATTGGGACATGAATTTAAACAAAATTTTCAAAATATTCCTACAACTCCTAGATTCTTAAAGTATACTATACGATTTCATTTCATTCTAACGATCCATATAACCAAATCTATTCGGACAATGTAGGTGGCCAAGAAGGCGGACGAAGGAGCACAGACGATCTCCGACGCGGCCGGTAACTTGAAGGATAAGGTGAAGAACACTGCAGAGGAGACATGGGATAAGGTGAAGGACACTACGGAGAAGATCAAAGATACCGTCACGGGAAAATCCGAGGAAACCAAGGAGTCCATTAAAGCCACGGCCAAGACCGTCGAGAAAAGCATGAACACCAAGAACCCCAAATAATAAACCTACTATCCATTTTTTAAAAAATTACTACATCGATATAGTTACTTACGTAATGATATCAAATAAAATGTTACTTACGTAATGGAGTTTGTTTCAGTCTGTTTACACTTCTGATTTGTATTAAGAAAATGTATTCCTTTATTAGGTGAGAATAAATCTGGCTGTAGATCATATGGAAACTCATGTTTGTTATTTTTATTTTATAAGATTGATTTGATTTCTTCGTACAACTAAGAAATAAGATCAATGGCCACGAGAATACACTTTAAGTGAAAAGAAAAGAATAACACAACCATTATTGAAACATAAACAAGTCTATAGTCTTATTGTAACATTTTTTTTGCAGGGTTCTTTCACCGGTTTAATCAAAACCGGTTTATTCCCTTTATTACGGCCTATGAATCGGTTGGCTAAACCGTATATTTTGATATAACCAAACCGATTGAGATAAACCGAATATTTGTTTAGCAGCTTCAATTTCATTTTCTTATCTAATTTTGTCACCTTCTTGAAGAGAACCAGAGAGTCTCAAGCTTCGCCGCTTTAGCATATTCACATGTCATGGCTTCTTCTCTCTCTTCGTTTCCATCTTTGAATCATTCACCTCTCCATCCTAGATTCTTACAAGCCCTTAATGCTCCGTGCTCTGTTTTGAGATTAAAACACGCATCTTTCCCGAATCCGAGAATTCGAATTTCACCTCTTAAATCCCAACGAGCGCGAACCAAAACCGTCGTTTTGTCTGCTCAGTCCGGTTTCCTGAAAGGTTTGTCCTTTTTCACTTAAATTCGTAGTGGATTTGGGGTTTCGATTCTTAAGTTTGTGAAATTGAAGCAAACGGGTCACTGATTGATCTCGCAAAGAAAGAAGCTATCTTCGTTTGATTGATGAAAAGGGCATGATCATTGTTGTGTGGAAGGAGCTTGTCTCGAATCAGTATGAGCAAAACTCTCTAATTGATCACTTTTTTTTTAATGGTAGAATTTGTTGGAACAAAGTTGATTATGTGCAATTGAAATGGTTATAACTTAAGAGTTTCTGCTAGTGTTTCGGATTAAGTGTTAATTGATTGATGAAAATGGTTTGTTCAATGTTGTGTGCAACGAGCTTATGAGAAGAAACCCTCTTACAAAGGTGATTGTTGTGCAGTTGAAATGCTTTATAGTATAAGAGTGTCTGCTAATGTTTCGAAATTTTGTGTCATTTTTCTTGAGAAGTTCTTAGAACCGCTTGGAATATTGGAAAAGATGGAATTGAAGCTGGAACCAACCTTGTACCTGTGAGCTCTCTCAGTCTTGACTTTACTTATCAAGCTCGTAAATGGTTTTAGTCACACTTTCTTTTTCTTTAAAAGGTTTCTGTGCCTAGACCAGTTGCTAGAATCTCAGTGACAACTGCAGCATTGGCGGTTTCGTTGTTTGTTATCAAGTCATTTCTATCAACAGCTTTCTTTGTATTGGTATGTGACCTCTTTACTTTTTCTAGTCTTTTTTTTTTTGGTTTGCCTGTTTAGAAGCTAGTTTGCTTAGTGTGACTAGAGTCTGTAAATGGTGCTTTTTGTTTGTGTGTGTGTTGCAGGGTACGATGGGGTTCGCATATTTCTTATTCATAGCCTTAAACAAAGATGAAGCTCCTAAGCAGAGAGGACAAGATAATAGTTCTGGTTCCAAGCCAATGGATGATCCACTTGAAGAAGCAAAGAAAATCATGGACAAGTACAAGTAAGCTTAAAATTTGTTCTCATATAAGAGACATCTCCAATGTATAAAGATACAATACCTAGGCAAAATTGTATGTTCTTTGGTTTAAGATCAATTCACAAAGGTAGTATTTTATGTGCTTTGGTTTAAGATCAACACAAAGGTCATTTGAAAGGTGTAAGCATTGTTAAAGTTCCGGTTAAGAAATGATTTCCCATCTCTGTTCCAGTTAACTAAAGGGTTTTTATTTGAGGAATTAGCATTCATTGAAACTTTTGTTGCAACCTACAAGTTCTCTCTCTAAGGACTATCTACCCAAAAAGCAAAAATGCTCAAGAAGTGAACGAAAAAAGAAGCGAAGCGAATTGGTAGAAGAAACTTTTGTTGCAACCTACAAGTTTTGTATCATCACTTGGTAGAAGAAACTAGTCTGTTTCATAACAAAACCATTCATAGAACTCCAAAATTGAATTCAAAACATTTATAACTAGTAATTTTCGATCTTGACCAATCTATTTATAGAAGAGTATATAACAATGTACTATACTACAACTTATAGTCAAAACATGGGGACGAAGAAAAAAATGAGTTCCTTATCTTTTTTTCCCATTTCATATATTTTTCTATGTGTGTTCGGTTTCAGTTTTGGCTTCCAGGTTATACAAGTAATTAACAACGCGTACCGATCCTGCATCTCAAGGCACCAGAGCTATAGGTAAGCATACCTACAAGGGAAGATGATTTAGCAGCTAAACTAGAAGCTCTACCGTAACTTGCAGAAGTTTCAGCTCCTGATGAAGTAAAGTAAGCACCATTTAGCATTAAGTCTCCTTGTGATCTCCAGTTCCAATGGTTC